TTTTTTTTTTTTTTTTTTTTTTTTAATGTGTTTGTAATTTGTACTATTGGGGGAGTATTCTTGGACTACAGGGGTTATTGTCAATGTGTGATTTGTGTTTTTATTTTATAGAATCACCTAATGTGATACTGATTTTTATAACTGATATTTAGATAATTCTAATAACTGTATATTTGACAACCTATTAAAATGTTTTACATTGAAAAAAACTAAGAAAAAATAACATAAAATGCTTTTATATAAATTATATTTACATATTTTAATAGTTTTACATACTATGTTGTACTACAGAGTAGCTTCAGATTTTTATATATGAAAATGTAGTTTGAACTTTCAAAAAATTTTGAAATATATCTTCCCCAAGATATAAAAAGTTCATTAGTTTATAATATAATTTAACCTTTAACATTTTTACAGGGATTTATAGATTAAAAATTATTAGTACTTTTAAATGTAAGCTCAAATTTATATATATATATACACACACACACACATATACAACTCTCTATATGTATCAGAAGTAAAATAATTTCCATTATTCTAAGAACATGTATTAAATACATACCACTAGAAGCTGCCAGGACATCTTTACAAAGCATTAGCCAATGGGAAAGCTTTTCTACTGCCAGCGAGGAAAGCATATGTCCCAAAGTATCATGAATATCAGAACATAACTTTCGATCTGTCTCCCGGTCTAGCATTCCAAAAAGGAGTCCCTCAAGACCAGTTTCTGTTATATTAACACCTTGGTGTCGGCAATGGATGTCACTTCGCGAACTAACCCCAGGTGCAAAAGGATTGACATCTGAAAAGTAATTTATACAAATGAACTTTTATGAAATTTTATGTTATAGGTAACAATTATGTTAAAGACCAAATCTTATAAGTAAATTCACAACAGCAACAAAAGCAGCTAGCTATATATATAATTTAACTATCGTCTCTAATTCACATATCTTTATGATTAGAATTTACTCTGACAATATGGGTAAAACTCTTGATTTTTAAGACTGGTTACTCTGAGATATTGTAAACAAATCTCTAGGGAATGCTCAATAAATATTTGATTCTAATAAGAAAAAGTATGAGAAAAGAGATATACTTCTAAATATATTTAATGAACCAAAAATAAATTGCTGTATTTGTTAAGAACAAATTGAAACTTACTCAGTCTTATAGTTCAGATTTTAAAAATCTATAAAGCTAGAACACAAACTCTAAATAGATTAATCCTATAAGTTCATTTAAAAATTGGAAAAATCCTTTCCAAGTAACATATAATCAAAAGGAATAACGTTATGAAATAGTAGTTAAATTTCTAACTCTATCTGAAAATCATTTTCTTCTTCTTAACAGCCTTAAGAATGAGTACTACTAGGCTCTCTAAAGTCTAGAGCACTCTGAACCCTGAAGGGAGTGTAACAGAAGGATGTAGCTGAAAGGTAGCTATTTTTGTTGTGTTGCCCCAAAGACAGAATAAGGGGAGGTTTAAATAAAATAGCCATAGTGAATGAAATTCTGAGACAGCAGAAAAAGTCAAAAGAAAATGTTCCAAAGACGGAAAACATTAGGAAGAGATTGGGCACAGAGACCTTTTATTCACTTAGTAGTAGATAGAGATTATTTTCTATATCAATAATTTACTTCTACAGTGTGAATTTCAGTGGCCACGTAGCAAGCCAATGAATTAAAAGAACATTAACCGAGCAACCACTAAGGATAAATTCCTAAAAGTGGAATTGCTAGGTCAAGGGTAAAAACACTTTAAAATTTTTAGGGCGACACTGCCAAAAACCCCACCAGAAAATGTGTATCAGTTTACATTTCCGTCAGCAGTATATTTTTCTTTTATTCATACATTCTTTCAACGTTAGTTATAATCATTTTATTTTAGTTTAGTTTTTTTAGACAGAGTCTCGCTTTGTTGCCAGACTAGAGTGAGTGCCGTGGCGTCAGCCTAGCTCACAGCAACCTCAAACTCCTGGGCTCAAGCAATCCTACTGCCTCAGCTTCCCCAGTAGCTGGGACTACAGGCATGCGCCTCCATGCCTGGCTAATTTTTTCTATATGTATTAGTTGGCCAATTAATTTCTTTCTATTTATAGTAGAGACGGGGTCTCACTCTTGCTTAGGCTGGTTTCAAACTCCTGACCTCGAGCAATCCGCTCACCTCGGTCTCCCAGAGTGCTAGGATTACAGGCGTGAGCCACAGCACCCAGCCTAGAATCATTATTTTTAATCTTCATCAGTTTTATAGAAGAAAATGATACCTTCTGATTGCAGTAACTTGAAAATTTTTAATCACTACAACTTAAAGATATTTCATTTGTTGGTATTTTTTCTTTTATAAAATGCTGTTTATGTGCTGTAGGGATTTTTACAGATACAGAAGAGTTAACATAGCAGGCCTGAGACTACCTTAGTACGGTCTGATTGCAAGGTTAGTCCTTGGTTTGTATCTGGGAATTGGGTTTTTGGAGGTTTCCCACCATTAATTCCCAACACAAGCAGCTTGCTGTGCCTAAACTGTACTTTATGCTGAACACCTGTTTTCCTTCTGAGATTCTGAACTTTTGGTTTGTGCCAGATAGGCCATGACTACAGGACCAGCACCCAGTAAAAACGTTGGGTACTAAGTCTCTAATAAGCTTCCCTGGAGGACATTTTACACATGTTATCACAACTCAATGCTAGGGAATTAAGTGTGTCCTGTGTGACTCCATAGAGAGAGGACTCTTAAAAGCTTGTGCCTCATTTCCTCTGGACTTAATCCCATGCACCTTTTCTCTGCTTATTTTGCTTTGTATCCTTTTGCCGTAATAAACATAGCCATGAATATCCCTATATGCTGAGTCCTCCTAGCACACCATCAAATGTAAGGGCTATCTCAGGGACACCCAACACACTTATTTGTAAAAGCATTAAAAATGTTTATATTTTATTAAAGTAAATATACACATTAATAAATAAATAAATAAAACATATGTATTTTGCAAATATTTTCCCTTAGTTTGTCTTTCAATTTTTTTTTTTTAGAGACACAGGGTCTAAATAATACACTATGTTATTTAGGTTGAACTTGAACTCCTGGGCTCAAGCAATCTGTCTCAGCCTCCAGAGTAGTTTTAATTTTGATTATGGTGACTGACATGTAGAAGTTCTGGAATTTTATAGGTATTCAGAAGAGTTCTATAATTACTTTTGGTGCTGTTTTCTCTCCAAAAAGCAATAGTGACTATTGTTATACTTTTATAAAAAACTTCTTTCATATTCTACAATACAGTATGTTTGTTAATAGAGAGCTTTTATTATACTACGCTAAAACTGAAGTTATTTTTGTATCTTGCTTCTTAGTACTCAAGTAGCTGCCAGGCATTACAAATAAAAATTTTCTCTCAGTTAGGGGGAAATATCTCTGAGAATTAAACTCTTTTTAAGAGACAAAGTCTCACTCTGTCACCCAGGCTAGAATGCAGTGGCCCAATCATAGCTCACTGTAACCTCAAACTCCTGGGCTCAAGCAATCTTCTTGTTTCAGCCTCCCGAGTAGCTAATGCTATAGGCACATACCACCATGCCCGAAAAATTTTTAAATCTTTTTACAGATGAGGTCTTGCTATGTTGCCCAGGCTGGTCTCAAACTCCTGGTCTCAAGCAATCCTCCCGCCTTGGCCTCCCAAAGTACTGGGGTTACAGGCATGAGCCACTATGCTGGCCCAGAACTCTTAAGTTTCCAAACCATCTATCCTTAGAGATAAGAAGACCAGCTATGAATTCAAGCTATACCTAAATATAGCTTAAATATGCAAAAAGCAGAAAGGATTTAAAAAGGTGAAGATCAACCTTTTGCAACCAAACATCTACTAACATTTCATAGTTTTATTGGCTACTTCAGCCCTACCTTTTTAAAGGAAAAATTATATCACAAAGGCTAACTACCATCAAAAACTGGAAGTTTTCACATGCCCCCCAAATATATAATTTCTCTTTTCAGAAGTCTATTAGTGATACAGGGCAATATCTCTGGAGTTATTCATCCCTTATATAGCTAAAACATCCTGAAGGGATGGAAGAAGTATTTTATTTTTTTTTTTTTTTTTTATTAGCACTCCCGGGTGAAGAAGAAGTATTTTGATACTAAATGCTATTTAGTTTTTTTAGCCTCAAAATTTTTAAAAAGTAAAAATGCAAAATTACCAAGGAAAAACTACATTGCAATTTTTAAAGTGATAATGGTCTTATTTCAAAGAACAAGAAATTTGCCCACATTTCAACACAAAATGTTATTTAATAAATAATACTCACTTGAAACGTAAGGCATTTAAACAAAAAAGAATATTGACCAAAAACTTACTGACACCACTGTTCTCTTTGTCCCCTGCATTTTTCGCTAGGCTCATGGCATATTCACATACTTCGGCTGCTTCTCTTTGCGCAAGTTGCCGAAGACATGCCACAGCTGCTCGTCGAAGTAACAGATGAGAACTACATAAGTGAACCTATAAACCATAATGATTTTGGTCAATTTTTTTTTTTAAAAAGCTATACTTCTTTAATCTCATTTGTTTAATGAATATATATTAATATCTTATTTGTGAAGATGCTCTTCATTTAACCAACTCAGCTATTTAAAATATAGTCAAATAATGGCTTTTTGGCAAAATACTACTAATAAAATTAAAATGTTAGTAGCCAAAATAACTGTCCCAAGATTTATGCACAAAAGGTCATAAAATACACTTAGATGAAAATCCACAAGGATCTTTGCACAACTTATTTTACACATGGTCCTACTAAACTTTGTCATCTAAATTTAAGTATACAGAGATCAAATGCAGTGAATGAAAAGTTAGGAGGCTGAGTATACAGTAAGAATTAAAGCAAAGGAGTTATTTATTACAATGAAAAAACAAAACTAAGCAAACATAAACACCTGAAAAGAATTGCAAAATAGGGCCTCTTGGTACAGAATATTTTTCATATGAAAAGTCTTTGAAAGAATCAATAGGGCCAGGGCTTGGTGGCTCAAGCCTGTAACCCTAAAGCACTCTGGGAGGCTGAGGCAGGAGGATCGCTCAAGGTCAGGAGTTAGAAAACAGCTTGAGGAGGAGCGAGATCCCGTCTCTACTAAAAAAAAGAAAGAAATTAATTGGACAACTAAAAATATATAGAAAAAATTAGCTGGGCATGGTGGTGCATGCCTGTAGTCGCAGGTACTCAGGAGACTGAGGCAGAAGGATTGCTTGAGCCCAGGAGTTTGAGGTTGCTGTGAGCTAGGCTGAGGCCATGGCACTCTAGCCTGGGCAACAGAGTAAGACTCTGTCTCAGAAAAAAAAAAAAAAAAGAATCAACATAGTATACTGTAATAGACAAAGTAAAATATAACATTTCAGGACAACATAATAAAGAACTCTGGAACAAGTCCCAGACTAGGTTTGAATCCCAGCTCTGTCACTAATTCCTGCTTGATTTGCCCATGTGTAAAATAAGGATAATCATTCTTCACGGGAATATAGTGAAAATAAGTTAATACAAGTAAAACACAACAGTAGCTGGCACATAGTAATAATTCTCAATAAATGTTAGCTATTATCATTATTATAATTCTGATTCATCAAAATAAATGTTCAATTATGTTCCACGTTCTGCTTTTTAAGCATGAAAGTAATATATTTTAGAAAAAAAATCCCAGCCACCAATGATGGGGATGGAGGAGAATAGTTAATGTGAAATACATCCCTTCTTCACAATGTTAGTGTAATTTTATTCTATTTAATATAGCATTTATAATTCAAGATATACTTCCATGAAATCCATAGCCCAAGAAATTTACATAAAGTATTAGGAAAAATAAAATATGATTAGGGGGAGAAAAAGCTGATAGATTTTTATCAACAAAATGTTTTATTTACTTGTGTTCCTGAAAATAAAGGCATTTTAGAATTTTCAAATACTCTATAATTAGAAAGCTTAAATATGGTCATATCAAATGGGAAGAAGAAATCACTTAGTCTCTTGGAGTTTCTGCCTTTCTATTTGTATAATGGGGACAACGTCCACCCTACCTGTCTTACACAACTCCTGTAACTCTAAGATGACAAAACATATGAAATACAATACAATAAAATTTTAATTTAATAACAATTACAGAGAATTGCAGCTAAGAGGATACACCCAACAAATGTTGACTGGCAGAACCAAAGGAAACATTTTATAATTTACAAAGTGTTTTCAAAAGCTCCATTCCAGTGATTCTCAGGTTTTTCCTTCACATTTTAACATCTGTGATATTAGTGATGCAAAGTACAATCAATGGTATCTTACAGTCCCTATGTTGACTGTGGAAAGATGATCCTTTCCACACTGAATTATAATGGTACCACATACCACGATCTTAAGTTATATGACTGTATATGTGTGAATCCAATCCTGGATACTCCATTAATAGTGTTCCATTTGTCTATATTTATAATACCACACTGTCTTTCTTACTGGAGCTTATGGTAAATCTTGACAGTAAGTAAGTACAGTAAATTTTCCAACTTCATTAGTCTTTTAAAGTCCCTTACATATTTGCACATAAAGTTTGGAATCAGTTTGTCAATTTTTCCAAAAACACCACTCCATGCTTACACCTGTAATCCTAGCACTCTGGGAGGCCGAGGCAGGCGGATTGCTCGAGGTCAGGAGTTCAAAACCAGCCTGAGCAAGAGCGAGACCCGTCTCTACTATAAATAGGAAGAAATTAATTGGCCAACTAATATATACAGAAAAAATTAGCCGGACATGGTAGCGCATGCCTGTAGTCCTAGCTACTCAGGAAGGATTGCTTGAGCCCAGGAGTTTGAGGTTGCTGTGAGCTAGACTGACACCACAGCACTCACTCTAGCCTGGGCAACAAAGTGAGACTCTGTTTCAAAAAAAATAAATAAATAACAAAAAAAACACCACTCCATTTGGCTTCTGTGAACAACACAACCTCTATTTTTCCTTTAATCTCTGGGACTCCTTCTGCATATTTTTTGCTAACTGCCTTTCTTCTTTTTTAAATTTTATATGCTGGGTTCCTCATTTAGCACTCTCTCCCTGATCTCACCTACTCCTAAGTCTTTATTTGCCATCTAAATGCTTATGCCTCCCAAGTTTACCTCTGTAACCAGACCTATCTTTTCAGAGCTCCAGGCCCATGTAACTAACTATCCACATGTCTAAAATGGAATTAATGTTATCCACTCTTCCCAACCTTCTCCTCCTCCAATGTTGCCAATCTCAGGAAATTACATTATGATGCTCATGTCGGAAACCTAGGCCACACCCTTCTCTCCCCTCCCCCTCACCCATAGCCAATTAATCAATAAACTGTCAATCCTTCCTCCTCAATTCACTCAAATCCATCTATTCTCCCACAGTCCATTACCAACTTAGAGGATATCATTATTATCTTCCTCCTAGAATACCATAATCTTACCCTGTTGAGTCCATTCTCCATCATGAAGCAAGAATGAAATATAAAAAGTACAAATCTGATCATGTTACTCCCTTGCAGAATACCTTTTAATGGTTTCCCATTGCTTACAGAATAAAGTCCAAAATTTTAATATACCTAGAAAGTCAGCATGATGTGTCACCTGGCTCAATGTCCAGCTTCACTGTGTTCCCCTCTGCCCTGCATCTCCCTCCTCTCAGCCTACCAATTACTGACTAATTGGTTCTAAATGCATCACACTCCTTCCCATTTTAGGGCCTTTTACATACTTCTTCCTCTGACTGAAAGTAAATGCTGTCTACTCCAATATCATGCCCTTCTGCACACTAACTCCTATTTATCCTATGGTTCACACCTTAAATATAATTTTTTCAGGAAAATCTTTTCTGAATGCCTAGGTTCTGATAGGCCTCCTTGTTACATGCACTCTCTCTCTCTCCCCAATAGACTTTTGTAGCACTTATCCTATTTGTAAATAATTATTGGTGCCCATTTTCCTTTGTAATCTGTAAATTTCATTATGACAGAAACTTCCTCTTGTCTCAGGCACAAATGTACCTCCAGTGCTTTCTATGGTTCCTGATATAAAACAGGCTATCAATAAATATTTGTTTAACAAACAAATTAACAATTGCAATGGTAGCAACAGATTCTCAGAAGTTATCAATCAAGCTTTAGGAAATAAAATCTATGTAGGAAAAGACTTAAGTGACTATTGAAGCTGAAACCCTAGAATTCACAATCCAGGAAACTTACATTTTTTGGTTTGGTCCAGTTTGGGAAAGAAATTTGGCGCTCCCTAAATAAATCAATGAATGGAAAAGCATTATACTTACACAAAGGCTAGGCACAAGACTAGATAGATTGACATGTCGTGGTGCAAACATGTGAAGCTGCTGAAGGCAAGATATGGCAGCTGCCTGAACAAGAGAATCAGAATGGTCCTGGGTTATTGCACAACCCACCAAGCAAGAGGAACGAATTGTAGAAATTGTTGCTCCATTCCCTAGAAGCAAAATAGAATATAAAATACAATCATTCTAGTAGTATCATCAAAAATATTCCTAGTAAATAATTCTCTTCTGAATAACCCCACTTCCCATTATTTAATTATTTTTTTGAAACAGGGTTTCGCTCTATTGCCCAGGCTAGAGTGCAGTGGTGTAATCATAGTTCACTGCAGCCTCCAACACTAGGATCAGACAATCCTCCCAAGTAGCTGCAACTACAGGCATGAGCCACCACGTCCAGCTATTTTTTTTTTTTTATATAGAGTCAGGGTCCTGCTATGTTGCTCAGGCTTCTCCTTCCACAATTATTAGATTGTTTCAGAAACAAAAATCTGAGGCCAGGCACAGTGGCTCACGCTTGTAATCCTAGCACTCTGGGAGGCCGAGGCAGGTGGATTGCTCAAGGTCAGGAGTTCAAAACCAGCCTGAGTGAGACCCCGTCTCTACTATAAAAATAGGAAGAAATTAATTGGCCAACTAATATATACATATATATATATATATGTATATATATAAAAATTAGCTGGGCATGGTGGCATGTGCCTGTAGTCCCAGCTACTCGGGAGGCTGAGGCAGAAGGATCGCTTGAGCCCAGGAGTTTGAGGGTGCTGTGAGCTAGGCTGACGCCATGGCACTCACTCTAGCCTAGGCAAGAAAGTGAGACTCTGTCTCAAAAAAAAAAAAAAAAAAGAAAACAAAAATCTGCAAAGTCCACAGAAATGGTTTCAAAACATGACTATGTGTGGATGACAATAATGTGTCTATCTTAGATTTAGCTAGATTTATATTTATTCCCTGAAAACTATTACTCATCCTTAAAAATACATTGTTTTATTTGAAAGAGCAGAAGATTCTGCATTCTCTGTTCTCTGTGTCAATCAATATTATCAACTTCTATTATATAATAATTTCAAATATTATTTTTCTAACAACATTAATGGCAATTTTTGCACAGATAAGACAGAGAGAATAGAATAATATTGACATCTATATAAGAATTTCTTAATTGCAAAATATAAGTGACTTAAAATCTTTTACTAAATATAAAAACATAATTATAACATATAAAAGACAAAAAAATCATTAGTATCACATAATCACATAGTTACCTTTTCTTCTTCTTCTTCTTCTTTTTTTTTTTTTTTGAGACAGAGTCTCCAGCTTTGGTGCCAGGCTTGAGGGTGCCGTGGGCATCAGGCCTAGCTACAGCACCTCAATCTCCTGGCTCAAGCGATGCCTCCTGCCTTCAGTCTCCCAGTAGCTGGGACTACAGGCATGCGCCACCATGCCCGGCTAATTTTTTCTATATATATTAGTTGGCCAATTAATTTCTTTCTATTTATAGTACAGACAGGGTCTTGCTCTTGTTCAGGATGGTTTTGAACTCCTGACCTCAAGCAATCCACCGCCCAGAGTGCTAGGATTACAGGCGTAAGCCACCATGCTCGGCCTTTTTTTTTTTCAGAGACAAGGTCTCACTAAGTTGTCCAGGCTAACTTAGTGGTTATTCACAGGCATGATGATAGCACATTATAGCCTGGAACTCCTACGCTCAAGACAGCCTCTTGCCCCAGCCTTACCATTGTTTCAGAAAACAACTGGTAAACACCTATGCTTAATTACAGTTGCATATTTATTCTCTTCATATCCCTGTGACATTCACAGGAAGAATGAACTATCCTCACTTTCCCAAAGAAAACTCACTTTCCCAAAGACAACAAGAAAGAGTTCAAGAAAGAGACATGTCTAAATCACATATTTTTCATTTCCCCTAGCAGTCTTCCTTAGGTGCTTTTTTTCTTCTTTAAAATCTCTCTTCAAATGGAGGCAACATAGCACAGGGATTAAGAACACAGGCAAAGGAAACTGATCTGGGCTTCACCTCTGACTCCAGTTACTCACAAGCTAGATATATGTAACCTTGGAAAAGCTCTTAGCCTCTCTCTACTTCAGTGTTTCATCTGTAAAATGGAGATAATACCTATCTCTGGATTATTGTCAGAATTAAATGAGATAATATATATAAAAAGATTGATCCACTGAAAGCATATAGTAAATGATAGAGGGGAAAAGAAAATTCTGAAAATGGTTTACATATTCTGGATGCATTCATAATAATTTGATGACTTTAGTGTTTAATTTAACTATTAGTAGAATTAGTTCAGTGGAACTGAGTCGTAAAAACACAGGCTTTAGGATCATAAATGTCCCATTCATAAGTTGAGTAACTATACGCAAGTTACTTATCTTTGTTGAGCTTGCTTCCTCACAGAAAAATAAGATATTATCTATCTTATGGCAGTGGTTTTTCAAACTATGTTCCTAATCCTTAGAGTACAAAAAGAGGGAAGCAAAAGTCCATGAAGACAAGTGGATAGCACGCCAGGCCAAAGGAATTCCATTTTTATGTTTGTTTTCATGAGGTTTCAAGTAAAATTTCATTTAGAAATGATTCATCTGTTCAAAACTTTGAAAAAACACTGTCATGGCCGGGCGAGGTGGCTCATGCCTGTAATCCTAGCACACTGGGAGGCCGAGGCGGGCGGATTGCTCAAGGTCAGGAGTTCGAAATCAGCCGGAGCAAGAGCAAGACCCCGTCTCTACTATAAATAGAAAGAAATTAATCGGCCAACTAATATATATACAAAAAATAAGCCAGGCATGATGGCACATGCCTGTAGTCCCAGCTACTCGGGAGGCTGAGGCAGTAGGATTGCTTGAGCCCAGGAGTTTGAGGTTGCTGTGAGCTAGGCTGACACCACGGTACTCACACTAGCCTGGGCAACAAAGCAAGACTGTCTCAAAAAAAAAAAACCACACTGTCATGTCATGAGTTTGTTGTAGGGATTAACTAAAATAGCACATGAAAAAATGCTAATGCCAGGCCTTTGGTAAATCACAAGTATTCAGTACAATGCAACTATTATTATTAATACAAAATTTCTTTAAGTAATGTGATAGTAACATTCAGAAAACTTAAAGACAGTAATTATCTGCCCAGATTTTAAAATTTAAGATGAATTTACTTACCTTGGAGTTCAGGGCCAACAGTAGTTATTATAGCTCCCAAGCATCTACCCAAACACTGATGAACTTCTGTATGTGAAGGTGGAACAGTCAACAGCAGTGTAAGAACTAGAGATAATGTTGGTTCCACATATCCACGATACATTGGGCCACTAGAATCCACAATCAAAGCAAGTGAATGAAGAGACCAAGTCTAGAATAAAACATAATTTTATTTTAGTTGTAAGGAATAATTAGAATATATTGAATTGTTAAATGCATATACTTTTAATATTTTTAGGCATATCAATGTGAAATGGCAAATCAAGATAGCAGGATATTTTCAAATGTACTCTTGGCCCTCATTGTAGTTATACTTAGGTATAAAATGCTTAAGGAGAAACAACAAAAACAAAAAAATTCAAGGTGTATACTTGAAGATTCAACCAATGACTTGAGTTGGGTTTTTAGAAAAGAGGGAGAGAACAATGGTTACTAAAAAAAAAAAAAAAAAAAAAAAAAAAAACTTGATCTAACAAATAAAAGGAAATGTAAAAAAGAGGAAACAAGTACAAAGAATAATAAATATGTTTGAAGAAAAGTACATGAATGAGCAAGTCTCAGAATAAGACAGACTTTAAGATTAGGTTAAAAATAAAAATCTTGTTATACACTATTACAAATAAACCATGTTATATTTTTCCTAACAATTTATCAAAGTCATTATTATTTTATAGTACAAATAATTTTCCTAAAATATTAAATAAAAATTTCATAATAAAAAATCAATACTATTATACCTGGACTTCAGGGGATGTTCCATCTTGTGCTAGAGCCAATAAAATGCTCACGCTGGTCTTCAAATGTTGTCCTGAGCCTATACCACCAACATAACGATGCAAACAACCAAGAGCCAATGAATGACCAGTCCTAGAAACAACATCTCGAGCTGATTTCAACCTGAAAAAAAGATTATGATTTAGGAATTGTTTTTTCTATTTCCCTATAATAACAAGCTTATGACTCACACAAAAAAAGAGATGTAATTTGGAAATGAGAAAAGATTAGAATCACAATTACTTCTTTCTCCATGCCCTAACAAGAGTTAGAGATTCAATTTAAAATAGTTGGTTGGCTAGCCATGGTGGTTCATGCCTGCAATCAGAGCACTTTGGCAGCCTGAGGTGGGAGGATCACTTGAGCCCAGGAATTTGAGATCATCCTGGGCAACATAGCAATACCCTGACTCTACAAAATATAAGAAAAAACAGCTGTGTGTGGTGGTGCACACCTGCAGTCCCAGTTACTTGGGATGCTAAGGCAGGAGGCTAGCTTGAGCACAAGAGTTCAAGGTTACAGTGAGCTATGATGATGTCGCTGCACTCTAGCCTGGGCAACAGAGCAAAACCCTGTCTCTAAAAAAATAAAAATAAATAAAGCAGTGGGTTAACATTATACATTTCACTGAATAATGCCTAATTTTAGAGAAAATTTGACTTCTCAGGTTAAAAACTGAATACTAAATTATTAATTGCTAAAGTATTAACTATTCCTTTGAAAGCCAAGAGTCATTTGAAACTTTTTTATATTGTTTTTTTGTTTGTTTTTTGAGACAGAGTCTCACTCTGTTGCCCAGGTTAGAGTGCCGTGGCGTCAGTCTAGCTCACAGCAACCTCAAACTCCTGGACTCAAGCAATCCTTCTACCTCAGGCTCCTAAGTAGCTAGAACAACAGGCATGCGGCACCATGCCCAGCTAATTTTTTCTATATATGTTTTTAGTTGGCCAATTAATTTTTTTTCCTATTTATAGTAGAGATGGGATCTTGCTCTTGCTCAGGCTGGTTTCAACTCCTGACCTTGAGTGATCCTTCCGCCTCAGCCTCCCAGAGTGCTAGGATTACAGGTGTGAGCCACTGTGCCCGGCTTATAGTTGTTCTTTATTTTTTATTTTTTTTTTTTTTTGAGACAGAGTCTCGCTTTCTTGCCTAGGCTAGAGTGAGTGCCGTGGCATCAGCCTAGCTCACAGCAACCTCAAACTCCTGGGCTCAAGTGATCCTCCTGCCTCAGCCTCCCGAGTAGCTGGGACTACAGGCACGAGCCACCATGCCTGGCTGATTTTTATATTATATATATTAGTTGGCCAATTAATTTCTTTCTATTTTTATGGTAGAGACGGGGTCTCGCTCAGGCTGGTTTTGAACTTCTGACCTTGAGCAATCCGCCCGCCTCAGCCTCCCAGAGTGCTAGGATTACAGGCGTGAGCCACCGCGCCCGGCTTAGTTGTTCTTTAAATAAAGCGTTTATAATTGGTTTTGAAAATATTTTAAAAAGGCATTTGTATTTACAGAATTAAATAAAATTTTATTTAACCCAATATATCATAAATATTAGAGTATCAAGATGTAATCAGTACAATAAATTATTGAGATATTTTACATTCTTTTTTCAAACTAAGTCTTCAAAATCCAGTGTGTATTATACACTCACAGCACATATAAACTTGGCTATCTTAGTATCTTAACAATATTGAGTCTTCTGGTCCATGAACACAGTATATTTTTTATTTATATAACTTCATTAATTTCTCTCAGCAATGTTTTGTAGAAATCAGTGTATAAATCCCACACATAATTTGTTAAGTATATAGTTATATACTTCAGTATTTTGTTTCTTATCCTTTGTAAATGGCATTTCAAAAAACTTCAATTTCTAATTTTTCATCAATAGGATATAGAAATATAATTGACTATTGGATACCTTGAGAATATGCTAAACTCATTTATTAGTCTTAATAGCTTTTGTCAAGCAAGGCCCCTTAGGATTTTCTTTATACATTTAAATTTCATTTGTGAAGAAACAGTTTTACTTCTTCCTCCTCAATCTGTATCCCTTTCATTTCTTTTACTTGCTTTATTGCACATCCAATGCAATGTTGAGCAAAAGTGGTGACAGCAAACATCCTCGCCTTCTTCCCAATATTAGGAGGAAAGCAACCAGTCTTAATCATGGAGTATGATATTTATTGTGGATTTCTGTATGTGCCCTTTATCAGATTCAGAATGCTCTCTTCTGAAATTCCTCCCTTTCTGAGGTTTTGTTTAATCATGAAAATATATCAAATATTGTTTAAATGTTTCTGCTGCATCGAATAAGATAATCATAATCTTTTTAGTCTGTTAATATAGTGAGTTACATTCATTGATTTTTGATGTTAACTCAAGCTTGCACACCTGGGATGAATCCCATTTTAGTTACAATATATTATCCTCTTTAAATACTGTTGGATTTGATTAATTAAAATCTTTTTTTTTTTTTTTTTTTTTTTTGTGACAGTCTCACTCTGCTGCCCGGGCTAGAGTGCTGTGGCGTCACCGTAGTTCACAACAACCTCAAACTCCTGGACTCAAGTGACCCTTCTGCCTCAGGCTCCCAAGTAGCTGGGACTACAGGCATGCGCCACCATGCCAGGCTAATTTTTTTCTATATATTTTTAGTTGGCCAATTAATTTCTTTCAATTTTTGTAGAGACGGGGTCTCGCTCTTGCTCAAGCTGGTTTCGAACTCCTGACCTCAAGCGATCCTCCCGCCTCGGCCTCCCAGAGTGCTAGGATTACAAGCATGAGCCACCACGTCCAGCCATAATTAAAATCTTATTAAAGGTTTTTGTGGCTATACCCCAGAGGAAGACTAGCCTTTCCTTGTAATGTCTTTGTCTGACTTTGGTATTAGCATAAAGTTGGCCTCATGAAGACTTTGACAGTATTCCCTCTTCTTACATTTTTCCAGGAGAATCTGAACAGAGTTGGTTTTATTCTCCTTAAAAGTTTGGCTGAATTCATTAAGGAAGTCATCTGGGATTGGAGTTATCTTTGAGGAAAGGTTTTTTGTTTGTTTATTTGTTTTGAGACAGGGTCTTACTCTGTCACCCAGGCTGGAATGCAATGGCCTCATCATAGCTCACTGCAACCTCAAACTCCTGGGCTCAAGTCATCCCCCAACTTTAGCCTCCCAAGTAGCTGGGACTGCAGGCACACACCACCATACCAGGCTAATTTTTCCATTTTTTGTGGAGGCAGGGTCTCACTCTTGCTCAGGCTGGTCTCGAACTTCTGAACTGAAGCAATCCTCCTGCTTTCCCTTCCAAAGTGCTAGGATTCAGGCGTGAGTCACTGTGCCCAGCCAGGAAGATTTTAAACTGTAAATTCAATTTCCTTTGTAGATAGAGAGCTATTCAGATTATTGATTTCTTGAGTGAGCTTTGCCAGTTTGTGCATTTCAAAGAATTAGTCTATTTCATCTAAGTTGTCAAATCTGTTGGCACAGGTTTGTTCACAATATTTCCTTATTATCCTTTTAATGTCTCCAAAATCTCCAATGATATGCCCTCCTACATTTCTGATAGGGGTAATTTGTATATGCCTCTCTCTTTTCTTATTTAGTCAGATGAAAGGTTTATCAATTTTATGGCTCTTTTCAAAGAACCAGCATTTGGTTTTACTGAATTTCTCTACTGGTTTTCTGTTTTCTCTCTCACTGATTTCTGCTTTTACCTTTATTTATTAGTTATTATTTGCTTCATTCTGTAATTGAAACAGCTAATGAAACTAAGCACTAATAATATTTGCAAACCATTAACCAGACAGGTATAGACAGATGAACTGTCCTGTGTTTCATCGAAGTACACTTTTCTACAGCTATTGAGGACACACAAATTAAAACTGCTTATAACTAAAAAAAAATTTAACCATTTTAGAGCTTTCCAAAGAAACACATTTCTATTTTACTTATTAAAAACTGAGCACAAATCATTAAATGGGAAGCTAAGACTGGTTCTATCTTTTAAAAAATCTTTAATAAAAGGTGATTTCAAAATCAATGGAAAATATTTGGGAAGAGCAAAATTATTTAATAAACTATTGCTAGAAAATAACAGAAATCACCCTGCAGAATATTAAGTGTCTGGGAATATTTTAGGTATTTTCTGTCTGCTCATATCTTCCTCAGTGAGTAAAACAATACAATGGGGCATTAACCGATAATCAACTTTGTGTGTGAAGACAAAGAAAGCTATTCTCAGATATGCAATAGTTCAGAAAATACTTGTTCTTCAGAACTACTACTTCACAACCACTGTTTCCTACTCTTTCTCTTTTGTTAACAAATTATGATATAGTTTGGTATATTTACTACTCAAAATGCAACATAGTTGAGAATGATAATTTACATAACTCGTGTCAATTCTTAACCACGTTTGATTTTTAACTCCTCTACTTAAGTACTTGATTAACAAACCAGTCAATGATAACTGCATCTTACCATCTTAATCATTCTTATTTGGATCCCTAAGATCACTCTTTATAATTAATATGCAAAGAAATCCTCAAAACCCAATGCTTAAAGTTTATCACATCTCAGTGATAATTTAAGATATGATAAACTTGGTAGCAGTTAGAAAAAGAATGGCTCGATCCCCGGCATCTCCACAAAAAAAAAAAAAAAAAAAAAAAAAAAGAAAAAGAATGGCTCATTACAAAAAGTGAATATTTAACAGAAAGAATAGTGGGGGATAAGGGAAGAGAGAAGAGAAAATGACTTCAAAGTATCTCTTAAATGAACATACATAACTGAGAGAAGTCCTTATTAACATTCTTCTTGATTCCATTATGTAATATTTCAAGAGCTGGATTAGAAACCCTCTCCACATTGAAAGTATCTAACATTACAACTTTTCCAGATTCTAAAATTTAATCAACTATTAAATTTAAAAATATCGTCACAAGCTATATAATTAATACTATGTGGAAAACATATAGTCCAGTTAATAATTATTGATTATTTAAAAGACATCATTGCCTACATAAGTAACTTACTTATTAATAAAGAGACCCACTTACTTGTCAAAGCTGTATTGGGCCATTCTAGCAATAAAAGTTGCTTCTCCAACCACCTGAGCCATTCTTCCAAGAGCTTCCCCTGCTGCACATCGTAAGATAGGGTTTGGGTTGTCAAGAGCGCCCATAACCAGTGTCAGAGCAGATTTCCGAACTTCCTCAGGTCCCAATGTACTTTTGTTCTCAGCTAAGCCCTATATTTATTTTTTTTTAAACGAAGGCAATTCAAAATTCAAGTTAGATAAAACAAAAAATGTGCTATAATCTTTATAAATATACATATATCTTATACATTATTTACATTATTATATTATTTACATACATTATTATACATCTTATACATTATATCTTATACATTATTTTCTTCAGCCAACTTTCATATGTATATAATGATACCTAGAATCAGTACCGGTTAAACAGTAATCACTTTCCCCAAATAAGATTTCAGAACATGATATAATATATAACATAGTTATAGTCTGACTGGCCCTAAAAACACCAATCCCTGGGGATGTCTCTAAACAAAGACATACTTAAAAACTGCTTTTATATATAAAGGACATGGTATTACTAAATCAACCATTATATTTAACTGATTGAAATATATCACTCTAACTTTAAGGAAGGAAAAGGCCTGATGAGTATGAAACTTAGATTCATTTACAAAAAAATTCCACAGAAGATATAATAATTATGTCTTAAAGAGTATAATCAATATATCTAAAGACAAAACAAGGTAAAAATAATTAGTAACTGAATGTTAAAACAGTTTGTTCATCATACTATATGATATTCTAACTACATTTACTGCCCTGGAACCTAATTTACTTACTTAAGACCCAAAATCCAAGTCATGGTGCCTGGGGAAAATGTTAACTATAGCAGAGGCATTAGCATATATCTTCGAGGAAAAGTATAATGTGTACAGCAATATTATAATTGGTTCACTATTATTCCCATCACTGAAGGTGACCATGACCACTCCATTATTATTTTTATTTTTATTTATTTATTTAATTTTTTTAAGAGACAAGAGTCTAACTTTGTTGCCTAGGCTGGAGTGCAGTGGCACAATCATAGCTCACTGTAATCTTGAACTCCTGGGCACAAGTGATCCTCTGGCCTTGGTCTCCCGAGTAGCTCAGAATACAGGCATATGCCACCACACCTGGCTAATTTTTAAATTTTTTCTAGAGATGAGGTCTCGCTATGTTGCCTAGGCTGGTCTCAAACTCCTGGCCTGAAGCAATCCTCCTGTGTTGGCGCCCAAAGATGCTGCGATTATAGGTGTGAGCCACCATGCCCGGCCCCCATTCTTTTTTTAAAAGCTCAGATGTCAGTATTGACAGTCTCTACATAGGGCATATACTAATGGTTATATAAATAATATTTATTTGTATAATCTATACCCATATTCCTTTTCTGATGCTTACAAAACATGACTTAAGATGAGTTCATTAAAACACTTATACATGCTATCCTGGATTAAGCTTAAGGCTGTAATACAAAGCGAGATGACACAAAACCTGGAAAATGGGCTACACATCTACTCGCCATCAAATTGACTAAAACTATGGTGCTCAAAAAATGGTAGTATTCAACAGGGATTTGTGGGGGGGAGACCCACATCTTAAGGATGTGGTGAGCATTGTAGGGGGGAAGGGATTACCCCTATCCCTTTTTAGGGAGAGGCAAAGATACACACTGTAACCAAAATGTCTAAAAAAAAAAAATCTGTTATTGGGAGGTGGACAGGTGAAAGGGGGGAAGAGGGGAAGAGTACGCACTTACATGGTGGGTGCAGTGCGCACCACTTGGAGGCTGGGCATAGCAGGGTGGGGAGGGAGGACAGGGGCAAGATATGTAACTCTAACAATATTTGTACCCACAGAATATGAGATAATAAAAAAAATTTTAAAAAACCACTTATATTTGCTACCAATTTTATTTTAAAAAGCTTAATAATATAAAAAGTTTTCAAATGCATTATAAGAGGCTGCATCGTATCATGCACAAACTCTGTGAGATAGGCAAACTATTGTTACAGTAGTCCCCCTTTATGCACATGGGTACATGTGCATGGGATATAGACGTACCTCAGATGCCTGAAACCACAGTGAATATGGAACCCAATTGCTGTCAATTGGAACACATTTCTGTTCGTGTCTTCCACCCACAAATTCAGTACCTTTTCCATCTTAACTAAGCACTTATTACACACTGTGATCACAATATTAGCAGTCTGAAGAAATACAAATTTCTTTTCCCTTCTTCACAATTTCACAGATAGAAGATTCATTATTTCTGTAGATCTCAGCAACTTTAGCATATGATTTTTTTTCTTTCCTTATTAAGTTAGAGGACTTTCACCTTTTCACTTAAAGAAACCACTTTATTTCAGTTCATAAGCAGTAATACGTGGGTTAAAAAAAAAAAAAAAGAAAAGAAAGAAACCACTTTATGGCTTCTCTTTGGTGTATCAGAATGGCCAGCATCACTACCCTTGCGCTTTGGGGCCAATATGAAGTAAAATGAGGGTTACTTGAACTTGAGCACTGCAATACAGTGACAGCCAATCTGATAACTGAGACAGATAGCTACTAAGTGACCAATGGGCAAGTAGTGAAGAGAGCATGAATGTCTCTGGACAAAGGAACGATTCATGTCCTGGGCAGGACAGAGCAGGACAGTGTCAGATTTCAGTACACAACTCAGAGTGGTACGCAATTGAAAACTTATGAATTGTTCATTTCTGGAAATTTCCATTTAATATTTATCACAGGTGACGACCATGGGTAACTGAAACTGCAGAAAGCAACGCCATCAATTGGGACAGAGGGACTACTTATTCCACTTCATATGTATAGAAATTGTAGCTCAGAGATGTTAAAGGAATTACAGTAGATACAACCTAGTTAGTACCTAAACCATAACACAATCTCTAAATACAACATTCTTTCAACTATATAACACAGCCTCATGTGTTTTACAGTCTAAACCACAAATCAAATTGAAACTTTATTCTGTTAACTTTCAGTAGAATATCAGATTTTACTAGTCAGACATCTTTGAAAATTCTGAAAGAAACTACTCATCCTTGTGAAACCTGAGGCTCAAATTTAAACATGAACTTTAACATTACTAAAATATAAAACACTTACTTAACTACAATGAGCCTAGCCAAGCACAGTGGCACATGTCTGTAATCCCAGCTATTCAGGTAGCTGAGGTGGGAAGATCACTTAAGCCCAGGAATTTGAGATCAGCCTGAGCAACACTGCAAGACGCCACCTCAGAAACCAAAAACCCAACAATAAAAAAAAAAAAATTACAGTGAGCCTAAAGTTTCTAGTAATTTAAGTAAGCTAAAGAAAGAAAAACAAAAACAAAACACAGTTATCAAGTAATATACATATAAACATAATACTCTTGATATGTCTGGCTTATTAAAGGCATCTAAAATCTTATTTCAGAATATTTATTATGTTTTAAAAGTAAATACCTTTAGTGCACTAAGAACAGCAGTAAATATATTAAGCTGCACAGCCTGCTGGCGTACTCCTTTGGCTTGTTTAACACATTCAGCAAAGTGATCCAACATTTGTAATCTATAATAGGAGGATAAAGTTCACATTAGCAATACTTTTATTCAAATACGGCTCAAAAAACAGAGATAAGAAGAGTACAAGTTAATTGTTTAGCAAATAATGCCTATGCTGTCTCTTTTCTATTTCATTCCCACAGCTGGTCCAAACCAGATTTCCTACTCCCAAATTAATATATGGACATACGATTATTAAATAGAGCAATACAAGAGACTAAATATTAAATTTCAATTAGCAAATTAAAATTAAAATTGCAGTAGACTTCAACATTAACACCAATGTCTAACAAAGTGCTTGGCATATATGAGGTGTTCAAGATTTCTTGAATAACAATAATTATGTATCTCCAGAAGATTTTTAAGTTAGAAATTTTAAAATGTGGCCTAATTTTTTTTCTTTTTAAAAAATACTCTTATATAGAAGAAAATAGTACTTCATGTCCTAGCCTCAGAAGCTACTGGGAGAATTCAGAAAAGATGTGGCTCTGGTTACTTTTCTTAAATGTAAAAAACCAGAAGTGAATTGCTTTTTATATTATTTCAAATTTTTAAAATGAGCCAGTTTTCCAAAAAAATTATGTTCATTTTAGACTATTCTGATAAAAGAGAGTGAGATCATTCTCCTTAAAATAAATGGTATAAGCAAAGGATTGCAGGGAGTTGGATTTAATGTTATAACTATGATCTAAAGTAGGAAATCAAAATCTCTCTAAGGTCACTATAAGGATTTAAGCTCAATTTATAATAGACTATAGGTCTTAGGTAAAAGCATTCTTCACAATCTCACAGAAGAAATAATCTAGTCTTCAGTATGACCTCTAGTTAGAACTACTTAGGGCTAAGGTTAACTACTTCTACACTTGCTCTAATATAGATCCACATCTTCTATGCTTGAAGAAGTGGGACATATTTACACTCCTAAAACAAGCACACACACACAGAGTACATACACAGTCTCCAACACTACCACTTGCCTACCTGACCTCAAATACATAACTTTTATTAAAGAGCTTATTTAAAAACAAAACTGGCCGGGTGCTGTGGCTCACGCCTATAATCCTAGCTCTTGGGAGGCCCAGGCGGGCGGATTGCTCAAGGTCAGGAGTTCAAAACCAGCCTGAGCAAGAGCGAGACCCCGTCTCTACTATAAACAGAAAGAAATTAATTGGCCAACTGATATATATATACAAAAAATTAGCCGGGCATAGTGGCACATGCCTGTAGTCCCAGCTACTCGGGAGGCTGAGGCAGAAGGATCACTCGAGCCCAGGAGTTTGAGGTTGCTGTGAGCTAGGCTGACGCCACGGCACTCACTCTAGCCTGGACAACAAAGTGAGACTCTGTCTCAAAAATAAATAAATAAATAAAAATAAAAATAAAAATAAATAAATAAAAACAAAACTATTTCCCCTTTTTATGTTTATTTTATTTAATTTGAAATATATTATCAAAAAGCTACCACACAGAAATTAACCACTGTTACCCTCTGGTACATTTTCTTTTAGGTCTTTAACTTACTTTTACACATATTTGTACGGACTTATATACATATGTACATTTTTACATACTTTAAAAAATGAATTTGCACACAGAGGTATTTTAAAAAAAAAAAAAAATGAAGCTGGGATCACCTCTTGCCTTTTACCTTTTTAATTTTATATGGTATCATAAACATTTTCTGATATCAAAACATCATTTCTATAAAAAAGTATTCCAGCCTATGAAACTTCCATTCTCTATTCATTCATTCTCCCATTATTGGGTATTTATGTTATTTATTTTATATATATTTATTGTTGTTTTACTGAGACAGCGTCTCAGTCAGTTGCCCAGGCTAGAATGCAGTGGCGTCATCATGGCTCCCTGCAACCTCAAACTACTGAGTTCAAGCGATCCTCCTGCTTCAACCTCCAAGCAGCTAGGATTTAACTCACTTTATTCCAGAGATAATGGGGATGAGAAAAATCTGTTTGAATGTAATTTATATTTAACTAAAATTACCTGATTCACTTTATACTAACCGGTGTTTGTAAGAAACATGAGGAAACACTACACCAAAGAGAGCCACAGAGGCATCAATGACTGAGACTCCAAGAGGGAGAGGACCAGGCACAGCTTCTCCAGCTGGTATTCGTAAATAAATGGATGAAGGATCATGCTCAAGAGCCCCACTTCCAGATGCACTGTTTGGCTGGAGCTGCAAAACAGTGAAACAAAAATTATTCAAAATCTACTTTAGTAAATTCACATACTAAGTATTGGGCATGAGGAATGGAACTGGGGAGAAAGGAGAAAATGCAACAAAAAAAGAATAACTGGATCTGAACATTTTAAAACAGATAAAAATACAACTCAGCCACTAAAAAAAGTCATCAGTAATAGCTTACACAATTTTAAGAAAAGTCTCGGCCAGGTGCAGTGGCTCACCCCTGTAATCTTAGTACTCTGGGAGGCCCAGGAGGAAGGAGGGCTTGAGGCCTGGAGTTAGAACCAGCCTGAGCAAGAGACCTTATCTCTACAAAAAATATTAATAGAAAAATTAGCCAGGCATGGTGGCACAAGCCTATAGTCCCAGCTACTTGGGAGGCTAAGGCAGAAGAATTGCTTGAGCCCAAGAGTTTGAGGTTTCAGTGAGCCATGATGATCCCACTACACTCTAGCCCAGACAACAGAGCAAGACTCTGTCTCAAAAAAAAAAAAAAGAAAGTCTTGTTCATTCTAAAATATTTTTACACTACCCATCTTAATGTGTGAACAAAACAGTATTAGTAATTACTTAAACCTACAAAAAATTATTTAAAAGGGAGCTTCAGTCACTTATTTTCAAAAGTACATAAGAAATAACATTCTATTAGCAAAAGAGGTTCTAAATCTTCAACTCCCATTCCTCTCCCACCTGTCACGAAACAAAACACCAATAACCAAAAAGCAAGTTAAAACTGATCTTCACCATAGCCACCATAGAGTATCTAAATGCAAAGAACACTGAACAAAGATAATTTGCCAAATCCTAACTATTGCTGTTTACCTTTATTCACTATTTATCCACCACCAGGTTGCTACCTTTAAGTGTCTAAGAAAGCTAAGTGAAAATTAAACCTTCATCTACAATATTTTCTTTTTAAATGACAATGTGTAATAGGACAATTGTTTTACATTAAGCTAGTGTTTCACTTCCCTGTATGGTTTACTACCTGGTCTTCAATTGATTTATGATCAGTTTCTTGAAGCCAGGAACCAAGAAGAACACTATCATCATAATGGCAGAGGGATCTGAGGAGGGAAGTAGTTGTGTTGGCTGAATTGTCAGTCAAAGTGAATTCTGCTACCAGTTCTCTAAGAAGTGCATTGAAAGATCCTAAAAAACAGAACTTCAGATCAGATTAAAAAGAATAATTTTAATGAAAATTACAATCATTGTACATAAAGAGCAGCAACATGTTCAACATGAATAATATAATTAATCCCCTGTTCCCTTTTTTAAAGAAATCTATATTAAATATTTTAATGCTGGTTTTACTATATAATAACAGTACTTCTTTTTTTATTATCATATGCCTTTTAGCCCAATTATTTAAAATAACCAAAAAATTCAAATAATGGAAAGAGCTTTTATTTTAAATATATTAAATGTGATACAGTTATTATTACTCATTGCCCAATAATGTGCAAATACTGAATCAGAGCATACCAAAATTCTTGGCTATGGTTATATTGGAGAGAAATCAATAGTTTATTTTACTTTTAATATTTTATATAATATTTGATTTCTGTAAAGTATATTACTATTCTTCCTCCAGATCCCTAAATTACTGCCTATATTACTATACACATAAAGCAGTTTAGGATACTAATTAAAAGCACAGACTTTGAAGATAAAACAGCTGGATTTGAATCCAAGCTCTGTCACTTACTAGTTCTAAAGACTTGGACAAGTTATGTTACCTCTCTCTATCTGAGATTTCTCATCTGTTAAATAGGGCTAATTGCCTCCTAAGTTACGCTAGAGTCAGAGAAGCTGATACATGTAAAGGGCTTAGAACAGGAGAACACAGTAAGTACTGTGTCAGCTACTCCACTTGAAGAAAAGTAAAATGAAAAGTATAATAAAAAGGAAGAAAACCTTCCTTTGCAAAGTGAGTCAGTGGGAGAGCCTTAGTTGGAACTCTATAATACTGTGAAGAACTGTAAAGAATTTTTATCAGATACTGCAAATTTTATTTACCTTCATAAGTTTTTGGAGGTAACAAAGCCAAGATATCATAAAGTCTTAAACGGACCATTGCAGCACTAGCTTTCAGATGAGCTCCATGGGCTTTAATTACAGATGGAATGCTGAAATATCAAAAGATAGTTGGTATCAGCTTACCAGAATAAGTACTACAAACTTTTTTTTTTTTAGCAATGTATCAATGTACTGTCAAAGTATTACATTTTCATTTTAGCTTATCATGTGATCTTTACTGTTAGTAACAGAAATACTTTAAGATGTAATTGTATTTCAATCCACACCATTGCTACAATTTTTAAAGTCGCTTTACAAAAATAGTTTTATATGTTTCCTGGATGATTCTAGAAGGAAATACAAAATATGACTGAGAATTATATAAATAAATAAATTTATTTATTGATTCATAAAATAGGATGTGAACTTGTCATAATTGCTTACTTACTGCGACATCATAGTCATGGCACATTCAATAGGAGTCATCAATTTTCTAATCACATCTTCAGTTAGGAGCTCAGGACAATGTGCGACAAAACTCCTCATGGCTAGACAAAATTTTTGAAAGGACAGATTTGGAGCAGCTTTTATGACCATGAATAAATTCATTAAATTATATAAATATAAAGGCACCTATAATTCTTAATTATTATAAAATACAAGGTTCTGAAACCATGTCAAACCAAAAGAAAACTCAGCAACAACTACAGAGAAAAATCATTAGAGAAGGCTAGAAGAAGGGTGGACAGCAGAAATGGAGGGAAGGAAGATATTTTTGAGATTTCTATAAGTGCAAATTTAGGACTATAACCCCCCAGGAACTCAGATAACTACAAAGCAAGCAGTTTTAAGACAGAACCAGGAGTGAACAAAATGATCCAGTGAGAAGGAATATCTTTACTGGCTCTTCAGCAACAGAGCCAAGACTGAAACACCTCTTAGACATGTGGGAGCAAAACTGACCCCTTGCCCAGCTGCCCTCAGGGTTAAGCATGTCTCTCTCTCTCTCAGTTTGGAAAAAGGATTTTCACCCTGAGATAAACCAAAAAAGAACAGGAAAATCCAATATAATTCTAGTTTCCAAATTAAACAAAACTTGAGCCTTTCCTGGAAGCTACTAATCCTAGACAAAAACAACTGTATCCATAATTTTTCTAATGTTGATGTCTGAAAGATGTATTAAGGTTTGCAGATTTGATAATGATGTGAAAAAACAGCTGTTTTTCCATTATGAAAAGGCAAACTTTAAACTCAATAACGTTGGTAATCCTGAGTTTTTATCCTTTATATAATACCTCTTGGGTTTTTTTAACATGGTAACTCAGTGCTTCTCTGATAGGTAAAGTCTGCAACAAGTGAGAATCAGAAGCCTGGGTTCTAGCTCCTGTCTTACCACCAACTCTAACCACTCTTAGTCTCAGCTTCATTTTTATTACAAAGTTAGCAAACTGGAGTCAATCATTTATAAAGTTTCTCTCTACATCTAAAGGTCCATGAATTTATCATTACTATGTAAAATAAAAAAACTAAAATAGTGATTTTTCCTTTTCTTCACAATATTTTAGTATCATCATATTCCAAAAGCACAATCTTTTCGGTTCTTACCACATAAAGCTCCAGCACGGCCTTCCAAAGTCACCTGCCAGGTAAAAGAATCACCTCGGGCCTTCTCGGCCTCTAATTCCTTTAAAGAACGAGGGAAAACATTTCGCCACAGTAACAACATCTTGGGCAGATGGTATCGGACAACAGATGGTCCTAACCAAAAAAATGAGAATACAAAAATCATACATAGGTAACATATACTACAAACAAAAGAAAAGAAAATGAGCCACCACTCAAGCTTGAATAATCTCTCTTTCATTTCACGCTATTTTTATCTCTAAAATTAATATTATTTTCAAAATGTTCTTTATCCAGTAACATATACATCTATTAAAGCATAATAAAATTCACTTTAAAAGTATCAATATTTTTAGCATCCAAACATAAAACAAATACACAAAAAGCAATTTTTAAAGATTACCCAACTATATTCAGAATGGTGGATTACACAGTCTTAATGATAAAATATATCTGGGACATATTGTATGAGAGCTTTTTCATAAATATATATGTACATAAACAGATACATCCACTCCCCCCCCCCCACACACATATATATTCCTCCATTTGTGGGCAATTTATGAAGTTAATTTAGTTTCATGAAGAAGCAGCATATTCAGAACTAGGAACCTGTATTTACATTGCTAAGGAATTCATGTAACATACCACTTAACATTCTTAACATAAATTTCTGGAAAACAGTTAACACTTTTTACTTTCTTTAGAAAAGAAAACTACGTCAAAGTACAATTTCCAATAGAATGCTTAGAACAGTGAATAACTTTGTAGTACATTTACTCACATACTTTTTATAGCAACAGCCAAATGTGTGAACTAAAAACTGGACATACCTCATAATAATATGTATTTCTGTCCTATGTACAATGCTAAACTTTACCTGTATCTCAGATTTGTCATGGCACTTGGAAAGTGAAGCACATAAGGCCTTGTTACCCCAAAAGAGTAGCATCAACAATACTGATTAAATGCGACTTTACCAGTCCACTAAAATCTCATGGCTGATCCTCACTTAGGGGATGGAATTTACCCCCCATATTCTATCTCTTTTGATTGACAATAAGCTAGTCAGGTAGACAATGGCTATTCTGATGGTAAAGGTGAAACTTTGCTAACAACTTTCTCATTAAATGTACTAAAGCAGAATTTACCAAAAAGAGAAATATACTACGAAATGATGAGGAAAACATCTTTAACCTCTTTAACATCTTTAACCATCTTAAACATCTTTCAACCTCATTGAAAGTCTAGAGTGTGAAGTTTAATATTTTTTAATTAAATTTGCTTTAGAGTCTACTGACAGTTATAGTGTAAGACAAAATCCTATTCAAATATAATTATACCTAAAGTCATAAGTGCTCCAAGTAAAAGCCATCCAGCTTGGGTGCGCTGTAAAGACAGCCTGCTATTTTGGGCAGCAGTTCGTAAGAGATCTTCAGCAATACTAACTACCATCTGCAAGAAAAGTTTAGAATTGGGTTTTAATTTAAACAAATATATCAAATAAGAAAATAGATAACTAATATACTTTACTTAAATAGAAGTTGTCCTTTTATTTTGTTGTTGCTGTGAACATATTTTCAAAGAGACAACATCAAGACCTATTTGGTCTCAACTGCACTGATGACTCTGGGAGACCCAGAATGGTGTAGTGGTTAAGAATAAGCTCTAGAGCCAGCCTGTCTAGGTTCATATCCCAACTCTGCCACTTACCAGCCTTCTGACCTGGTACAACTTAATCTCCCTGCCCTTAGTTCCCTCACTGGTATATAGAAATAATAGAAGGGCCTACCTCACTCATGCGAAGATTAAACAAATTAATACAGCATCTGTGCTATTCTGTCTTTTAATCATGTGATAAATCTACTTCCTGCTTTTCCTACTTCTTGTTTAATCTGCTTCCTATTTTTCCTGCGTCTTCATTCTGTAAGACTATAAACTCCATAAGATTAGTTTAATGTTAGATGCATAACAGGAGTTCAACAAATCTTTGAATACAGGATAATAGTACCAATAATGATAGCATGTATTAAATGCTTATACCAGCTAGTGCTGTTCTGAGTACTTTGCTGTTCTTCTATCCACAGTGAAAGGCAGGTATAGACTCAGTAGTTTTAAAGACAGTTCGTGAAAAAGAAGGAACTTGAATTGGGCCTCTAAATAAATAGATTTAAGTTTGGTACAGGTGAATAGGGGATGAAATTGTAACATAAGAGGTTGGCAGAGGAAAGGCATAGAGGCTGAAAAGACCTGGGAAGAAAGCAAGATGACTTGTCTGAGTACAGGAAATTAGAATGAACATGTGGAATGAAGGCAAATTATGAGGTACCAATTTACCAAACAGAGGAGATTATATTTTATTTTCTGAGTGCTGTGCAGTCCCTAAGGGTCTCTGAGCAAATGTGAAATACGAAAGCAGTATGAGGAAGACAGAAAAAAAAGACTTGAAGAAGGATAAACAATTGGGGAAGCAACTACATGAGAAAGGGAGAAATGGAAACCTGGAGTTAAGTAGTAGCTATGGAACTCATAAGAATGAATGGACTTAGGCCTAATATCCCAGAAAAAAATCAGAATTTAAAAATCTAGCCCTAGGCCAGGTGTGGTGGCTTACACCTATAATCCTAGCACTCTGAGAGGCCAAGGCAAGAGGATTGCTTGAGGCCAAGAGTTTGAGACCAGCCTGAACAAGAGCGAGACCCCATCTCTACTACAAATAGAAAAGTTAGCCAGGCTTGGTGGTACGTGCCAGTAGTCCCAGCTGCATGGGAAGCTGAGGCAGGAGGATCACTTGAGCCCAGGAGTTAGAGGTTGCAGTGAGCTATGATGATGCCACTACACTCTAGCCAGGATGACAGAGTAAGACCCATTCAATTTTTAAGTATTTTTTTTAATTTTTAAATTTCAGAATTACAGGGCCAATTTTTAAGTATTATCAAAATGCTAAATATGAGCCAGGCATGGTGGCTCACGCCTGTAATCCTAGCACTCTAGCCAGGGCAAGAGAGTGAGACTTTGTCTCAAAAAAAAAAAAAAGCTAAATATGGCAACAGCATATTATCCTGACATCTTTGAATATAGCAATGTGAACTTTTATTTCTAAAAGCTGGTTTTTAAATAATTATTATAAATTTTTCCCCTCTAAAATAAACTATAACATACTATACCCAGACCAAACCTATTATTCCTATATCAGAATTAAATACCAAATTATAATTAGGGTCTGCTAACCCCATTTAATTAATAATTAGCATTTAATTAATAATTAGCAGAACACTATATTAACATAGGACAGGTGTTGTTATTCGATCACCCAATTCAACATTAAAAACAGCAGTGTTCCTATCTAGACTGAAGCCTATGTGATAACTAGTGTTCACAAATCTAGGATCTCGGTCATACCTTTCCTTTGGCATGAGGAATGCCCAAAGGACACTGATGAACTCCACCCAACAAAGCAGCCATTGCAAAACTGTATCCACTAACAGCTTCTGGTGACGTCTTCAAGTTGTTGAGCCGTTCTGCACACCTGTCTAGAAATGGCGTCAACTGGAAAGGTAATGCCACAGCCACACAGCGCAAGCACCATGCAGCAGCAAGTCGAGCAGCCATACTTGGATGAAGCAGCACTGAAGTCACGATCTCCAAAAGTCCTAAAAAAGAAATATTCAAAATATTACTCTTTAATAAAGTCAAATGATTTCAGAAACTAAGACTATGTATGTAACACAGTAATTAAAATCATAATTGCACACATATGGTTTTCACACAACTTTGCCAAAAAACACATATATTACTTATAAACAGCAGAGTACTTTACAGGAACATTTTCTACACAGAACACAGTACAAATATATCCATAAAACATAAATGTCGATGTAAAATTAAATGGAAGTCTTTAATAAATTTTAGTCAATTATCAGAAACAACTACCATGACTGTTTCCCCTTTGTCTCCCAAACTCAATAGTCCCTAACACAATGAATCTTAACTTAAATGAAACCCAATGACCTACACTGCTAATTATGAAGTTAAGCAGCAACTAATCAGGAGTTACATATCGATCATACCTATGACTTTGAAGAACAGTGAAAAAATGTGCCAGCGAATAAGTGAACGTCATACCTATCGATGCTTCCTGAATAAGCGGGGACGCGGTGGCATTCAGGCTCTGCACCAGGCTCCCCAGCTCCTGCAGCGCACAGACCATGACGTGCTGGCTGGCTGCGATGTCTGCTGCACCAGATTTGTTTTCGCCACTAGTGTCATTCACTACTGCTTCTAGAAACACAAAGTCATGCCTTTGATGTGCGTGAACTGAACTGTGATACAAATTTTTTGGTCTATACTATTTATGTTTTTAGTCATAGCAATTGATGGCTGAGTGTTAAAAATTCTATGCAGTTATTTCTCAGGGAAAAACTTATGTAACTGAATTGACTTAAAAGCACTGTTTAATGACTTTGCAATGCTAAAATATATACTGAGGTATACACTTGACTGCTTGTAGGAATACAGCCTGATTTTAGAAAGCAACAGCAACCCACAGTGTACAAAAACCACAGACTCTGGAGAAAGACGACTTGGGTTAAAATCTCAATTCCACCAGTCATGTTAGTTATGGGACATTAGGCAAGATACTCAACTTTTCTGTCTCAAGTTCCTCATCTGTTAAAAGGCTTATGTGCCTTTCTCAAAAGGTATTACGATGATTAAAAAGTCAATGCATATAAAGAATTTAACACAACACTTCCCCCAAAACACATTCAATAAATGTTAGCAGCTATTACAGTTACTTTATTATTATTATTGCTATTTCAAGGGCTCAATATATGGGAGGTATTATCGTCAAATTACTGACCAGAAAGTGGATTTATAAGGAAAGTGTCTTTAGATCTTCTCACTGGAATTAGTTTTGCTGGTCCCTCTCCCCACGTGTTATCTTCCACTGGAGTTGAAATGTATTTGACATGAGACAACTAAAGATCCCTTGTCGAATTATTTATTAACAGTACAAATTAGCCCATAAATTTCCCATATATATCATTGTGTTTTATTATGCTTTTAGGAATTTTTTTAAATCAAATAACTAACTATGACTTTAAGATTAATAATCTTTAAATGATAGCAAAAATTTTTCTTTCCTTTTATGCTTATTTATCACGAATAGATTATAAAAATATATAATAACAGAATATAACAGATTAATAAATTATGGACTATAATTAAATACCTCTTTTCTTTTCAGATATTTCTGGACTTGGAAATGTATGAACTCTATCTTTTGATTGCTAAACTATAAGCTCCCTGAAGACAGGTGCTTTTTCTGGCTTGCAATTTTACTCTCACCATTTGGCACCGTGTTTTTGGCACCCAATCATTTCTTCAATGAATCAATGCACAATTATTTTTGAAGTTGTGAACCTAGGACAGATTACTATTTTAACATATCTAAAGAATAATACCTCATTATTTTAAACACCACTTAATTCACAATTCATCATGTTCAGTTAGTCTATATGCATTTAAAAATGGTTTACTAAGTAAGCTATTAGAAACAAAAACTACAACTATTTATATTAATTTTATAAAATATTTAATATATTCTCTAAAAATAAATTACTGATTATAGCTATTCATCAAATCCTTGGTTTTTTTGTTTGTTAACTTTTTTAGAGATGGGGTGTCACTTTATGGTCCAGGCTAGAAAGCAGTGGCACAATTACAGCTTACTGCACCCTTGAACTCCTGGGATCAAGCAATCCTTCCATCTCATCCTCCTACAAGTGCATATCACCATGCCTGGGAAATTTTTTTAATTTTTCTATAGAGATAGGGTCTCGCTGTGTTGCCAAGGCTGGTCTCAAACACCTGGCCTCAAGCCATCCTCTTGCCTTGGCCCCCCAAAGTGCTGGGATTACAGGCATGAGCCACTGTACCTGGCCTGAATCCTCAAATGTAATACAATTGCAATCAAAACCTCAACACCAGTTATGGAACATGACAAGATGATTCTAGAGTTCACTGGAATCACAAATGTGAATAGTTAAGAGCCTCTTAAAATTGAAAAATGATGTGGCAGGTCCTACAGTTCAAATACTGAAACCTATTTTATAATACTACAATAATTAAAACAGTATAATATTAAAGAGAAAAATATAAAATAAGTCAATGGAACTGATGTGTCCAGCCTAAATCCTTATTTCTAAAGATCTCCGTCAGGCAATATAATTTGCCTTATTAAAGTTAATGTAGGCCGGGTTCAGTGGCTCATGCTTGTAATCCTAGCACGCTGGGAGGCCAAGGCCAGGGTGGATCACTTAAAGTCAGGAGTTCGAAACCAGCCTGAGCAAGAGCGAGACCCCTGTCTCTACTAAAAAAACAGAAAGAAATTAATTAGCCAACTAAAAATATATAGAAAAACTTAGCCAGGCATGGTGGCACATGCCTGTAGTCCCAGCTACTAGGGAGTCTGAGGCAGAAGGATCACTTAAGCCCAGGAGTTTGTAGTGGTTGTGAGCTAGGCTGACATCACCGCACTCTAGCCCGGGCAACAGAGTGAGACTCTGTCTCGTTTGTTCATTCATTCATTCATTCATTCATAAATAAAGTAAGTTAATGTATATTTCCAACAGTGATAAAACTAAAGCGTCTTGCAGAATTTATACTTAGCCTTGCTCTAGTCCCCTTATAATTGGATTATAAGCTCTATGAAGACAAGAACTGTATCTCCCTGATCATTTAAATCTTGAATTACTACTCTATAAATCTCAGATATTGAATAACTATTTTAAACTGAAAAATTAATAAAATTGAAACTTTTTAGAAAAGGGTTTCTTATAATTATGAATTATTGAGATTTCACAGTATATCTTATAGGGAGCTAATATCCATCTGTAATTGCTCCTCTCTAAGTCTTCATATTAAGCCTATTAAGAGAGGAAAGAAAACAACAAAAGTATAGGTTTATAAAACATCAGGTTCCAAGCAGAAAAATTATAATAAGATTACTCCTTGAAGACAGCACTCTATAGGCTGTTGCATACCAGGAGAGTTTTAAAATCAGTATAGGTACTGGATATAAAACAGAAAGCTTAATCTTACAAACATGCTACCCAAATCTTTAGAAACTCTATTTCACTATAATTATATGTTGTTTTACTATCAAATAAGAGTACTCAATAAAAATGACTACAGGCCCAGTGCAGTGCTCAGGCCTGTAATCCTAACACTCTGGGAGGTCAAGGCGGGAGGACTGTCTGAGCTCAGCGAGTTCAAGACCAGCCTGAGCAAGAGGTAGACCCCATCTCTACCAAAAATAGAAAAATTAGCTGGGTGTCATGGCTTGCACCTGTAATCCCAGCTACTCAGGAGGCTGAGGCAAGAGGATCTCTTAAGCTCAGGAGTTTGAGGTTGTAGTGAGCTATGATGACACCACTGCACTCTGTCTCAAAAAAATAAAATTTAAAAATAAATAAATAAAATAATAAATAAAATAAAAATGACTATAAAAACATTGTCCAAAAAGGTATAAACTTATCGGATCTATTAAAAATAATAAAAAAGAACTAAATGACAACACACATCATTATATAAATTCTTACCTACTGCTTTCATTTGTTTTCCAATAGCTTGGCATATTTCTTTGGCAGCTGCAATCTGGGCTTTTTCACCTAGCAAACTGCCCACAGTAGCTCTTAGGATAAAGGAGACACATCGTCTTGAGTACACAGCCTCCACATGTGTTTGTGTCGCTCGAGGATGGGAAACCAGATCAAGTACATGGGACAAGAATGTAGCAAAACTACGCTCCAACCACTGACCACCCAATGTTGTCACAAAAACAACATAAGCCTATGAATAGATTAAGATACAACTTCAGATAAATTTATATAAGTAAGCAGTAATTACAAAGTAACTACAGAAGTAACTAATGACAGCATGCAAAATAAATTACATTTCAGACTAAAACAGAAAATTTAAACTTGAGATCTTTTTAGTACTTCTGGCATAGGAATTACTGGTAAAGTACCCATGACTAAAAACAGTTCTTAACATAATTGCTTCATGAAGAACAGAAAGAGAGTGGTGAGGAAGGCAAGAAAAGGTGAATTTACCTCAGTGATGAGGAGGGTAACAGATTACAGGAATAAGAAAACATAACATTCTAAATAAACACACACTTAGAGCTAGAAAGCACTTGCTTATGATTTTCTCTATAAAATAAAATGGTTTACTTCTATTTTACACTTCAGGGACAAAGTGAGTTGTTGTGATTTTGACTTAAACCAAGATTTTGACTATGATCACCATTTCATCTTACTAGGTCCTAATTATTAGATCATTATGACCTTTTATTTGGTGTTAATTATTATTTTGAAATTATAATACCATATAAAATTTAATCTTATAATTACATTGGTGATTACTCATCCACAGAAAACCCAAAGTATTAACCAATATTTTTAGCTATAGAGTCAATTAGAGAATATTAAATCTAAATGCCTCAAGCTACCTAAATGCAGTTTCAATTAATACTGAGTGAGACTATATATTGATTTTCTGCCAGGTATAATCTGGGAACAATTTTTAGATATTTATATGAATATCCTAGACACAGGCTTATTCACACATCAAGTATCTACCTTTCCGTATAAGCGTGTAATTTAGAATTTGAATGTAATTCATTCATTTGGTAAAAGAAATGCTTTGAAAGAACCAGACAATATTTGAAAATCTGTTATGTGACCGCGCATGGTGGCTCACACCTGTAATCCTAGCACTCTGGGAGGCCGAGCCGGCGGATTGCTCAAGGTCAGGAGTTCGAAACCAACCTGAGCGAGACCCCGTCTCTACTAAAAATAGAAAGAAATTAATTGACCAACTAAAAATATATATATATATACAAAAAATTAGCCGGGAATGGTGGCGCATGCCTGTAGTCCCAGCTACTAGGGAGGCTGAAGCAGTAGGATCCCTTGAGCCCAGAAGTTTGAGGTTGCTATGAGCTAGACTGATGCCACAGCCCTCACTCTAGCCTGGGCAACAAAATGAGGCTGTCTCAAAAAAAAAAAAAAAAAAAAAAGATCTGTTATGTGCTATTACTTAGTAACAGACTTCCATGAAACTTTACAAGTGATATGAACAGAATTCTCTTCTACATATATGTTACAAACCTGTGTAACTCCAACTCTCACTTCACGATTAACAGATCCTCCAACTTTTAACATTTCTCCACCACTCTTTAAGAAACCTGACCCTCCACGTAGAAATCCTGTAGCCATGAGTTCCAAGACTTCATCCAATGTCGCTCGCTTCACATTTTGACGCATTACTTTCAGGAAAAAAAGGAAATTCATAAGCAAATATAGTTCTAAAGTATATTTTTTTGCTATTAATTAAATCACATTTCTAATACTTTAGTTTAAAAATTCAAATAATTATTTTTAATGATACTTTACTACAATAAGGACAAGATTTAGTTTCTTCATAAAATCTTAAAATTTACAATGTTCGGTCGGGCACGGTGGCTCACACCTGTAAACCTAGCACTCTGGGAGGCCGAGGCAGGCGGATTACTCGAGGTCAGAAGTTTGAAACTAGCCTGAGCAACAAATCAAGACTCTGTCTCAAAAAAGCAAAAAATGCTAAGAAAAAAATAGAAGGAACTAGAATACAAATGCAAGTCAATAAATCTTTGCCAAAATAGTCTACTAATAATGATAAATTTAATACTATATGTAACATAAGAAGGGCACAGCACACCCACAGCAGAAACTACTAACTAGTCACAGCTCTCATTCCCATCTAAGACAGACAAAAAGAAACTTTCTCAACATAGTGCTTTCTATACAGTAGTTACCAACGGATTAAAATGTCACTGGGAACCAAACCAGCTTCATATGTTATAAATACCTTCATATTTCATAAAGTCCTTTCCCATAACAGTGGCAAATACAATACTCAAAATAATTCTGTAGAGAAAGTATAAAGCTCATAGTTAAGACTGTGGGCCCTGGAATTTGGCTGCCTGGGTTTAAATTTCAACTCCAACACTTACTAGAACACTCTTTAGAACACAAGTTATACGATCTCTCTAAGCCTTAATTTCCTCATCTATAAAATGATAATAACAGTACTTATAATTTATAGGGCTTTTGTGAGAATTTTATAATATGCGTAATTCAGTGCCTGGCACACAGTTAGCACTTTGAACTGTTACATCATCGCCATCATCACCTAATGAAATAATTACCATTAAAGACAAAGAAACCAAAACTCAAAGAAATTAAATATGGTTTCACAGGTAATAAATATAAAGGGTAGGACTTGAACCTAAAACATCTGGTTCTCTTTCTACTACAAAGAGGTGGGGTAGGAGTGGAGATAATGGCAGAGCTGGCTTCACTCATCACCTAGTCACAACCACCCCTGAGACATCTCTATGGAACTGTAGGGCAAAGCAAGAGTCACTTGAAAAGTCAAAGCTGCTTTTGAATCTGCTTATAATAACTGTAAAGAAAAACTGAAAATTAAGACTGTAGTATAGGCCAGGCACGATGGCTCATGCCTGTAATCTTAGCACTCTGGGAGGCCGAGCCAGGGGGATTGCTCGAGGTCAGGAGTTCAAAACCAGCCTGAGCAAGAGTGAGACACCATCTCTACTATAAATAGAAAGAAATTAATTGGCCAACTAACATATATAGAAAAAATTAGCAGGGCATGGTGGCGCATGCCTGCAGTCCCAGCTACGTGGGAGTTTGAGGCAGCAGGATTGCTTGAACCCAGGAGTTTGAGGTTGCTGTGAGCTAGGCTGACACCACGGCACTCACTCTAGCCTGGGCAACAAAGTGAGATTCTGCCTCAAAAAAAAATAAATAAATAAAAATAATAAAATAAAGACTGTAGTATAAATAAGAATCTACACATCAGATATTGAAAGGAAGAAATTAGCAAATAGGCTGGGCACAGTGGCTCACACCTGTAATCCTAGCACTCTGGGAAGCTGAGGCTAGAGGATCACTTGAGGTCAGGAGTTCAAGACCAGCCTCAGCAAGAGCAAGACTCCATCTCTACCAAAAATAGAAAAACTAGCCAGGTGCGATGTGCACACCTGTAGTCCCAGCTACTTGAGAGGCTGAGGCAGGAGGATCACTTGAACCCAGGAGCTTGAGGTTGCAGTGAGCTATCATGACGCCTCTGTACTCTAGCCAAGGTGACAGAGAAAGACTCTGTCTCAAAAAAAAAAAAAAAAAAAAAAAAAAGAAGCACTCCATAAACCTTCAAATATCTATTATAATCTAAATCAGGGTTGGCAAACAACAATACCTGTTGCCTGTTTTGGCATCAATGCTGTAGCCATGACTGTTCCTAAGAGTTTAGAAACTGCCACTCGCACCCCATAATTTGAATTTTCCAAAGCCTTAAAACACAGAGTGGCTATATTTTCCAGTTCAGCAGTCCACATGAATACAGCTTCATTCTGTAGTTCTAGTAGACACTAAAATTAAAAACAAAAAACAATAAGTAAATTACATCCTAGAACTTCTGCTTCTAGAGATGGAATATCAAGAGCCAGATTCAACCTCTCCTGAAATAACCAAAAAACTGGACAAAATATATTAAACAACAGTTTTCAAGACACTGGACATCAGGAAATGAAGAACAGTTATCCTAAAGAGATGGGAAACAAACAAAATGAACCCTACAACTATCCTAGCTTACTGTCTTCAGAGAGTTTCCAGTACTTAGGGAGAAATGTATAATATTAAACCACTATATCAGAAAAGAGCAAAGGTTTCAAGTCAATAATTTCAGCCTCCACTTTAAGAAACTAGATGAGCAAATTTAACACACAGTAAGCAGAAAAGGGAAATAATAAAGATAAGAAAGGAAATTAATTAGCTATAACACTGAAAAATAATAGAAATACAACCAAAAGCTGCTTCATTGAGAAGGCAAATTTGATAAACCTCTATCTAGACCAATCAGGGAAAAAAAAGTAAAAATTACCAAAATGAGGTATGAGAGAGGTCAAATCACTACAGAGTAATCATGTTTTAAAAGGGTTAAGAAACTGAGACAGTCTGCCCTGTTTGAAAGAAGAATAAAAAAATAAATAAATAAATAAATAAAAGGGTTAAGAAAATATATGAAAAACTTTATGCTAATAAATTTGACAACTTAGATGAAATAGACAACTCATTCAAGAAATGACAGATAACCTAAATAGTCCAATATCAGTTTTAAAAATAATGCTTTTGTAAGTCAAAATCTTCCCCCAAAGAAAACACTAGGTCCAGATGGCTACACTGGTGAATTCAACCAAATGTTTAATTAAGAAATAATACCTTCTGGTGCTTTGGGGAATGAAAAAAAATAAATAAATAAAAATAAAAAAATAAAAAGAAATAATACCAATACTGGCCAGGTGTGGTGGCTCACGCCTGTAATCCTAGCACTCTGGGAGGCCAAGGTGGGAGGATCACTTAAGGTCAGGAGTTTGAAAACAGCCTGAGCAAGAGTGAGACCCCGCCTGTAATCCTAGCACTCTGGGAGGCCAAGGTGGGAGGATCACTTAAGGTCAGGAGTTTGAAACCAGCCTGAGCAAGAGTGAGACCTCATCTCTACTAAAAATAGAAGTTAGCTGAACAACTAAAAATATATATAGAGAAAAAATTAGCCGGGAATGGTGGCACATGCTGGCGCATGCCTGTAGTCCCAGCTACTCAGGAGGCTAAGGCAGAAGGATTGCTTGAGCCCAGGAGTTTGAGGTTGCTCTGAGCTAGGCTGACGCCATGGCATTCTAGGCCAGGCAACAGAGTAAGACTCTGTCTCAAAAAAAAAAAAAAAGAAATAATACCAATTCTGTACAAACTCTTCCAGAAAATTGAAGAAATCTTTCCAACTCACCCTATGAATGCAGTTTCACCCTGACACTAACACCTGACAATGACACAAGAGAAAACACTACACCAATATTCCTCACGAACATAGATATGAAAACTCACAAACTTTTAGTAACTCTAATACAAAATATATAAAAAGGAAAATACATCATGACCATGACCCAGTGGGATTTACTAAAATTCTAAAACTAGTCGATGCAATTCACCACATTAACAAACTAAAAAAGAAAAATCAAATAATCATTTCAATAGATATTGAAAAAGGATTGGACAGAATACAAGTAAAACTGGGGAAATCTGAATAAAATCAGATTATGTCAATGTCAATATCCTAGTTGTTGCATTGTGGTATACTTTTTCAAGATATTATCATTGGGGGAAAATGGGTAAAGGTTTATAAATATCTTTCTATATTATTTCTTACAATTGCATGTGAATCTGCAATTATCTTGAAATAAAAATTAACCAGACAATAGCAACAACAGAAACAACGTAAGTAAACGAATTTAAAACAAAAGGCATTTGACAAAATCCAACATCCGGGCCGGGCGCGGTGGCTCATGCCTGTAATCCTAGCACTCTGGGAGGCCGAGGCGGGCGGATTGCTCAAGGTCAGGAGTTCAAAACCAGCCTGAGCGAGACCCCGTCTCTACCATAAAAATAGAAAGAAATTAATTGGCCAACTAATATATATAATATAAAAATCAGCCGGGCATGGTGGCTCGTGCCTGTAGTCCCAGCTACTCGGGAGGCTGAGGCAGGAGGATTGCTTGAGCCCAGGAGTTTGAGGTTGCTGTGAGCTAGGCTGACGCCATGGCACTCACTCTAGCCTAGGCAAGAAAGCGAGACTCTGTCTCAAAAAAAAAAAAAAAAAAAAATCCAACATCCGTACCTCTGAAAACATCTCTTAGGAAACCAGAAATAAAAGGGCACTTCCTCAACATATAAAGGGCATCTACAAAACAACCTACAATTAACATACTTTCTGGCAAAGGACTGAGTGTTTTCCCCTTAAGATCTGGATCTAGACAAGGATGTCTGCTCTCAAGTATTCTATTCAACACTGTACTGAAGGATGTAGCCAGTACAATATGGCAAAAAGAAAAGAAATGAAAAGAATCTAGAATGGAAAAAAGGTAAAACTGTCTTTATTCATAGACAACATGACCATTCACATAGAATATACAATATAATCTACCAAAAGAAACTGATAGGGCTAATAAGTCAGTTTAGCAGGGTTGGTGGATACAAAATCAATACACCAAAATCAATTCTAATTCTGGGCACAGTAGCTCATGCCTGTAATCCCAGCACTTTGGGAGGTCTAGGTGGAAGGATCACTTGAGGCCAGGAGTTCAAGACCAGCCTGAGCAACACAGTGAAAATCCCATCTCTACAAAAAAATTTAAAAATTAGTTGGGCATGGGGGCATGTGCTATATAGTCCTAGCTACTCAGAAGCATCCCATGAGCCCAGGAGTTCAAGTTATAATAAGCTATGATCATGCCACTGACCTCTAGCCTTAGCAACATGGCAAGATCCTGTTTCTAAAAAAAAAAAAAAAATCTATTGTATGTCTCTATGTTAATAATGAACAATTAGAAATTGAAATTTTTAAAAAACACCATTTAAAATAGCATTACAAATATGAAATACTTAGGGATAAATCTGACGAAAGATGTGCAAGATCTATACACTGAACACCACAAAATGTTGCTAAGAAAAATCAAAGACCTAAAGAAATAGAGAGATATATCATGCTCCTAGATTGGAAGACTTAATGTTATTAAGATGTCAATTCTCTCCAAATTGATCCCTAGATTCAATGCCACCTGAATAAAAACCTCAGCGTGCTCATATCTATAATCCTAACACTCTGGAGGCCAAGGCAGGAAGATTGCTTGAGCTCAGGAGTTTGAGACCAGGCTAAGCAATAACGAGATCCTATCTCTACTAAAAATAGAAAAATTAGCTGGTCTTCAGAGCTCACACCAGTAGTCCCAGCTACTCAGGAGGCTGAGGCAGGAGGATCACTTGAGTCCTGGAGTTTGAGGTTGTAGTAAGCTATGATCAGGCCACTGCATTCTAGCTGGGGTGATGGAATGAGACTCTGTCTCAAAAGAATCCCCAAAATCTCAGCATGATATTTTTGTAGACACTGATAAGCTAATTCTAAAGTTCATATGAAAATGCAAAGGATCTAGAATTTTTGAAAAAGAACAAAGTTGGAGGGCTAAAACACCTAATTTCAAGACTTATTATAAAGGTACAATAATCAAGAAAAGTGTTATAGGTATCAATACAAACAAATAGATCAGTGGAACAAAACAGAGTCCCAAAATATATCTATGCATATATGGACAACTGATTTTTCAAAGGTGCAAAGGAAATTTAGTGAAGAAAAGATAAGCATTTTAATGTGATGCTGGTGTGGTAGATATGCGTATTAAAAAAAAAACCACTTTGGTTCATATCTTGCACCATAAACAAAAATTAACTCAAAATGGATCATGTATCTAAGTGTAAAACTATAAAACTTCTAGAAGGAAGCATAGGAGAAACCTTGAGTTAGGAAAAGTTTTCTTAGGTGTAACAGAGAAAGCACAATACATATAAGAAAAATTGATAAACAGGACTTAAACAAATTCAAAACTTCTTTAAAAAAATGCTATTTAGAGAATGAAAAGACAGGCCACAGATTGGGAAAAAAATTGCAAGTCATGGATCTGATAAGGGAATATACAAAGAACCTAAAAACACTCTCAAAACTCAATAATAAGAAAATATACTCACTAATAAAACAATGGGCAAAAGATTGGACACATCTTTCTTCAAAGACTACATGGATGGCAAATAAGCAACTAGAAATATGTTTATCAGTCATAGGGAAATTCAAATTAAAGTCACAATAGAAACTTGGGCGTATCTATTAGAATGGCTAAAATTAAAAAGACTCTTAGTAACAAATGTTGGTGAGGATATAGAAGAACTGGAATTCTCATATAATGCCTGTGGAAATGTAAAATGGGGCAAGCAAGTACTTTGGAAAACAGTTTGGCAGTTACTTAAAAAGTTAAATATAGCCGGGCGCGGTGGCTCACGCCTGTAATCCTAGCACTCTGGGAGGCTGAGGCGGGCGGATTGCTCGAGGTCAGGAGTTCGAAACCAGCCTGAGCAAGAGCAAGACCCCGTCTCTACTATAAATAGAAAGAAATTAATTGGCCAACTAATATATATATATATATAAAATTAGCTGGGCATGGTGGCACATGCCTGTAGTCCCAGCTACTCGGGAGGCTGAGGCAGAAGGATTGCTTGAGCCCAGGAGTTTGAGGTTGCTGTGAGCTAGGCTGATGCCACGGCACTCACTCTAGCCTGGGCAACAAGCGAGACTCTGTCTCAAAAAAAAAAAAAAAAAAAAAGTTAAATATAAATTGCCATGTGATTCAGCCATTCCAATCCTAGATATTTACCCAAGTGAAATAAAAGTGTATGTCGGTGCAAAAATTCATATACAGATGTTCACAGCAGCTTTTTTTTAAATACTGCAAACTGGAAGCAACCCAGATGTCTATAATAGGTAAAGGAACAAATGAATGTAGTATATCCACAATATGTACTACGTAGCAATAAAAAGAAATGAACTATTGATACATGTAACAACATAGATGAATCTCAAAATAATTATGCTGAGAGAAAGCAGCCAGAACACAAACACAAAAATATATTCCACATAATTCCATATATATATAATTCTAAAAAATGAAACTAATCCATGGGAACAAAAAACACGCTATAATTTAAAATTTTAAAGGAAAAAATAATCACTGTTTAAGAACTACCATGATAAAGAGCAGCATTATAAAGTGCTGGAGTACTAACCTTGGCCACTGCACATCGAACGGCCATTGACCTATCAGTCAGGAGAGACCTGGCATTCTTGTAAATATCACGATGTGAGGAAGCTGCTGCACCACCCAGTCCATTTAGAACTTTCTGTAGACTCATTAAGATTTCACTTCTCCCTTGAGACTAGATGTGTACATAAAATAAAACTATATTGTAAAATAAATTCCATGTTCAAACAAAAATACACTAAGACACAAAAGTTCTTTGGACCTAATATATAATTACCTCCAAATTATATATGGTAAGTAATGACAAGAAAAATAAAATTAAGTATTCTAGAAAGTACCTGAAAAGTAAGAATAATTACTCAATTAAATCTCTTTCTGAAAAATTCAGTTACAACAAGGAAACATATTCCAATGTTTCTGTTACATATTGAAGTACGATATAATGAGAACATGAAGACAGATTCAAAAGCTTCAATATCGTATCTCAAGGGTCCAAACTTTTAGAATGTAAAAGATTAAATAAAAAATAGTTAGAAATATTGTAAACCATTCAAAAGAGGAAGAAGAAAACATCCAACACATTTAAAAGAGTTTGTCAGAAATATAGCAAACCTTCCTCTTGTGACTAACTCAAACTCTTGTTTCTATACTCTCATAGTGCTTATTCTTATTTCTAATAATACTTATTCACACATAGATCTCTTCCACTGCATTGCAAGCTCTTTGAGGTCAGAGATCACATCTTACTCATCTTTGTGTGCCTAATGCCTAACAAATAATATGTCCTCAATTCTTGTTTAACGAATGAATGGATAAATAGTTCCCAGAAGAGGTATCCAATCCTAATCAATGACTAGTACCCTTATAAGGGAATAAGAATTTAGACACAGAACACAGAGGGACAGGAATATGGCCATGTGACAAAGGAGGCAGAGATTGGAGAGATACATCTATAAACCAGGGAAGACCAAGATTTCCACTAACCACTAGAAGCTAAGAAGGAAAGGAAGCATTCTTCCCCAGAGCCTTCAGAGGAAGTATGGCCCTGCTGACACTTGATTTTAGACTTCTAGCTTCCAGAACTGTAAGACAATAAATTTCAATTGTTTTAAGCCACCCAGTCTGTGGTAATTTATTACGGCAACCACAGGAAATTAATACATTAGCTATGGCACAAAAAATAAAAGGTTAATACAAAAATAACCATATGGCTAAAAAAAAAAATAGGTAAACCTATCATTGTCAAGGAAAAGCATTCTTTCCTTGCTTTCTGAAATATAAGGTAATGTACACTAAAATAAGGGGCAAGTAATAATTTGAAATTACCTCTTTACTAAGCAATATGAATACCACAGTGACAGAAAAAAACACATTTTTAACTGACATCTAACTCTTGCCAGAAGCAAAACATTCAAATAATATTTGTTTTAAAACTTACCTCTGCACTTTTCAGAGATTTCAAAAGATTATTTACTGTTTCTGGAAAAGCACTGCCCAACATTCTTCCCATTTTTTCATAAAATGCTCCAACACAAGCCACTGCAGCCCTGTAAGAAGTGATATTTTCACTGGTTATTGTTCAGGTTAATGATACAATTTCATTATACTGACCTTAAAAAATCAATTTGTATTTGCCTAGGACACTTTTGACTATAATCTTTACTTTCTTTTTTTTTTTTTTTTTTTTTTAAGTAGAATTTTGCATTGTAACCAGACTATAATCTTTAATGTTCAACTTTCAAAAACAACTTGTTTATCCTTTATAATTGTAATGAATACTATAGTTAATCAAATTGTATTCTTGTTAGGAATACAAAGGAATAAACATATATGTACATAATAAATCATACCCACCTTTTGCTAAGAAACCCAAGCTTTCCTTTTATGAAGACTTTCAAAATTATGCAAATCCACAACAACCCCTCTCTTCCCTTATTATATATATAACACTTAACCACACATTTTGACAAAATTGTATCATTTACTGTGTTGTGACTTGACCATTTTATATGTCTTTATCTTATCCTGTGAGTGGAAATGTAAACTCCATAAACAAGGAATATATCTTATACATTTGTATTGCTCACAGTACCTGCCTGTGAACAATACAAATGTATAAGATATTTAATAATACTACACTGTTATTTGTAAACCTGTAAAATCTAATCTAAATTGCATTAATGGAACACTTGGAAGAATAAAGTAATAGCAGCACGTCTCTTTAGGAGTAAGAAATGACCCCACCACCACTCGCGTCAATAGTAAGTGAACAGCTGTGAGTTTAGCGTACAGGCAGAAATAACACACAGTGGTTAAGAGCAGATGCTCTGGAGTCTGTGCCTAAATCATAGAACTTGCCACCTAATAGCTATGTGACCAGAGCAAGTTACAGATGAGAGAGGTTAAATAAATTTAGCTTACAATCATACAGATAACAAATAGTAGAATCAGGGAATCGAACTTTACCTCTTTGACTACAAATCTCATGGTTTTTTCAATACTCTATAGGCTGATGATAAATTTAAAAATGGCTGAGGTCACAGGCCAGAATATATTAGGAAATTCCTAAACAGAACCCATGAATCCATTTGAAATACATATGAATAATATGTAATAAATTCTATTTAACCAGAACTACAAAATTATGTATTTGCTAAGTGGTGGTGAACTAAATCATCAAAGTATTAACATAGGTTAAAATTCCAAAATAAACTAGAAAGCCCTAGTATTCTCTAATCTCCTCTAAAACTTCTGAAGTCTGTATCTACCCCAGACAACACAAAATCTAATCACAACATAATCAGCATCCAGGTTCAGAATTTCTCGATTTTCTCTGTAAGCTGTTACACTTGCCCTTGTCCCTGAATGGTGGTGTTCTACAGTGGTATCCTTGGCTGTCTTCTCTTCTCAAATAATATCCTCTTCCTAGGTAACTGTATTCATAGTAAAGGGTTTAGCCTACTCCCAAATCTCCTCCATTCCCTACCCACCAAAACTATATTCCCAACTCAGATCTCTGAAATCCAGACCAGGATTTCCAACCACCTACTATATATTGTCACTCAGCTATTCCCACTCCAGAATCAACATGCCTAAAACTGAACTCATTACCTTCCCCTCACAACTGGTTCCTCCATCCTCTATTTTGTATCTTCTGACAAGCACAATAAATAAAGTATAAATAAGCCACTTTTGTTTCCAATTAGCAGTTTCCTTTACCTAGAAAACAGACTGGCAAATTACAGCCAGTGGCGACATCTGGCCCATCATCCAGCCTGCCACCTGTTTTTGTAAATAAAGTTTTATTGGAACACAGCCATACTCATTCATTTACAGACTATCTATGACAGGGGTGAGTAGTTGCTACAGAGATGCATAGTCCACAAAGCCAAAAATACTTATTATCTGGCCCTTTCTAGAAAGTCTATTGACCCTTAGTCTATCATATCCATCTTTGCTCCTTCCATCTTAACCCCTTACCTAATTTCCACCTATCCTTCTTTGATGGTTGGTCTTCTTTAACTGATCCATCTCTGAGATGCCTTCCTTGACAATGCTTTCTCCTTACACCATAGCCAAGCTTATTAAGGTGTTATTTTCCCTCCCATAGTACTCTTCATTGTACTATAAATGTTGATTTTCTTATTTGATTCATTCATAGGCTATATCCCTATAGCCATTACCCTTAACACTTGCTCCAACAAGCCTGCCCTTGATCCAAACCGCCAAGTATGGGCTAGGAGTTGGGTTAAGCCCTTAATCTAGGGGTCAGCAAACCTGCAGGCAAAATGGTCTTTTTCACAACTGCTGAACTCTGGCATTATAGTGTGAAAGCAGCTACCACTTAAAGGAACAGGCATGTCTGTATTCCAATATAACTTTACTTACAAAACAGGCAGTAGGCTGGATCTGGCCTAGGAATAGGCTATAATTTGCCTATTCCTGCTTCAATTACATCACCTACTTTTCTATCTCAGACAATATTATCTCCATCCAAAGTTACCAAAAGACCCCTGTACAAATTGCTGACACCACATCAATTCTTTGTACTGTGCTAGAAGTCCCAATGGTAATAGATAGGTGGAAGTAGACTCCCTTTCCCAGATCTACTTAGAGTTTTTATTGTCAGCAGAATGCCTCAGGTTCTATCCACTGGGGGTCTTTATGGTTAGTAGTCCCTTACTAAGTTTCCCTGAAAGAACAAATAAAACTTCAAAGATCTCTGTCAAAATAAGTACTTACAATTTTGTTGGTAAGTAGGCTGCAGTATCATCTTTATTTCTGATAATGTCATTACATTTATCAAGTGTTTGAAAAACTGTAAAAGTGTCTCCAATGCTATAAAGGGCTGCAAGATTTTTAGCTAACAATTTCCGGGTAGGTGGTCCAGGTGAGCTACTTATTAATCCAGTTAATTGTTCAACAAGTTTTTTCTGTTTTTCCTTTACATCAGTCTGTTATAAAAAAAATTAAAGAGAGAACATCATTTTTTTCTATATACTTTTGCCACCTTTTAATCAAAAAATACTTAACATTTAAAGTGCACTAATAATTAAAATGTATATTACCTTAAGCATAAAACCATAAATGACCATTTTCAAGATAAGGAAGAGTTCAGTAAGAAATGAACCATTCTTTCTTTCCTAGATTAAATTTTCTTCTTTATTCCTCTCCAATGCTAACAAGTTAGCTTCCACTAAAAGTAACTACCTTGATCCAAAAAGTTTCCAGGCCAACTTACTAAGAAATAAATCAATAGTCAAAGGATGCAAAATATTGGGTGTATGGACAACTGATATCTTAGAATCCAAATAGGTTTCCCATGTAAATGCAAAGTCAGTAGTTCATAAAGTTACGGGTCAGTGAAGGAAGCCAAAAGAAACGGAAGAGCCCTAGGAAACAGAAAAAAAAAAAATACATATATCTACCTATTATCAATACCTAGAATTCATTTATTCATTCATGAAATACTTACTGTGCACTTAAAGTATGTAATGTACTATTCTAGGCACTGGGATGCAACAGTGCCTAGATTAGTTAGAAAAGGCCTCTCTGAAAAGTGAAGGGCGGAGCTATGCAGATGACTGGGGCAAGAACATTCCAGGTAGAGGGAACAAGAAGATCAAAAGTCCTGAGCCTGGAGCATGCTTGGCATCCCTGAGGATAGCAAGAAGGCCAGTTTGGCCAGAGCAGAGTAAGAGAGAGAAAGTGGCAAGAGATGCAGTCAGAGGGTAGAAGGGATCAGGTCATGCAGTGTCTTATATATCACTGTAAGAAATTTGTTTTATTCTGAGCAAGAATTTGAAGTGGAGGAGGGTCATAATCTAAATGTTTTAATAGGTTCATTCTGACTGCTGAGCTGAGAATACTCTATAAGATACATGGATGGAAGTATCATGAGCAAACAGGGAGCAGATACAGTAATCCAGCTAAGAGATGATAGTGGTAACCATGGAGATGATAAGAAGTAAATAAATTCTGGAAATATTTGTGGAAGAAACCACAGGATTCACTGATGACTATTATGTAAAGTTTGAGAAAAACAGAGAAGTAAAGAATGACTCCAAGGTTTTTGGCCTGAGCAACTAGAAGGATGAAACGGTCATTTCCTGAGATGGAGAACATGAGGGAAAGAGCAGGTTTGGGAGGGGAAATCAAGAGTTTGATTTGGATATGATAACTCGAGGATACCATTTAGACAAGAAAAAGGTGGAATAAACAGCTGGATATCTGGGAGTCACTATCATATACATGGTAATAGAAATCATAACATTAGACAATATCACTAAAGCAATAAGTATACATAGAAAAAAAGTACCCCAGACTGAGGAAGAGCCAACAAAAGAGAATGAGGAATACCTAGTGAAATAGGAGAGGAACTAAAAGCAAACAGGAAGAACTTCATGTAAACTGTGCAAAGTAATAATAACAATCTTATTTTTTAATTCAATGGAGAGTATACAGATAATCATATGCTTCATAACTTAGATACTTAGTTGTTAAGTATAACATAACTTAGATGTTATATATACTTTTTTTTTTTTTTTTTTTTTTGAGACAGAGTCTCACTCTGTTGCCCGTGCTAGAGTGCCGTGGCATCAGCCTAGCTCACAGCAACCTCAAACTCCTGGGCTAGAGCAACCCTTCTGCCTCAGCCTCCCAAGTAGCTGGGACTACAAGCATGTACCACCATGCCCAGCTAATTTTTTCTACATATATTTTTAATTGGCCAATTAATTTCTTTCTATTTATAGTAGAGACGGGGTCTTGCTCTTGCTCTGGCTGGTTTTGAACTCCCGACCTTTAGCGATCCACCCGCCTCAGCCTCCCAGCGTGCTAGGATTACAGGTGTGAGCCACCACGCCTGGCCTGTTTTATATACTCTTGTATTTATCAATTTCACAACAAAATAAAAAATGTTTTAGTGGTTCAGGGTCAAGGCTAAGCTATGTCAAAAGATGGGGATGGATCAAAAAAGACAGAATATTGATCATTGTTTTGGGCAATTTGTGATCTGTGATAGCTGGAGAAGAGTCGTTTCAGCACAAATCCCCAAAGGTAAATAAAACAGGAAAAAGAATCAACACAAAATTTGGAAGTCAAGTATTCCCAATAAGGAAAGCTGAAAAGAGACCCAACTTACAACACAAGACCTCCTAAGAGATCATGGTTTTTTAGGTCCTAGGTGCTTCTGGAGGTGGGAGTAAAGTTGCCCCAAGAAATGGGGGAATGGTTGAGAGTCTGTTTAAGCTATAAGACTTTCTCCTCCATTCCAGAAGAAGACAGGAATCTTATTCTCAAGAAAGAGTAAAATACCTCATCTCTGGACTAGAGGACCCCTGGCATAGCTGTGGGCTGGGGAACTGTGCTGAAAACAGAAGTAAAAGTTCACATACTGACTACTGAAGTTCCTAGTCTTCTCACCCAATTCCTAGAAGCTAGGCAGGTAGCCATTAACTCTTCAGACACTAGAATAGAAAACTCTCTTCTGGGAAATAATCAGCCTGGAGAAACCTAAGATAATAAGGTAAGCAAACCAGCCTACAGTGAAGTCCAGTTAACATAACTGGCCCTGCCCAGAAAACTATTAAATTTGATCAGACAGCCAAAGATCATCAGATCTTTGAGCAAAGTATCTAATTTTAAAGGCAGAAAACAAAACACTCAGACAATAAAAGGCAAATTGAATCAAAGAGGCTATACAGGAAGGAAACAGAAAGAAAAAAATAAAAGCCTATTATTTACTCCTCAGAGAGATAAATAAAAACATAAGATTGTTAGGCAGACTGAGAGACCACTTGTACTTGGTAATGATGAATTTAAAGTCACACCAGTCGTGTAGTCATGTTTTTCTCCAGTCACACTGAGTTGCCCAGGTAGAGACATGCAGTAGACAATGAGCTGGATTTAAATGAGGTTTGGGTTTTACCAATGAATAGAAAAAATCAGACTAGAAATACCCATCATGTAATATTCTCAAATTCCATAAGTAACCCATAAACTTTCCAAAACATAATGTGTGTTTTCTTACAAATCATGAACACATAATCTTTTTGTGTTAACCCAATTAGGAAAAAAAGCAATACCATACCTTGTTGGCAGCAACCAAGACTTTGTCAAGAAATCGCAACCATTCAAAGATAAAAACTGGTCTCTTTGCTTCGGTGATTTGAGCCAAAGCTTCTTCATTTAGCAATAAACTGTGGGCTAACTCCATTACTGAAGTTTTAAATTCCCACCTTAAAACAACAGAGTAAAAGGATTTTGTAAGGATTTTTTAATGTTAAAGCTTAATGAATGTAACCACTAAGAAACGAAACGTATGACTTTACTTCCCATGTCATTTGGGGGAAAAATATAACAAGGCAAAACCTGAGAAACTACTTTTAAAGGACAAAGGTACAAAAACAACTGTGCTTGGTGAGGAAGAATGAATAATGAGATGAAAGGAAAACTGAATATTGCGAAAAGGGCATTATTCCAGAAGAAATATGCCTACCAACACATACGTCACGAAGTTGTTCTATAAATGAGAAAAAACTTAAGCACCAAGATCAAACACAACAGCTGGGCCTGACAACCCATCCTCCTTATTTTCTCGTCCACCGCTCGGTATATAGCACCTTTGCCCCTCCCCCGCTGCACCTAGCCCAGGAGGAGGTCAAAACCTCCCAGCATAACGACCCCAAACTGCACGTCTCCAAGACTCTTCCTGCAGGCATGGGTCGGGGTGGCCAGGTTCCCGTGGCCGCAGCGTCAGTGACAGCACCGGGTGGCCCAGGAATGCAGGCGACAGAGGCCTCGCGCGTTCGGGGTCTGAATTCACCCGGCTAGTCCGAGGACCGTAGCGCAAAGCCAGGCCGCCGAGGACTGAGGGTGGGAGGGATGCAAGAGGCCGCCGCAGGCCTCCGCAGGGTTCCTCAGGCTGTCAACCGCACGGGGATGCGGCTCCGAACAATCGCGGAGCCAGAAAGGGGAAAAATGTTCATTACGAACTCGAATTTCCTCCCCACCCCTCTGCAAATGTACAGGGGAACCGGGGTTTGTGTGCGCGTCTATGTGCATGGTCCCGCGACCTCACCTCCCAGTCTGGGGCCGATCAGCTGAGCTCCAAATGCAGAAGCTGCCACCAAGGGACCCGGATGCCCCGCCTCCCGCACTCGGGACAACAGGAAGCGAGAGGAGAGCGCGTGCGCGGAAAACTGGTCCTGCGCAAGCGCACTCACTACGTCCTCCTAGCCCCGCCTGCTGCAAGTTTCCAATTGAGTCTGCGCTCGGATACTCAGTCTGAGCAGAGGCCTCGATGCGCTGCGCGTGTAATGGAGCATACGCCGTGCGCATTCTCCAGAACTGAACCGGAGCGAGTAGAGCTACCAGGTAATGATCTGGCGGCGATCGGCAGGATGGTAATAGGCAGTGCGCATTGGCTGGCTGTGATTACCCATGGCACCCTCAGCCTCTTTCCCACCCGAGGGTGGTGGCGTCGGTGGGACGCCTCCGGCTAGGAAGAGCGCGGGAGGGAAGGGGTCAGCGGTTCCTGAGGGAAGTATTTGGGAGTGAGGCGTTTCTTGTCACCTTTCTACTGTATATCCAGCTGCGTAGCCCATCTCTCCACTTGTGTATGTAATGGGGCTCTCAATATGTCTGAAACAAAACTCCTGTTGCCACCTCCTCGCCGCTAAAGGGAAAAAGAGAAAGAAACCTACTGCTGCAGTCTCTCCGCTCTCAAAAAATGTTAACGCCATTCTTCCCTGCATTCAGGCCAAAAGCTTGGCGTAATCTTGACATCGTTCTTTACACACCACCTAAAATCCAGCAGCAAATCCTGTGAGCTCTACCTTCAAATATACCCCAAATCCGACCACTTCCACTGCTATCACTCTAGTCCAGGCCACTGTCCCCTTTGCCAGGATATCACCTTGTAAAGTGTGTGCTTATGTTTGATGGGAATTGATGATGCTAAAGTATATTGTACCAATAGAAAGGGTGCTTTAAAAAGAACTGTAACTCCATACTGATCTGCCTAGCACTTTAGAGCTAAATATAGCTTAAAATAATTAAAAATAATCTAATCCTTAAAAAATAAGCTAATCCTATTTGCAGTAGCAAGACTGCCGAGACCTGAATTCTTTATTTTGAACAAGTCATTTAGCCAGACTGGGCCTTAATTTCTCCAGTTGAAAAGCGGAGCTCGCTATTCCTACCTCATACAGTTGTTGATGATAATTAAGTGATAAAAAAATATAATATGCTGGGTAAGTGCTAAACCATTGTGTGTAAAAAAACCCTATTATTACAAATAAAGAATCTGAGGTTTAGAGACAGTGAATTACCACAAATGCTGTATATAATCATACACATTTTTAACTTACAATTAAAAATAGGTAAACTAAACTGTAATGTTTAAGGACGTACATGTGGATAATGAAACTGTAAAGAAAAGGAAGGAAGTAATTGCCGTCAAAGACAGAATCGTGACTATTCCTAGAACCAAAGGAGGTGTGTGATAGGGTAGGGGACAGAGAAGGCTCCCGGGTAGTTGAAAAGGTTCTGTCTCCTGATGTGGGTGATGGTTTGTATTATGTTTTTCTGTATAACAAACTGTTGCAAAATTTAGCAGCTTAAGATAACTAATCATTTACTATCTCACAGTTTCTGTGGGTCAGGAATTTGTTACCAGCTTAGCTTAATTTAGCTTGGACTTTTAAGAAGTTGTAGTGAAGATGCCAGACAGGCTGAGTCTTCTGAAGGCTTGACTGGGGAAGAGGAGCCATTAACAAGGTGGCTAAGTCCTGTGATTCACAAGTTTGTGCTGGCTGTTGACAGGAGGCCTCAGTTCCTCCGGTGTGGACTTCTCCATAGAGCTTCATGAGTGTCTTCATTATGTGACAGCTGACTTCCTGCCAGTGAGGCATCTACTAACTTCAGAGTTAAAGTGATCTAAGAGCTGCAGTGTCTATTATGACCAAAATGTCAGCTCCTTCATTTCCATAAGATCTTATTGTTTATACAGGTCAATCCTGTTCACTGTGGTAGTAGACTACACAAGGATATTGCAATCCAAGAGGCAGGAATCACTGAGAGCCATCTTGGAGGGTGCCACAAGGTTATAAGAGCATTCGCCTCACAGTAATTAAGTAAGTATACATTTATTTTGTGTATTTTCTGTGTTTATGGTATATTTGTTAAACAGTGTTTTAAAATGACCTGTTGACATAAGAACAAAAGCATTCTATTATTACAAAATCACAAATATTAAAGACCCTTCTTTAAGCAGTGAAGTAGCAGGTGTAAGAAAAAAAAAAAAAAGACCCTTCTTGTCCTCATTGTAGCTAAACATTTATTAATAATTTATGATGTTTGGGATGCAGTGGTAGGTAGGAAGAATATAGACTCATCTTTGTGTTTTATAGCCTAGTTGAGAAGATATATACTAAAAATATTGAAAATCGGTACTGTAATCCTTTTTTCATCCAATGTGATTGTCCAGATTCTTGGTTACCGTTGACAGGACCCCTACTCAAGCAAGCTTAAATAATGCAGAAATGTAATAATGCATTTTGCTGGGAAGAATGCTAGATCACAGCATCAAAGAAATCAGGGCCTTGAAAACTAGAATTGGTGACTTCTTGCTTTTAAGCCTGACTTTCTCCATTTTCTCTATCTAGCTTCATTCTTCAGACAGGTTCTCTTCATATGGCACAGAAGATGGCCATCCACAGGCCAGCTTCAGATATCCCCACTTCAGAAACCCCACTAAAGAGAGCTGCTTTTCCCCACAGCCCGTATATTCATATCATATAAGGGAAGAGATGCTTATTTTCCCTGTTTGGGTCATCCTTCCCCTGTTGCTGGGACATAGGGTACTATAATTGGCTGTTTTTGTGCCCAAGGGAATAAAGGGTACTGATATTGCCACTCTCCACTAGAACCACATGGAGGGCAGAGGGCTGGGTTCCCAAAGGAAAGAATGATGCGCAGGATTAAACAACATATGTGTATACACTTTTGTCTCTAGCAACTGGACTAGCTACATTGTCTGGGAACCTGTTAGAGTACAGAACTCAGGATCCAGCCCCAAAATCATATTATGCATTTTAAGATAGCAGGGCAATTCATATACATGATAAAGTTTGAGAAGCACTTTTCTAGATATTTATTTTAATCCTATAAGGGCTAATAGTTACATGGTTTTAACTATGTTAGATGGAAACTGTCCCCCAAAATATTTCCATATAAGTGAGGTGTTACCTATGTCAAGTTCCAAATGAGCAGCTTGAACATAAACTGCTATAGAGAGAGTACAGGTTTTTGTGAAGGAAGGTAGCCTTGGCCTAGCAGGAGGGAATGTCTGTGGTATGTATTCAGAGGGCAATGAGAAGCCCATGTGGCTTGAATAGTGAATCTTAAAGGAAAGTCAGGTCAGATTATGAAGGATGACATCTCATACTTTGCTAGAGTGACTGTCCACCACTGCCTACAGGGTCAAGTTTATTGAAGGTTTTGAAATAGGAGAGTAACCTAACTTGACTTGTATTTAAAAATAATAATGATGATGATAATAATAACTCTGGAGGGGGTGCTGAAGATGGATTGGAAGAGGAGAGGCCAAAAGCAATGAGACCAGTTAGGAAATTGTTATAACACTTTAGGTGAGAAAAAGGTGCCTGAACTAAAGCAGTGGTCACAACTGTAGAAAAAATGTCTGTGAGGAACATTATGGAGGAAGAATTGACAGAGGTGTATAAGAGGTCAGAACAGGGAAATAGTGATGACATTCATGTGGAAATAGAAGGGATGCAGAAGGTTTGCGGGGAAAGGAAATGAGTTGTTTGGGTTGTTGAGTTTGAGAGCTCCACAGATAAAGATGCCCAAAGAGTACTCAAATAGGTAGTAGGGCTCTAGAGAAAGCTCGTGGCTGGGCGTACATAAAGGTTTGTTTCCATTTTGATAGACTGAAATATATATATATATATATATATATATATATATATACACATAGGAATTCTTACTGTATCCTATTTGATTATAGATACTATTGCCGTTTTAAGTTGAACATGGCGGAAGAAGAGGACTATATGTCTGATTCCTTCATTAATGTCCAGTAAGTAAACGTGCACACCTAACGTAATGGTATGTATAAAACATGTAGATTATTAAGCAATGACATTGATTTTAAATATGAAAAGTTAGTCTTGCTTTATGGAAATACCTCCTATGTCTCCATACAAAGATACTAAGAGCCCCTTCTTCCTTTTTTTTTTTTTGAGACAGAGTCTCCCTATGTTGCCCGGGCTAGAGTGCCCTAGCATCAGCCTAGTTCACAGCAACCTCAAACTTCTGGGCTCAAGTCATCCTCCTGCCTCAGCCTCCCAAGTAGCTGGGACTACAGGCATACACCACCACACCCAGCTAATTTTTTCTATTTTTAGTTGTCTGGCTAATTTTTTCTATTTTTAGTAGTGACCGGGGTCTCGCTTTTGCTCAGGCTGGTCTCGAACTCTTGACCTGAAGTGATCCTCCTGCCTCCACCTCCCGGAGTGCTGGGATTACAGGCGTGAGCGACCGCACCCTATCCCTTCTTCCTTTTAATGCTAACTATTTTTCTTCTGCCCTTGATCCTTTTTATTGCCCTCTTCCCAGGAAATTTACTCCTTTTCTTTTATTTCATCTTATTGTCTCTTCTAGCTGCTATTCACTTTTGTTCTTTGTTGTTGCCAACCTCCTAGAAAAATCAGTCTAAACTTACTATTGCTAATTTCTTCAGTTCTATTCTTCGTTTAGTTTCCTACAACCTGGCACCAGCCTTCATCATTTCTACTAAAACAGCCATTCTTGGAGGTCACTGATGATACTGTATCAGTGATGACAAAGATGATTGTAGAAGTAGTGTTGAAATATTAACTAGTGTCAAGAGAGTATTGGCAAAGTTATGAGAAAACTTCATGTACTCATCTAAAATAACTTCTTCCATTATTGTTCAGAGAAGATGTCAGACCAGGTTTGCCAATGCTGAGGCAAATCCGAGAAGCCCGTCGAAAAGAAGAAAAGCAACAGGAAGCAAATGTGAAAAGTAGGCAGAAGAGTTTAAAAGAAGAAGAACAAGAAAGACGTGACATTGGGTTGAAGAATGCACTAGGCTGTGAAAACAAAGGGTTTGCTTTGCTCCAAAAGATGGGATATAAAAGTGGTCAGGCTCTTGGCAAAAGTGGTAAGTCACATTCAGAAATAGACAGGTGTTCCTAACCACCCGATTGTGATTTATTGATGAGGACTAAAGCTGATGCTTTAATTTTTATCCATTTACACAGAAATTAAAACAACTTAAGCTTTTTAGTCTCTTAAGTGCTAACAAGCCTTATAGGAAACATTTGTCTTCTCACATCCATTTTAGACCCCACAGCACCATCAAGAGCTGTTTACCAGCCCATCTTACCTGTGTAGGCACTAACAACAGGGATGGATGTGGCTTACGATGGAAGCAGCAAAGAATGTTGACAGGTGATGGGCTGAGAAGTGCAATGGCCAAAGACAGTGAAACAGCATTGAGGATGATGGCAGGACTCTGCCCTGCTTGCTCTGTACCTATGGCAACTGTCTGAGTGACTGTCCAATTGGAGATTCCATTTTCACCTCCCTTTTTTGGAAGTGAACTGTTTATTAATATGTAGACAGTATATGTCTAGAGAGAGGCTATATGTTTATAGTAGCTTCTATAAACTCTTTTTCTTTTTTCTCCTTTATTGTATTAATAATTGCTTTGCTTTCTCTTAAGGCTGTCATCCTCTTAGACCTATATTATCAGTGTTGTCACTCTTTCTTTTTTCCTTTATTGGAAACAGGGTCTCACTATTTTACCTAGGCTAGATTCGAGCTCCTGAGCTCAAGCAATCCTCCCGCCTCAGCCTCCCAAATAACTGGGACTACAGATGTGCACCAGTATGCCTTGCTAGTGATGTCATTTCTTAAAACCCCACCTTTAGGTGGCACAAGAGGCTGTGAATCAGCCTTTATGATGACTAGGTATTTGAAGACAAGGGAGGTAATTGCCAATATGTAGAGTATTGATGTTCAGATTTCAGTTTTGAATATCATTGAAACTCGAGGAGATATGTATAGAGCATTATAAAGTTGCATGCAAGTATACTGGCCTGTACTTTGAGGAAAAATTTCTCTTTTTGTTGTGTTTTTGTTTTGTTTTGTCTTCACTAGAACTGTTTTGGTATTAAAAAATGGCAGTTGCTTCAAAAATCTTATGGCTGATTTGTTATTGCATATGAGATAACAATAGGTGACAAAGAATTTCTAAAGTCGTTTGTGTTTTATTCTCTTTTTTAGGAGATGGTATTGTTGAACCGATTCCTCTAAACGTCAAAACAGGTAATGTAATTGTTTTTGAGCATATTTACCAGTAATAGTAACTTTACAATTAGATTTACCAGATATATTTATTCAATAAATACTTTATGATGGTACTGTTACAGTTCTTATCATAGGAAGCCTTCAGTAAAATTTTGTTAGTTAAACTTCTAACATTTTAAACTAGAAATAAAAGTACGTTTTAGTCAGTATAAAATACAATTCAAATCATAAAAATATGGAGAAAAACATCATTGTAACCACTGAAAGCACAATACTGTTTTTGTCCATTAAAGAAGTGTTTTGAGACAGACTTATCCATTAAATGTTTTGCTTAATACTTTAGATAAATTCAAGAGAAAAACTATATTTTATTAATATTTATCATATTTAAATAAAAGTATGACAGTTCATGGTATTTTCCTGATTTTAGAATAAAATTTATGTAGTATTACTATAAGATGAGACTAATGATCTTTGTAAAAATCAGATCATGTGTTTGGGCTTTTGGGAAAAAAAAAAAAACCTAGCGTTGTCTCCTATTCTTCTAGTCAAATGATTTGTGAGTAATTATACGCAAATGAGAATTGCATTAATTTGTAAATATTTAAATTGTTGTGTTTTAAAGTACCAAGTCAGTAAGTTTCTCATCAGAATTTTCTATTTGAACAGGGAAAAGTGGCGTTGGTCACGAGACATTATTGAAACGGAAAGCAGAGGAAAAATTAGAAAGCTACAGAAGAAAGATTCACATGAAAAACCAAGCTCAAGAAAAAGCTGCAGAACAGTTTCGGTAAGACTGTATATTTGAGCTGTTTTCGGTTTCATCTCTTTATTGTTGTATGTTCTGTGGTACTTAGGCATAGAAAACTGGTTGAAGAGAATATAGACTTTTAGTGTACAATTTTTTCTTTCAATTAGAATGCGACTTAAAACTAAGCAAGATGAAATGAAGCTAGAAGGAGATCTTAGAAGAAGCCAGCGAGCCTGTCAACAATTGGATGCCCAGAAAGTAAGCCTTTTACCTGCTTTCAGTTTAGTAAAGTGTTTTGGCATCAAGTATGATTTGCTATATATTTTTATTTAAAAAAACAAACCAAAACTCCAAGTCTACTTTATCTAGCCTTCCACCCATTAAAACTTTCATTTAAAGTGCACTACTAACCTGTGATAATTGATAACAACAATGGCTTGTTTACTGCAAGAAGCTACATTATGTGTGAATTACCCATAAGTATGTGCAGAAATTCTGTTCTTCATAATATTTGATTAACCATAATAGCCTATTTTCAGTTCATATTCAGTGTCTTATATGTGTCTAACTAGTAAAATCAAGTGGAATGCTATCTGTTTCAGATTTGAATAGTTAAAAAAAAAATTCTATCTTTGCCTTTCTGTGTCTTAGATGTTTAAGTACTAGGAAAATAAAATAACTTCATATGGAGTCTCAAAAATGTTTATAAAATTTTCCTCATATAAATAGAATGCCGGAAGCAATCTCTCACTTTTCTGTATTTACATAGCACTTTGTTTTGAATATATTTCATGACACTTATGATTTTCTGGCATATATTTATTATTTCATACACATTTTTCCTGACAGACTATCAGTAGCAATTTGGAGACAGTACTGTAATTGAATTTTGCATGCACATAGTTCATGGCACAGTCCTTTTACTCTTAAAGCAGCACGCTGTAAATATTTATCGAAAGAGTGAATTCATGTTGACATGAACATACTGTGAATTTTACGTTTAGCTATGTTTCATAGAGAATAATTCTGTACTTTCAGAATATTCAGGTTCCCAGGGAGGCATGGTACTGGTTGAGGCTTGAAGAGGAGACTGAAGAAGAGGAAGAGGAAGAAAAAGAACAGGATGAAGATGAATATACGAGTGAAGATTTAAGTGTATGTTTTGGCACCATTTCCTTTGTAGCAAGGTGTCTCGGCCTTGACACTATTAACACTTCCAGCCAGTGGGTATCCATTGTTGTGGGGGGCTGTCCTCTGCATGATAAGATGTTTAGCAGCATTCCTGGCCTCTGCTCACCAGATGTCAGTTGCACCTCTCTTCATGACAACCAAAAATGTCTCCAGACATTGCTAAATGTCCCCTGAAGGGAAAAATAGCCCATGGTTGAGAACATTATAGGATTATTTTATTAATCCTAAATCAAAACTTTCATGTAATTTTCCCTTTAGCTTCCATTTGCCCTCTCCCTTCAGCTTTAGTTTGGATGATGGATTAGCTGCAAATATAAATTATTTAAATTTTTTAATATGCATGTTTTATTTTATATTTTTCAGAATATTACAGAGGTACAAATACTATGGTTACATATATTGCCTTTGCACCACCCAAGTCAGAACTACAAGTGTGCCCATCCCCTAGACACTGTGCATTGCACCCATTAGTTGTGAATTTACCCATCCTATCCCCCCCACCTGTCCGACAACCAATGAATGTTACTTGCATATGTGCACATAAGTGTTGAATTTATACTTTATTTCCTGTTAAACTTCTGGAAGTGATTCTAAATGTGTACTTCTTCCCCCACCCCCATATATAAAACAAAACAAAAAAATACAATCAAAAGCAAGTACAGATTACTCAAGAAAGGCAGATACACTCCTAGGCTTACTTGAGTATAAGAATTTGATAGAGGCTGGCCGGGCGCTGTGGCTCACGCCTGTAATCCTAGCTCTTGGGAGGCCGAGGCGGGCGGATTGCTCAAGGTCAGGAGTTCGAAACCAGCCTGAGCAGGAGGCCAAGACCCCGTCTCTACTATAAATAGAAAGAAATTAATTGGCCAACTGATATATATATAAAAAATTAGCCGGCATGGTGGCGCATGCCTGTAGTCCCAGCTACTCGGGAGGCTGAGGCAGAAGGATCACTCGAGCCCAGGAGTTTGAGGTTGCTGTGAGCTAGGCTGACGCCACGGCACTCACTCTAGCCTGGACAACAAAGCGAGACTCTGTCTCAAAAAAAAAAAAAAAAAGAATTTGATAGAGGCCAGGCGTGGTGGCTCACGCCTGTAATCCTAGCACTCTGGGAGGCCGAGGGCGGGCGGATTGCTTGAGGTCAGGAGTTCGAACCCAGCCTGAGCAAGAGCGAGACCCCATCTCTACTATAAATAGAAGAAATTAATTGGCCAACTAATATATAATAGGAAAAAAAATTGCAGGCATGGTGGCACATGCCTGTAGTCCCAGCTACTTGGGAGGCTGAGGCAGCAGGATTGCTTGAGCCCAGGAGTTTGAGGTTGCTGTGAGCTAGGCTGATGCCACAGCACTCACTCTAGCCTGGGCAACAAAATGAGACTCTGTCTCAAAAAAAAAAAAATTTTGATAGAAAATATTCACTATTTGGAAAACCTATATTCCACTTAACTGGGAGTCCATTAATGAGAACTTTTATGGCAAAGATGACAGTGTTCATCTTTACCTTATCTGAGGGAAATAGATGCCTTGAAAGAAAAAGGGGTCTTTAAAGGATGCTGATTATAATAAAGCCAGCCAAAACTATTTTCTGAATGTTAACACGTAGTCCCTATTGTGTCTGGCAGACTTGTGAAAATCTCAGGTGGCTAATAAACTGGAACATATTCAAATAAGTTATTAATACTTCTGCCCTTTACACCTCTAATAACTGTTTGAGAATATAACAGAAGATTTGTACCCTTGGGCTAATTCAGCATGATCTAAGAACCAGAAAACTAAGGTTCTGTTCAATGTGAACTATTAATATGCTTGTGTCTTCTTTCTAGGTACTGGAAAAATTACAAATACTGACTAGTTATTTAAGACAAGAACATCTATATTGTATTTGGTGTGGAACAGCCTATGAAGGTAAGAAAATGGTTTATATTTTGTAAAAATATTGAATACAAATGATCTGATTTTTAGTAAAAGTCACATTTCTTTTTTTTTTTTTTTTTTTTAACATACCAAACATCTGTTTCAGAAAGTCACATTTCTAACAGACAATGGAAGTTTTTTATTCCATTTGTCCTCAAAAAATAGTGGCTATAGAAATAATTAAGGCCCTATTAAAATTACATGTAACTTTTCAGAAACAATATGCAGAAGGGAATTTTTCAGTGTTTTGTTTTAAAAGAAAAAAATTTTAAACTAACCTGAGGATGATGAATTTTTTCATACTTTATTTTTAGAGATTCTTTCTTGGGCTACAGATATTTGAAAGATGTTTATATTAAACTTTTAGAACTAATTTTTATGTAGTTAGGTAGAATATTGTCCCTAAACCATAAAAATTAGATATGTTGAAATCCACTCCATTTTTTTCATTGTAATGAAAGAAATGGTTTAAAACTTGCCAAATGACTTAGAGAGCTAAGTGCTTCCACTCCTAATGCATTTGTCCAACCTGCCTTTGCTAACTTGTATTTAAGAACTTTGTACTTGAGAGTGAAGAATTTTTGGTTATTGCTGTTTTTATCTTTTCCTGGTTTGTTTAGTAAAGTCGCAAACACAGCAGATCAAAAATAAATGAATGTCATATTGAAATTATTTTCTAGAATAGTTTACTGTAAGAGTTGTATTAATTTTTATTTTCCTCACATAAATTACAGATAAAGAAGACCTATCTTCAAATTGCCCAGGACCAACTTCTGCAGATCATGACTAAGGTTATTCCCAATAAAGTGGAAACTTGAAAAATGTCATTGTTTTCTAGAGGTAGACATTTCAGCAGTTAGAAATCCCAAATTGTTTATGCCAGTAAAGAAAGAGGGCCTTTACATGTTTTGTTCTTTTTGTACTTTAGAAGTCCATACTTTGTACTTTAGAAAATAATCGCTCATTGACTTAAAGAATAATGCAATGCTATTTGAGAACACAAGTGTCATAGACATGTACAGTTACAATTCATAGCTGCATTGTGATGCTTATGAGGTTTAAGAACACCAGCAACTAACTCTGTTATCCTTTCTTCATTTTGGAACAAAGTGAGAAATAAGACATGAGAGTCAGAGGAAGCTAAAAATACCAGCTTTATCAGTGATGAAGCTGAATTAGGGAATAAGGTTGATCTTTTCCCTAATCAGATCCTAATATTTCTCCCTAATTGGAGGGAACTGCAGGCCTCTGCCTTGTTGGGGCAGAGCTCATCTTTGCATTCTGCCACCAGTTAGCTTTCATGGTTAGGGAACCCACCAGGGGTGAATGAGGTTCAGAGAAGTTTTTTCCATCCTTCTCTCTCCCAAGAAGCAAGGAGAAGTTCCCTTCCCTTCACCCAAGCATGAGGAGGAGAGGAAAAGTATTCCCCTCAATAAGACTGATGTCAAAGCAGTGTCCCACTAACACTAGTAAATTCTAATCAGTTTTAGAGACAAAGTAATTATATTTCTGGTAAAATCGTGAGTTTTCATGGCAATGTATACATACATTGTAAGTGTTCTGATGTAAGTGTTTTGGCTAAAGAAACTTAATTGGGAAGAACTTTAAGTATCATGTGATCTAAGTACTTACTGAATTTGGAACCCCCTTGACAACATTCCTAGCAGGTGTTGATTCAACTTTTACCTTTAAAGTAAGGACATACCACATGGCACACTATTAAAGGGCTCCATCCAGGGTCAGGGATCAAAATCAGGAACCTTTTAAAAAGTTAAGGCCAGGCGCAGTGGCTCATGCCTATAATCCTAGCACTCTGGGAGGCCGAAGCGGGAGGATGGATCGCTTAAGCTCAGGAGTTCGAGACCAGCCTGAGCAAGAGCAAGACCCTGTCTCTACTAAAAAAATAGAAAGAAATTACTGGACAACTAAAAATATATATATATATAAACATATATATATAAAATTAGCCGGGCATAGTGGTACATGCCTATAGTCCCAGCTACTTGGAACGCTGAGGCAGGAGGATCACTTGAGCCCAGGAGTTTGAAGTTGCCATGAACTAGGCTGACACCACAGTATTCTAGCCTGGGCAACAGAGCGAGACTCTGTCTCAAAAAAAAAAAAAAAAGTTCATATGCTCTAGTGTCTCCACTAGTGACTTGATTTAACTAGTGTTCCTGGCTATCTGTATTTATATTTTAAAGTCCCAATAATGAGTCCCATAAGCACCTGAGCATAAGGGCTAGTGCTGTAGGTTATTATAAATACAGAGCAGCACTGTTTTTTGGCTAGAGTTGTGATCTCACTTGTGTGATGTTACAGTTCACCTCTCAAGGTGCATTGAGCAAGAGATCAACCTCTCCTTTTATTAGAAACAGCATACACAAGAAATAGCAAAAGCTAACCTACTTGCATAGGTTAAGATAATCAATAGTATAACTTGTTATTAGTTTCTGACCTAGTATGACCTAATTCACTTGTTCCTCACTTTAACTTGAGGAGCTTTAAAAAATAATATTACAAGGGTCTTACCCCCAGGGATTCATATATAATTGGTTGCTGTGGGTTGGGCATCCTACTGTTGATTCTGAGGTGCAGCAGAGCTTGAAAACCATTAATCTGTTTAACTTCTGGGCCTCAGTTCTTCATCCAGAAAGGTAGTTATTATTTTTATGAATGTAAATATAAAGTATTTAAAGTTTACATGGTTTGAATACTGTTGTTTAATGTTTAATTGTTTGTTTAAAAATAATAAAATTTTATTAGTAGCTAAAACAAAAGAGTACATCTTTCCCTTGGTATTACAGTTAAATCTTTTCGTGTCATTTCAGCCAACATACTAACATTCAATCAGTCTCAAAGCCATGTGTATAATTTCAGATGGAATATAGTTAGGCAGGAGCTGGCTTCCCTTTCTCTTACTAAATATAGGGACAACCCACCATCTGTTCAGTGGCCTAAAATATTTTGAATATGTTCATGATAATTATGCTGAGAATGTTGGATTAATGTTGATAGAACCCATGAGTTCATCAGGATTGTGGTCTACATTTATAGGCCTGGGGCTAGAACTAGACCATCCTTAGATACTGGGAGATAGAGCTCCATTCTCATCTATCTAGGGTTAAAAATACAGGCTTTCAAATGGGTGTGGGAAGCTTAGGCAGGAGGATCCATTGAGTCCAGGAGTTCGAGCCTGGGCAACATAGAGACCACATCCTCCACCCACCCCCCCCAAAAAATATATATGTGAATAAAAACTTATTTTTATTCATATAGGCCTTTTATGATTTCATGGCTAGGCAATAATGAAAACTCAAGGAAGCAAAACATTGAAAATAATTTTTTAATTTACTTAGGAATATTCATATGGAATTTGAAACTTTAAAGCAAAGTTAAGGTTTAACACATCATATTGTCAGTTGCTTTTATTTACATTATGCTACATTTATTATTCGCAGTCTTATCTAGAATTTTTAGATAGAAATTCTAAAATTTCTAGAATTTCTAAAATGTCTCATTTTCTTAACTAAAAAACCAAAATACTGGCTGGGCGCGGTGGCTCACACCTGTAATCCTAGCACTCTGGGAGGCCGAGGCGGGCGGATTGCTCAAGGTCAGGAGTTCGAAACCACCCTGAGCAAGAGCAAGACCCCATCTCTACTATAAATAGAAAGAAATTAATTGGCCAACTAATATATATAGAAAAAATTAGCCGGGCATGGTGGCACATGCCTGTAGTCCCAGCTACTCAGGAGGCTGAGGCAGGAGGATTGCTTGAGCCCAGGAGTTTGAGGTTGCTGTGAGCTAGGCTGACGTCATGACACTCACTCTAGCCTGGGCAACAAAGCGAGACTCTGTCTCAAAAAAAAAAAAAAACCAAAATACTGTAGCTTCTGAAATTTAAATACTTTAATGTGCCAAATTAGTTTCCCGTATACACGTTTATTTCAAGCATTATTTGGCAAACATTTAATTTTTGAAATTCAAAAGTGAACATTATTATTTAACATTATAGACACATTTTGTGGAATTAAGCATATGAAATTCTTAAACATTTCTACTACACCAATTCAAAAGCACTTACAGAGTTCCTGCTTTCTGCAGGGCAGTGCACTGGCTGCCTTGGAGTATACAAAAATAAGAGCACCTGCCCCCTGCTTTCCACAAATTCCCAGTATAACAAGGGAAACAGCCTTGCAGGAATGACCAGGCTCCAAGACAAATTGGTAAGTAAGCACAATAATGAGGCACTAAACAATGGGAGTGCTAGAGAGAAGATTCATTTTTAGTGGGAGATGGTGGAACACTGTAGAAGTATCACTGAATTTGGGTTCTGACAGATAGATATAACTTTGATATGCAAAGGTATAAGGACAGAGCTACCATATGACCCTGCACTCCTCCTAAGTACACACAGAAATGAAAATATGTCCACATAAAACATGGACACAAATGTTTGTGGTAGCTTTATTCATAATAACCAAAAAATGGAAACAACCCAATGTCCATCAATTGATTAATTGGATCCATAAAATATGGTATATCCATAAAATAGGTAATTATTTGGCAATAGAAAGGAATGAAGGACTGACCCATGCTACAACATAGATGAGCCTTGGAAACATTATACTAAGTGAAAAAGACCAAAAGTATGATTCTATGAAATGTCCAGAATGGTAAAATCTGTAGAGACAGAAAGTAGATTCATGGTTGCTTACAGCTATGAGAAAATGGAGTGCGAAGCTGATGGGTATAGGGTTTCATTTTGGGGTGAGAAAAATGTTTTAAAATTGTGATGATGATTGTACCATTCTATGAATATACTAAACACCACTGAGTTGTACACTTTATAGGTGAATTGTATGGTATGTGAGTTATATCTCTTTAATAAAGCTGTTATTTAAAACAAAAAAAAAAGGCTGGGCACAATGGCTCATGCCTGTAATCCTAGCACTTTGAGAGGCTGAGGCAGGAGAATTGCTTGAGGCCAGGAGTTTGAGATTAGCCTGAGCAAGAGCAAGACGCCATCTCTACAAAAAATCGAAAAATTAGTCGGGCATGGTGGCATGCACCTCTAGTCCCAGCTACTCAGGAGGCTAAGGCAGGAGGACTGCATGAGCCCAGGAATTTGAGGTTGCAGTGAGCTATGATTGTGCCACTACACTCTAGTACCTGCAACAGAGCGAGACCCTGTCTCAAAAACAGGGTGTGGGGGGGGGAGGAATTTCAGGTAGAAACCACAGGAGAGAGCCATTGAGTGCAAAAGCCTGTTCAGATAAAACTGTGCAGACCATGTGGCTGGAGCTTACTCGGGAAACACTGGACATGGGGCACATCATGGGAGCCTCCAAAGGAGCACAGCCCAGCCAAAACCTTAGCCCAGTGAAATTCATTTTAGACTTCTGGACTCCAGCACTGTAAGAATAGATGTATGTTGTTTTAAGCCCCCAAGTAATTTGTTAGTTATAGCAGCCATAAGAAATTAACACAGGTCAGGCTGGGCATGGTGGCTCACACCTGTAATCCTAGCACTCTGGGAGGTCAAGGTGGGAGGATCGTTTGAGCTCAGGAGTTCCAGACCAGCCTGAGCAAGAGTGAGACTCCATCTCTACTAAAAAAATAGGAATTAGCTGGACAACTAAAATACATACATATATATATATATACACATATACATACATATATATAAATTAGCCAGGCATGGTGGCACATGCTTGTAGTCCCAGCTACTCAGGAAGCTGAGGCAGGAGGATTGCTTGAGCCCAGGAGTTTGAGGTTGCTATGAGCTAGGCTAATGCCACGGCACTCTAGCCCAGGCAAAAGAGTGAGACTCTCTCAAAAAAAAAAATTTAACACAGGTCTCAATCAAATTAACTCAAAAAGAGCCACGCATATTTGGGGAGTATTTTATTTGTCTCAGGGTTTTGGTTTTTTTTTTGGGTTTTTTTGGTTTTTTTTTTAAGACAGAGTCTCGCTTTGTTGTCCAGGCTATAGTGAGTGCCGTGGCATCAGCCTAGCTCACAGCAACCTCAAACTCCTGGGCTCAAGTAATCCTCCTGTCTCAGCCTCCCCAGTAGCTGGGACTACAGGCACGCGCCACCATGCCCGGCTAATTTTTTTATATATATATATATATTAGTTGGCCAATTAATTTCTTTCTATTTATAGTAGAGACGGGGTCTTGCTCTTGCTCAGGCTGGTTTCGAACTCCTGACCTTGAGCAATCCGCCCGCCTCAGCCTCCCAGAGTGCTAGGATTACAGGCGTGAGCCACCGCGCCTGGCTTATCTCAGGGTTTTGTAATAGTAGTAAAAAATTAAGTGGAAAAATGAAGATAAAAGGTAAATTCATATTGATATTCCCTACCAGATTTTAGATGATCAAAGGACAATTGCATAACAGAAGCAGCATGCTCTTTCAGAAGAGCCCTAATGTGTGTTTAGTCTCTTTTTCTCTAAGACATCACATCTCTTTTTCTCTGAGACATCTAAGACATCACCCATCCACAGTGACAAGGTTTTCAGTATTTTAGATGTGGTAGGTCGCTTGTTGGGTTGCTTTGAGAGTAGTTTCTGTAGAAGAATTTTCTGTAATGATAGTGAAAGTCAATACCGAGAAATAAAACATTGAAAGAAATAAAATTCTGATTATTTTCAAGTACTTACTTCTTTGTCATCAAATTCATTCAAGAAGATACCATTCCTTAGATCTTCGAAAATCTGAAATAAACCATATATATATATATATATATATAAAATGTGGAAATTATTTGCTTGAGAGGAAAAACAAACAAAAAGCACTACAGGCTGAGGACACCCTAAATCTAGGGTATTTCTAGATCTTTGGGAAAGTCTCTTTGGCCAAGAAGCAAGCAGGAGTCCCTTCCACCCACCCTGGCCCCAGTCTATAATAACAACCATCCTAACATTACGGTATGAAGTGGTAAGTGCTTCATATTCATTATCTCCCTTCATCCTTTTTTGAACCCTATGTGATAGGTACTTTCTATTGGTTTTGCAGAGGATAAGGCTATTGACTCCAGGTGAGTCCTCTTTCCTGCACTCCAGAGTTGCCCACTGCCTAAACAGGAAAGTCATATTCTTTCCTCAAGTTAGCCCCAACCTGTCTTTCCAGCTCCATCCACCATCACTTCCTTGTAACGTATATACTCCGATAAAACTACAGTGCCTGCTGTTCCCAAACACACTCCGCACATCCCTGTCTCCGTGCTGGAATCTCCTTTCTATTTTGAACTATTAGAAGCCAACTGATCCTTCAGAGCCCAACCTACCTGCCTCCATGAAACCTAAATCCCTACAGCTGGAAAGACCTCCCTCCTGGCTACTTCACAGACTTCATGCCTTCTCCTAAAACATTTATAGCATTTTTCCTTCAAGAAAGTCAGCTCCTTGAGAACAAGGCACGTTCATTTTAATAACCCTTGTAGCACTTAGCGTAGTGTCCTAATGCAAAGGATTCAATCAATAAAATTTTACTGACTGACTCTAATAGGAGTGTTATGAGACGTACACACCTTCCAAAGAAAATAAAAGTGTTTGGTCTTTAACAAAATGGTTGCCAAAACTTGAAAGGGAGAAAATTCATTTGCAGTCAGATACTAATATGTTCAAGCCCATCCCTACACAAAAGCAATAACTGTCTGCAGCAGCATGTTGAAGGTGATAGTCAATACATTTTGTTGCTTGAAATTATTTACCTTAGCTTTTTCCATAGAAGTGCCACATTTGTGAAGAAGTTCAGCAAGGATTAACCCCAAAGCAAAGATGTCCACTTCCTTTCCATATTCTTGTGAAGAAATCTGAATAAACCAAAATATATTTAACTTTGTTGCTTACCTTCCATAAATATCCATGCCCTCTAAAACCAAAAAAAGTTATTTGACTAAAATATCTTATATCTTATATAAAACATCCGTTTATTAGCAAGATCTGTGGAGTCTGACTGCACAGGTTCAAATATCTACCACTGAATAGCTGAATTATCTGTGTAAATTAACCATCAAGGTGGAGATGAGCTCAACTGTAAAATGGGAATAATGATAGTATGAACCACAGAGTCTGATCGTGGGGTTGAATGAGATACTGCAGGTAAAGCACTTAAAACAGTGCTCACTAAGTGACTTGCATGCAAATGTTCAAAGCATATTCATAATATTCCATGACTAGAAATAATTCAAACATCCATCAGCAAATGAATGGATAAACATTGTGGTATATTCATACAATGGACTACTACTCAGCAATAAAACAAAATTATATGCTGGTATAAGCAACAACAAAGATTTTCCAACAGCATTACTTTGAATGAAGAAATTAAACACAAAAGAGTACATACTGTATGACGCCCTTCACATGATGGTAAAGAACGGGAAGAACTAAGCTCTGGTGATAGAAATCCAAGTGCTAGTTGCCGCTGGACAGGGGGAAGGAGGGATGGATTAGACAGGGGTCTAAGGGAATTTTCTTGGGTGAACAAAATGTTCTACATACCCATAAGCTTGGAGGTTACACAGATGTATTTGTCAAAACTCAAAAATATACACTTAAGATCTACACATTTTATGGTGTATAATATTCCTCAACAAAATTTTTTAAATTTTGAAAACACCTAATAAAAAGAAAAGCACAGGCTGGGCGCGGTGGCTCACACCTGTAATCCTAGCACTCAGGGAGGCCAAGGCGGGTGGATTGCTCAAGGTCAGGAGTTCGAAACCAGCCTGAGCAAGAGCGAGATCTCGTCTCTACTATAAATAGAAAGAAACTAATTGGCCAGCTAAAAATATATAGAAAAAAATTAGCCAGACATGGTGGCACATGCCTGTAGTCCCAGCTACTCGGGAGGCTGAGGCAGAAAGATCGCTTGAGCCCAGGAGTTTGAGGTTGCTGTGAACTAGGCTGACACCACAGCACTCTAGCCCGGGCAACAGAATGAGACTGTCTCAAAAAATTAAAAAAAAAATAGAAAAGCATAATGATGAATTTTGTAAAAAATATTTTGAGGGTGACAGTATAGGGTGCAAGAGTTATTTAATAAAGTGATAGTTTAAAAGAAGCCATTAGCCTCCTATTATGTTCTACTTTCACACTCCACAAAAAACTTAAATTTTGCCAAAAGGAAGAAGGAGGTGCCCTCTCCATTCTAGACTTTCAAACTACTGGACAGCTCAGTATCTTTGTTACTGGATAGCCAAACAGTAAAGGTATTTTGAAAGCTATATTGTCAGTAAAATCATCTTTAAAGGGCATTTATAGTCAAAAAGAAAAATAGGATAAATAACCCAAAAGATGAAAAAGAATAAGCAATCAACCAAAAGATAAAACTATTAAAGTAAGGAGTCTATATATTAATATAAGATCAGTATTCAAATATCAATAGCTGTACAAGCATGTTCACAAGCAGTATTATCCACAATAGCCAAAAGGTAGAGATACTCCATTGATGAATAAATGGGTAAACAAAATGTGGAATATAAGTACAATGGAATATTATTCAGCCTTAAAAAGGAAGGAAATTCTGACATATGCCATGACATGGAGAAACCTTGAGGACATAATGCTGAGTAAAATAAGCCAGTAACAAAAGGACAAATACGGTATGATTCCACTTATATGTGGTATCTAGAGTAGTCAAATTCATAGAGACAGAGAGTAGAATGGCTGTTGGGTTTGTACGGAGGGGGCAATGGGGAGTTGTTTAATGGGAACAGTGTTTCAGTTCTGCAAAATGAATAGAATTCTGTGGATGTGTGTATGGTGGTGATGATAGCACAACAATGGGAATGTACTTAATAACACTATACACTTAAAAATGGTTAAGATGGTAAATTTTGTGTTATGTATATTTTGCCACAATTAAAAAGAAAGAAATGCATTTTTAAAAATCAATAGCTTCAGCTGGGTGTGGTGGCTCATGCCTGTAATCCTAGCATTCTGAGAGGCCCAGGTGGCAGGATTGCTTGAGGCCAGAAGTTCCAGACCAGCCTGAGCAAGAGCAAGACCCAGTCTCTACAAAAAACAGAAAAATTGGCCAGGTATGGTCGCATAAACCTGTAGTCCCAGCTACTCAAAATCTGAGGCAAGAGGATCCCTTGAGCCCCCAGGAGTTTGAGGTTGCTGGGCTTCCCTAATAGCCAATTAGATACAAGGAATCTCTTTTTAATAGCAAAATAGTATACATACTCTGGAGAAAACTTTAAAAATATAAACCATCTGCATAAAGACAAAATTTTTTTAAAATTTCATTGAAGGTTTCTGGGCCCTAAGAATAATAGGAAAACAAACAAACAAAAAAAACCTTCACTGAAGATTATAAAAATGGCCTTGAGGTAAGTAGTACTATTGTTCCCAATGATGTGCTGGCCTCCAGGCGAGAGGATTGCTCTTTTTGTGTTTTTGTTTTTCTCAGAGACAGGGTCTTGCACTGTTTCCGAAGGGTACAGTGGCCCAATCATAGGTCAATGTAACCTCAAAATCCTAGGCTCAAGCGATTCTCCTGCCTCAGCCTTCTGAGTAGTTAGGAGTAGAAGTGTGCACCACCATGCCTGGCTAATTTTTTAAATTATTTTATAGAGATGGGATCTCACTATATTGCTCAGGCTGGTCTCAAACTCCTGGTCTCAAGCCATCCTCCTGCCTTAGCCTCCTAACGTGCTGGGATTACAGGCATGAACCACTGTACCTGGCCTGAATCCTCAAGTGTAATGCAATTGCAATCAAAACCTCAACACCAGTTATGGAACATGACAAGATGATTCTAGAGTTCACTGGAATCACAAATGTGAATAGTTAAGAGCATCTTTCAAAACCAGCCTGAGCAAGAGGGAGACCCCGTCTCTACTAGAAATAGAAAGAAATTAGTTGGCCAACTAATATATAGAGAAAAAATTAGCCAGGCATGGTGGCAGATGTCTGTAGTTCCAGCTACTCGGGAGGCTGAGGCAGCAGGATTGCTTGAGCCCAGGAGTTTGAGGTTGCTGTGAGCTAGGCTTGATGCCATGGCACTCTAGCCTGGGCAACAAAGCAAGACTCTGTCTCAAAAAAAAAAAAAAAAAAAAGAGCATCTTAAAATTGAAAAATAATGTGGCAGGTCCTACAGTTAAAATATTAAAACCTATTTTATAATTCTATAATAATTGAAATAGTATAATAAAGAGAAAAACATAAAATAAATCAATGGAACAGAAAAGAATCCAGAAATAGACCCATGAAGATGTGGGACTTTCATATATGATAAAATAGCATTTTTTATTATGGTAAAATATATATAACTTACCATTTTAGCCACTTTTATGTGTACAACATTTTAGCCACTTTTATGTGTACAATTCAATGGTATTAAGTACCTCCACAATGTTATATAACCATCACCACTATCTATTTCCAGAACTTTTCATCACCCCAAACATAAACTGAACCCATTAAACAATAACTTCTTATTCCTCTCTTCCTCCAGGTAACCTCTGTTCTACTTTCTGTCTCTATAAGTTTTCCTTAAAATAGCACTTTAAATCATGAACTGTTTGATACATGATGATGGAATAATTGCATATCCACCTGAGGAAAATCAAATTATATCCCTTCCTCATATATATACAAAAATTAATTCACGTTAGAATTAATTTTCTGCATTAGCGAAACCAAAATATTTTTGTTATCTTGTGGTAGGAGCAGCCTCCAAAATAAAAATGTGAAACCCAACAGCCATGAAGAAAGTATTGATAAATATGACAACTTAAAGGCTTCTGGGCCACAAATGACATTGTAAACAAAGAAGTGACAATCAAGGGGAAGAATTTTGTCATATAGTTAGATACAGAATCAACACCCAAAATATATAAAGATTCCTTACGAGAATGTTAGAGAAAGACAACCTAATTATGAGAAATGGGAAAAGGATACAAATAGAGAATTTGCAGAAAAACTGTAAGTAAATGCACTAAAAGATGGCATCCTTTAATAAAAAGCTAAAAAATGCTACCTAAAATAGCAACATACTCCTCATTCATCACACTGGCCAAAATTGGAGACTGTTAGTATCCTAGTTTGACTGAGAGTATGATAAAGCAGCATTCTCCATACTCTTTGAGGGGAAGGAATTATCAAAATCACTTTTTTAGAATGACAATTAGGCAGTGTTTGTCAAGTTTCAAATACACTTATCATTCTATTCAATCATTTCACCTCAAGGAATCTATCATAGATTATCATAGAAATATTTGTTATTAGATGCAAAGATAAAGAGAAAGACATATGACATGTCTGTAAATGTATAAAGTTGTAAACAACCTGAATAAATACCCTTCTGTAAGAAAACAGTTAAATAAATTATGGTATCTCTACACTTTGAAATAGAGTACACTTGTTAAAAAAGAATGTGGTAGATCTACTTGTACTGATAAGGAAAGATTATGATACGCTGTTGAGTGAAAAAAAATCAAGTCACAAAATAACATTATAATTATCTTGTAATATTATTTTGTGATGTAACTATCACAAAATAGTTCCTTGTAAAAATGAATGCATGCATATGTTTATGTAAGAAAATGTCTGTGTATGATCGTGTATTTGTGTGTTTTTATAACTCACAGAACATGATCTACAAAGATAAAGAACAAATGGATGGGACAAGTAGGAGTGAAGAGGAAAGTTAAGGGGAATTTTCAACTCTTATTCTATCTACTCTGAACTGTTTTAATTTCACAAGCAGTGTCTACTCTTTTTATCATTTGAAAAAATAAAAGAAGTAAAATATATAGAGACATAAAGGAAAGGGACCTTACCTGTTCTGGGCTCATGTATAGCCAAGTTCCTATATTAACTGTTCGCTTTTCATCATTTTTCAGGGATGTTACAAGTCCAAAGTCTCCAATCTTTATTTGTTTCGTATCTACTAAGAATATGTTACTTGGCTATGGAAGAAACCAATATATAATTTATATGTACCAATTTGACATACTATAATCACATGTCCAACTCATATTTATCAATGGCTATTTGTATATTTACTTATAAGACTTTTTACCCTTACACAAGTAGCCCAAATCAGGGAATTTACTGTCACTGGTCTTTAAAATGCCAGCTGGAGGAAGAAACAACTTTTTAACTGACAGCAGAGGTAGCTTGGGGCATGGCTGACTTCAAATATCTGAGGAGCTGTCCAGGGAAAGGTGGCTTCTACTCTGCAAGGTCCCAGGGGATGGATCCAGGACTCAAGTGTGGAAATGACCAAAAGAGTTGCTTTAATACATCCTAACATCCTAATAGTGGGATCCAAAGAGGGCAGTTAGAGAGTTCCCCATCCCAGGACAAGGCTGTACATCCACTTGAGGAAATGCTGCACCCATGAGTCCAGGTCTGATGGGGGTGAAGTAAACACCCTTAGGATCCTTGCCAATTTTGAGATTCTCTGAATGAGTCCATTCCCAACAGTACTGCAGATCATCCTGTGCAGAATTTCTCCTGAGGGCCTTTTTTATATCAACTGCTCCAAGCCCCCAACAACTTCTTAACAGACATATGCCCCCCACCTAGAAAGCATATCAAGTTAACCAGAAGCTAGTAACTAGCACTGAAATATTTTTTCCATGCAATTCTTTAAGCACATTTTCTTAAAAAGAAAAAAAGGAGGAACATAATGAGAAGTGGTCATCCCCATTCCACAACTTTGTAGAAGATAATGACCAATATTCTAAAGACCATAAAAATAGGAAGGTAGTGGGTAAGGACTTTAATATTTTGCCATTCTTTGAAAAGGGTAGACTTTCAAAAAAAAAATGCTGGGCTATACACACACAGACCCTATGGGATAACACTTTAGAGAAGGCCAGTAAAAGAACTGAGAGAGAAGAGGTCACAGCCCATCAATGGCTAAAGGAGGAGCCAAGTGCAGAAATTAGCAGTTAGATTAGAATTCAATTAATAATAACAGCTAGATTGGAACCTAACGCCAGAAATACAGATGGCAGGCTGTAGATATGCATAGGGTGGATGTGGACAGAAAAATGTTCTTATGCTATATTCAAGTTACAATGTAGGAATATGTTGGGTTTGCAAATGAAACTGCTAGTCCCACACAAGGCTATACCTACCTGACTCTGAGAAACAAGAGGTTGACTTTACAATGCTGTATAAATATCTAAGCTGGATGAGACTATGTAGTAAGAATACCAGATCACTTTTTTTTTTCTTATTTTTTTTATTGATAAGAAAACCTCATACAGATCACTTTTTATAGGTCATTAAAAAAAAACAAAACAATAATGCCACACTTGTCTAATCAGTTATAGTACAATTAGACAAAATTTAGGCCTGCAGAGCATGAAAAAAGGGTGCAAACTTTATGTAGGAGGCACAGGAATGAGGCTGACCAAAGAGTCTGGGCCTGTTAGGAGACGGGACCTTCTACAGAAAAGCCCCCTCAGACAGGAAGCCCTCACTCCAGACACCCTTGTGTCCCTTGCCTGTGCCTCCGGTCTAGTTATTAAGATTCCGACAGGGAGGGGTGAACACTTGGAGACTTTCATAAGAAGAGCCATATTGGAGAAAGACCATTGTCTGGCAAAGCCACCCACAGCTGCTATATTGCAAAGCATAATCCAAAAAGTGTACTTCTTCACTTGCATCTTCTATCAAATGAAAGAAATCAGCAACTGTAGCAGCGAGAGCTAGAAAAGTTGTACAAGAGGAAAAAAGGCTCAGTATTAAAGTCTGACTTTTGACAGCCAGAGAAAAACTTCTCTGCAAATAGACATGACCCAGGGCACCAAGAGTGCAGGATACAGGAGAGAGTTAGCAGACAAGAGGTGGGCACCAGTCAGAATCTCACTAACTCATTCTGAGGAGGGCCAGGAAGTTAACACCTAAACTTCTGCACTTAATTGCAAACTATTGCATATACAAAAAATTGTGTTTAGTTTGTTATTTAAATATGTGAAATGATTTATTCCAAAGTGAAAGTGAAGTCACTCTAAATTTATCCTTTTGCACATAGTCCTGATAATGTTCCAACTTCAAAGAACACCTTCAGATATTGTTAAAGAGAGATATTGGAGCCAGGTGAACTCTAAACACCAAGGCATGAGATATCCAGCCCCTGGGCAGACAAGGAAGCAATACCTTTTAGAGGCCACTAATTCCTATCTAGGCCCAACAAACACCTAAATACATGGGCGCTTATTTTTCTCAAGGAAATTTTTTGCTTCATTCCTTATTCCTGACCGTTTTAGACAGGCAGGGTGAGCAGATAGCCAAGACGCACACAGAAAAGGTGCTTCTGCCTAGAACAGAGAAAGGCAGATCCAGAGTGATCAGGAAAAGCTAAATAAAGGAATTTGGACTACAGGGGACTGACAGAAGAGTGTCCCATGAGAGAAGAACATGAGCAAAGGGATAAGATTCAGCATGGCCAGCTTGTGATGGGAGTAGGCAAGTCCCAGGGACTAGAGTATACAGGAGAGATTGTGGAAAGCTGTTCTGTCTTTCTTCTTCCTTCATTTAGATGGGAAGGAAAAATAGGAAAAATGGGAAAACTGCTTGTCAAGACCATGAAAGCCAGAGGAAAATGAAAATACTAAGGGATGATATATGTTCCAAGGTTTAGATTACTGAAATGTTCTAAACATGGGGCTGAAGAAAATACCAGACGCTGGACCCAGGAGCTGTGACTGCCCTCAAGAATAATCAAGAGATTAGGGAACCGGCCGGGCGCTGTGGCTCACGCCTGTAATCCTAGCTCTTGGGAGGCCGAGGCGGGCGGATTGCTCAAGGTCAGGAGTTCAAAACCAGCCTGAGCAAGAGCGAGACCCCGTCTCTACTATAAATAGAAAGAAATTAATTGGCCAACTGATATATATATAAAAAATTAGCCGGGCATGGTGGCGCATGCCTGTAGTCCCAGCTACTCGGGAGGCTGAGGCAGAAGGATCACTCAAGCCCAGGAGTTTGAGGTTGCTGTGAGCTAGGCTGACGCCACGGCACTCACTCTAGCCTGGACAACAAAGTGAGACTCTGTCTCAAAAAAAAAAAAAAAAAAGAGAGATTAGGGAACCACAGTCCCAAGGCCATAGTCAACAGATCCCTTCTGCCTCTCAAATAACCCTGAGGAACAGCGGGGGCAGGGACGGAGTTGCCAATCAGCTGTGCGGGCCACAATAATCATTTCCACGGAAATGTTCAATGTATGAAAGCTATTGGTCAACTGAGATATGACTATCAGCCAAATAGGACCCTAAGTGAATGGACCTTCCTATAGGGTTCGTTGTCACAAGTTCATGAATCCTGGAGATCTTCTTAATAGTTCTATGGGATGGTAATAGGGTAAGCTCTAGACTCATTCTAACCTCAGAGGATCAGAGATTTTATTTCCTCATGACTACCAATCAATCACAATTCTAAAACTAAAGAAGATAGCTTTAAAAATTATTAAATTGTATTTATCAACTAACAAAGTACATTTTCCACTTACCTTAAGATCTCTATGAATTAACTGTTTCGAATGTATATAATCCACTCCTGTTGTTATTTGTTCAAAGAATTTCAAAGCCAACTCTTTGTCTAGTTTCTCGCTTTGTCTGCGATCAAGCCATTGCTCCAGTGTTCCTTTATCGCAGAATTCCATTTGGATGAAAAGACACTTAGTCTCTGGTCTGGATATAAAATTCACAGTATGTTAAAAGTAACTTCATTAAAAATAAACTTATAAAAATACATTTTTAAGAAAATTATAACTTATCTTCTTAAGAACCCCCAAAACATGTCTCAAAACAAAAATCTAAATGTAATAACTTTGAATCAAAATTTAACAAACCATTTTTTATTTAAGTCATAAGTTCCCAGATGTCCAGAGCTTTATTTGTTAAGCTAATTTGTAAAGTATGAGCCCGCCCATTCTTTTTTTTTTTTTCTTTTTTTTTATTTCTACATGTATGGAAGTGTAAGGAGCCGCCCATTCTTTACTGCTAAAGATCCTTGATCATCTTTGCTAATACATAGGAATAGGAGCACTAATATAATGGAGTTTAAGAAAACCAGATTTCATTAATATATAATGTAATGTTGAAACAGTTTAATTCACCATCCATCTATTGAGCATCTATTTTGTGAAAGGTACAGAATGTGTACCTTGCCTGCACCTACACATGAGAAAGTGAGTTAGATACTGTCCTGGCCATCATGGGGATTGCAGTCTAAGATGAGAGAGGTAAAAGAAAAACAAACTTAAAACAACAGCACAAGGCAGGTATTCTAGAAGTGTCAACAAACTGCTATGAGATACAAGTTGGTAGATTGATTTTTGCTAATCATGTTTTATATTTTTTTCTGCACTAAGTTGGCCTCAGTATCAATTTAAATTCTTTGTGTGTATATATATATATATATATATATATATATTTTTTTTTTTTTTTTTTTTTTTTTTTTTTTTTTTTTTTTTTTTTTGAGTCAGAGTCTCACTCTGTTGCCTGGGCCAGAGTGTTGTGGCATTAGCCTAGCTCACAGCAACCTCAAACACCTGTGCTCAAGCAATCTGCCTGCCTCAGCCTCCCAATTTTTTCTATATATTTTTAGTTGACCAATTAATTTATTTCTATTTTTAGTGTAGACAGGGTCTCACTCTTGCTGAGGCTGGTTTTGAACTTCTGACCTTGAGCAATCCACCCGCCTCGGTCTCCTAGATTACAGGCACGAGTCACCCTGCCCGGCCCTTTCGTATATATGTTGGCTAGAAAACAGAAAGAGGTAGTCAAGAATTTGCTGAAAGCTGAAGAAGTCCTGTAGGCTGATGGTCAATAACTTCTGAAACTGATGACAAAGTTCTCAATTACAAAGGATGGAGATGGGGCTAGAGTCAGGAGACAGCCAATGAACTGCCCCCCCCCCATGGCCTCAGGATTTCAGGGAGAGGACGGTCCCCAAGAAAGGCTGAGGGACTTTCAAAGGTGGATGCCAGCCCTTCAGAATCTCCAGCCCTTGGCAGTGACTTAACTGAGACAAAACGTGAGAGATGCAAGTGGGGGTGCTCCCCCCACAGCTCATTGTCTTAAAGTTGTTACCACTGCCCACCAACCACCGTAAGTGGTGTAGCTGCATTCTGGAGAGACCCTTTGACTGCCCACACCAATCAAGGGCAGGAGGGATGAAGAGAAAAGCGTTGGCAGCTGAGGAGGGAGCCCCCAGATGCGGCATCCGCATGTTGAAACTTTCTTCACGTGATGGCATCCGCGACCTGTACTGAAGCCAGGCACAGCTGCAAAGCTATACTGTCAACAATGGAGTCAGGAAAGCTAAACCTGAGATTTTACAAACAACTTAGGATGTAAAATAGGTTGTTTTTTGTGGGTTTTTTTGAGACAAAGTCTCGCTTTGTTGCCCAGGCTAGAGTGAGTGCCGTGGTGTCAGCCTAGCTCACAGCAACCTCAAACTCCTGGGCTCAAGCGATCCTCCTGCCTCAGCCTCCCGAGTAGCTGGGACTACAGGCACGCGCCACCATGCCCGGCTAATTTTTTGTATATATTTTTAGTTGACCAATTAATTTCTTTCCATTTATAGTAGAGACGGGGGTCTCGCTCTTGCTCAGGCTGGTTTTGAACTCCTGACCTCAAGCAATCTGCCCGCCTCAGCCTCCCAGAGTGCTAGGATTACAGGTGTGAGCCACCACGCCCGGCCTAAAATAGGTTTTCAAAAGCAAGTTTGGATCCTGGAGAGGAGCAAAGAAAAGGCTGTCATTATCTCCTTACCTGCAGGATGGAAAGATAATAGTGTCTCTTGGAGGTGGTTGTGATTATTAAGTGTGATGATTAATGGCCTCATCCAGTGGCCCACACATAGTAAATGATAGTTTCATTCCATCCTGTTATGGCTAGGAGAATTTTCTTTTTATAGTTACCTTGAATAATTTGTGCTCTTCTCGGATTCATAGTCACTATTCGCAGTGCTGTAACCACCGTTCTCAGGATCATAATCAATTCCATCCCAACAAGCATGGTAGTGAACAATATTTACATGATTAAGTTTCGCCAGCGCTTTTACTTCACGCTCTACCTTCCTAGTTAAAAGAAACAGAGAACATGAAAGTGTCAGGATACATCCCTGACAACGACTGCAAAACACCTCATGTAACAGGACACCACTATCTATACTCCCTTATCAAACAGTAGGTTTGGTTCCCACTCAGAGTTTTGGAATGGAAGCTATGAGACTCAAAGGAAAAAGTGAACATACTGGGGAAAAAAAGAAAAAGCTGTTTTCACTCTCAGCATAAAAGAAAAAGCAGTGACGTAAATAGTTCCAAACAGCAGGTAATTTAAAAATCACTTGTAGTGGTCTTTGAAATGCCAGTGATACAATTTTTACATTACATTTTACATTACATTTGTTTAGACTTGTGTTAAAAATCTTTGGATTTGACAAGCAAACCTCATTTGTACAGCAAATGTAGATAACCCAGGCAGCATGGAGAATCTAATTCAGGATTTTCAATGTGGGGCAAAAATACACAGAGAGGAAAATTTATGCAGAGACTGCAGGAACTTTATAGGGATGTGCTGTCAAGAACTAAAACAATTCAAGCTAAATGGAGTAAATAAATTTGAGATTTCAAAGATGAGTAAGGATAAGCAAACATTTTACAATATTAATTTTTAATTTAAAAAATGCCATAACTCTATGACATAAATTTATAAAAATAAGGAAAAAAATAACTGTTGGCCACTACAATCCTAAAACAAGTTGTTATTATTTTGGATTATTGCCTTTTTAAAAAAAATTTTTTTTGTAGAAACATGATTTCATGATGTTCCCCAGGCTGCTCTCCAAACCCTGGGCTCAAACGATCCTCCTACCTTGGCCTCCCAAAGTGCTAGGATTACAAGTGTGAGCCACAATGCCCAGCCTGGATTATTTCTTTCCTTCTTTCTTTCTTTCCTTCATACTTTCTTTCTTTCTTTCCTTCTTTCCTTCTTTCCTTCCTTCCTCCCTTCTTCCCTCCCTCCCTCCCTCTTTCCTTCCTTCCTTCCTAGTGCTATGGTATCAGCCTAGCTCACAGCAAACTCAAGCTCCTGGGCTTCAGCAATCCTTCTGCTTCAGCCTCCTGAGTAGCTGGGACTACAGGCATGCACCACCATGCCCAGCTAATTTTTTCTATATATTTTTAGTTGGCCAATTAATTTCTTTCTATTTATAGCAGAGACGGGGGTCTTACTCTTGCTCAGGCTGGTTTCGAACTCCTGACCTTGAGCTATCCTCCTGCCTTGGCCTCCCAGAGTGCTAGGATTACAGGCATGAGCCACCACGCCCAGCCTCACACACACTTTTAATTGGTGCATTTAGATCAGTAACATATACACACACATACATACATATATAAACATACAAATAAATACATTATTGCTATTATTGTGAACAAACTGTTATGTGTTAAATTAAATAAGAAAAATAAAAGATTTTATTTTCACTTATTTCTTCCCCAATGCTTTTCTTTTCCTTTCTTTTCTTTTTGATTTTTTCAGTATTTCAAAATATTACAGGAGTACAAACAGTTTTGCAGCACACAAAATTCTAGACTGGCAGTTGTTCTGTTTAAGAAGACTGAAGATGGGGCCCAATCTCTTCTGGCTTGTAAGGTCTCAGTTGAGAAGTATGCAGTTAGCTTGATGGATTTTCCTTTGTAATTTACTTGATGTTTTGGCCTCACAACTTACAGGAGTTTCTCCTTCATCTTGACTTTAGCCAGTATGATGACTGTGTGTCTTTGTGATTGGCTCTATGCAATGAATCTCCCAGTTGTTCATTGAGGTTCCTGTACCTGGATGTCTAAATTTCTAGCAAGACCAGGGAAGTTTTCCTCAATTATTCCCTCAAATAGGTTTTCCAATCCTTGTGCATTTTCTTCTTCACCCTCATGGATGTCTATGATTCTTATATTTGGCCATTTTACTTAATCCCCTATTTCTTGTAGGCTTTGTTCATTCCTCTTAATTCTCTGTACTTTATTTATTATTTTTTTGTTTCAGCATATTATGGGGGTACAAAGGTTAAGGTTATGTATATTGCCCTTGCCTCCCCTCCTCCCTGGAGTCAGAGTTTCAAGCATGTCCATCCCCAGGTGGTGTGCATCCACTCATTACGTATGTATATACCCATCCCCTCTTCCCCCCTCCCACCTGCCTGACACCCAATAAATGTTATTCCTATATGTCCACTTAGGTGTTGATCAGTTAATACCAATTTGCTAGTGAGTACATGTGGTGCTTATTTTTTCATTCTTGTGAGTTGACTTTTGTGAGAGGTGAAAGGTGTGGGTCCTGTTTCAGTCTTCTACATGTGACTTAGTAGAATGGGTTCCAGCTCTATCCAGGAAAATACAAGAGGTGCTATATCACTGTTGATCCATGGTATACATATATCACATTTTATTAATCCACTCATGTATTAATGGGCACTTGGGTTGTTTCCACATCTTTGCAATTATGAATTGTGCTGCTATAAACATTCAAGTGTAGGTGTCTTTTTTATAGAGTGTCTTTTGTTCTTTTGGGTAGATGCCCAGTAATGGGATTGCTGGATCAAATGGTAGATCCATTTGTATCGCTTTAAGGTATCTCCATATTGCTTTCCACGGAGGTTGAACTAGTTTGCAGTCCCACCAGCAGTGTAGGAGTGTTCCTATGTCTCCACATCCATGCCAACATTTGTTGTTTGGGGACTTGTTAATAAAGGCCAGTCTCACTAAAGATAAGTGATATCTCATTGTGGTTTTGATTTGCATTTCCCTGATGATTAGAGATGTTGAGCATTTTTTCATATGTTTGTTGGCCATTATTCTGTCTTCTTTTGGAAAGTTTCTGTTCATGTCCTTTGCCCACTTTTTCATAGGGTTGTTTGATTTTTCCTTGCTGATTTTCCTGAGTTCTAAATAGATTCTAGTTATCAGCCCTTTATTGGATGTGTAGCTTGTGAAAATTTTCTCCCATTCTGTAGGTTGTCTGTTTGCTTTAGTGACTGTTTCTTTAGCTGTGCAGAAGTTTTTTAATTTGATCAGGTCCCATTTATTGATTTTTGTTGCTGCTGTGATTGCCTTTGGCATCTTCTTCATAAATTCTTTGCCTAAGCCAATGTCTAGAAGAGTATTTCAAATGTTTTCTTCTAGAATTCTAATAGTTTCACACCTTAGGTTTAAGTCTGTTACCCAGTGTGAGTTGATTTTTGTGAGAGGTGAAAGGTGTGGGTCCTGTTTCAGTCTTCTACATGTGACGATCCAGTTTTCCCAGAACCATTTATGAATAAAGATTCTTTTCCCCAGTATATCTTTTCATTTGCTTTGTCAAAGATTAGTTGGCTATATGAGGATGGTTTTATGTCTGGGTTCTCTGTTCTGTTCCACTGGTCAATGTCCCTATTCTTGTCCCATTAACAAGCTGTTTTAATGACTATGGATTTGTAGTATAGTTTGAAGTCTGGTAAATTGTTTTTATTGCCTAGGATTGCTTTTGCTGTACAGGATCTTCTCTGGTTCCATATTAAGCATGAAATTACTTTTTCTATATCTGTGAGAAATGATGATGGTATTTTAATAGGGATTGCATTGACTCTGTAGATCACTTTGGGTAGTATAGACCTTTTAACAATGTTGATTCTGCCAACCCACGAGCATGGTATGGTCTTCCACCTGTTTACATCCTCTACCACTTCCTTCTTCAGTATTTCATAGTTCTCCCTGTAGAGGTCTTTTACCTCCTTAGTTAAATATATTACTAGGTACTTTTTTTCTTTGTTGCTATTTTGAAGGGAATTGAGTCTTTGCTTTGGTTCTCACTTTGACTATTATTGGCATATATGAATCCCTCTGATTTGTGTGTATTGATTTTGTATCCTAAGACTTTACTGAATTCATTTATCAATTCAAGGAGTCTCTTGGTTGAATCCTTGGGGTTTTCTAGATATAATATCATATTGTCAGCAAAGAGTGAGAGTAATCCTAACTAACTGAATCCAGGTGCTTATCAAGAAAATAATCCATCATAACCAAATGGGCTTCATCCCAGGGATGCAGGGATTGTTCAACATCTGCAAATCTATAAATGTAATTCACCACATAAACAGAAGCAAAAACAAAGACCATATGATCCTCTCAATAGACGCAGTAAAAGCATTTGACAAAATTCAACATCCTTTTATGATAAGAATGCTTAACAAAATAGGCATAGATGGGGCTTACCTAAAAATGATATAAGCCATGTATAACAGACCCACAGCAAACATCATACTGAATGGGGAAAAATTGAAAGCATTCCCATTTAGAAGTGGAATAAGGCAAGGTTCCCCACTATCTCTGCTTCTATTCAACATAGTGCTGGAAGTCCTTGCTATAGCAATCAGACAAGAGAGCGGAATTAAGGGCATCCAAATGGGAGCAGAAATGTTCTTGTGACTGACTGAATTAATTTGAAAGAGTTGTCTTCAAGCTCTGAGTTTCTTTCTTCTGCCTAGTCTAGTCTATTCTTAAAACTTTCCACTGAGTTTTCTTCATTCTTGTTAAGTAAATCAATGAAGAAGGAAAAAGCCTTGTTTTGATGCTGAGGAGGTATAAGGATCTTTCAAATGCAAGGCGTTGTCCACAGTGACAGGAAGTAGGTTTGTTTGACCGGGATGAAGAGCATCTAGCACTCCATGCCTGCTTGTCCTTTGCTCATACCATTTTCCTTAGCCTAGATTCCCTTTTCCATCTCCTTTTCTATTCTTTGAAGGATCAGTATTGCCAATTACACACCGTAACAATTGTAAGAGAGCAACAGGCAAGATTGGTGAACTCGTGAAGACCTTTCTATGTGTTTTCCTTCCTGAAGGAGTTCTGCTATGCAGTGGGAAGAAGGGGGCAGATAATACAAAAGAAAACATGGGAAGCAATGGGTTATAGTGGGAACACCGGATTGGCATTCCAGCGTGGATGAGTTCTCAATCTCCACCTCATTATATACCGTGTTTCCCCAAAAATAAGACAGGATCTTATATTTATTTTTCCTCAAGAAGACACCCTAGGGCTTATTTTCAGGGGATATGTTACTTTCCCCTCAAAGCCTCAGCTTGCAGCATGCACAGGATAGCCAGGACCTGACAGGAGGAGCTGACCTTGTTGGTGGGGCTGCCCACACCTTTCTGGTCACCTCTGGTCACCATGGGACAGATAAGAAGGGCCGCTCATCTTCTTTACCGCTCCGCAATGAAATGCATGGATTGTGCAGATACGCTGCGTAGCCACGCCCATCACTAGGTCTTATTTTCAGGGTAGGGCTTATATTGTACACATGCTTAGAAATCCTGCTAGGGCTCATTTTATGGGTAGGTCCTATTTTCGAGGAAACACTGTAGTAGTGTCCAAAGACAGTCATCATCAATTCCTTCCCTTCCCCATACATGCATCCACCCCTCAGATTAAGAGAGGGAATCTATTTGCCCTTCCTTTGAGCTGGCTTTAGTGACTTGTTTAACCAATATAATGTGGTGGCAGTGACATTCTGGGACTTCTAAGACCAGGTGACTTGCCACATCCTATTCTCCTGATGACTTGTTCTGGTAAGATCCTTGAAACTCAGCCTTAAGTTGTGAGAAGCCTAGGCCACATAATGAGGCCATGTGTGTGCTGGTTGACAGTCACAGCCGAACTTTCTGCCCACAGCCAGCGTCAACTGCTAGCCAGCTTATCCAGCCCAGTTGAGCTTTCAGACGATTCCTGACTACAAACACCTGGGAGATCCCATGTGAGAACTGCCAAGATGAGCATAATCAACCCACAGGACCACAAGGTATAATAATAAATTGCTGTTTTTGAGCTACTGCATTTTAGAGCAGTTTATTATGCAATATAGACAATCAGAACAATTACTAACTAGCTTTTACCTTAGACAAATCAGTTTGCTTCTTGCATCTCAGTTTCCTTATCTGTAAAATAAAGAGGTGAGCCTAGAACATCTCAAAGGTCACCTTAAACCAAATAATTTTATAGCTTCAGTTTTCACAACAGCCTCAAAAGGATGATCAATGGAATATCCATTTTTTTACTGAAATAACCGCAAAGTTCAGAGTAAGCCAAGCTCCTCTTGGCAGAATGAAATGTTTGAGGATCAGAAAGAAGTAAATGATACACCAATAAAGAAGAGGGAAACATAAAAGAGAATAGTGCAAGTTCAATATACCTTCTCATTCAAAAAAAGTAAACATTTACTACTTACTCGCTATTATATTTAACACGCTTAATGACATAAGTCTTTCCATCGATTCTGTGTTTTGCTTTGAAAACTTGGCCAAATCCACCTGTGCCAATTGGTTCTATTTCTTTAAAATCGTTGGCAAACCTTAAAGACAAATACCACTGTTATTCTGAGATTCAGTGTCCACCCATCCCTCCTCCCCGCCACTTTCCCTGTAAAGGCACTTGTGAAACGGACTGTATAACAAACGTGATTCGCTCTTTCTAAGTAAGAAAGGTCCCCTTGACAGAAACTCTTGACTCTTAAAGGGCAGTCTCTCCTCATCCTCCTCCCATGGAGAGTCCAATATAACAGATCATCCCTGGGAGTCACAGTCAACTCCTGGCTGTTCAAGAGCCATGATAAAGAATCCTATCACAAGCATAAAATATTAGAAAGAATTGCTGTATTGCATGCCACAGCCACCACCATGCTCTTATAAGAGAAATGGGCATGTGCATATGCTCTGAGCCTGCCTAGGTTCTTAACTACCTGGTTTTCTCTTCTCCCTCATTCCCCACATATCATCACTAAGCCCTGTCAATTGTACTTCCAAAACATATCTCTGGTATCTGTCCACTTTTCTCCACTATCCAATATCTTCACCCCAGCCCATGCTTGCCTCAGGCTCCTGCAATACCTTGACTCACGCAGTACCTGGACCTCTGCCTTTCTGACCTGCCCTGCTCTCTTCCATAGTCCACACAGCAACCAGAGGGATGGAAGCTGAGTCTGATCGTGGCTCAGCTGTTGCCAAAACCCTCAAACAGCTCAACCTTTGCATTCAGCAAAAACCAGAAAGCCCTTAAGTGGCCTGCAAGGTGCCACATGACGTGGCCTCTGCCTCCCCCTGCAGCCTCATCTCATGGCGCTGTGCCCTGCTCACTGTACTCCCAACACACTCCAAGCTTCCTGTCTGCTTCTTGAGCACTCAACATCACTCTTCCACCCTCTCCTTCCCACACTCTCACCGCTCGGTGCTAACTCATCCTTCGGGCCTCCCCATAAATGTGACCTCACAGGCTTGCCTCACCTCTCACCCTAAATCCAGGCATCCTGCTTCCATTCTCACCATGCCATTGCTTTCCCTTCAAAGCTCTACCCACAGTTTGTAATGGCAGATTTCACATGTAATTGTTCATTTAATGTCGCTCATCCCCACAAAACTCCATGAGAGCAGGAGTTTGTTTGTTTCTATTTGTTCCTACTATAAACCCAAGGCCCAGCACAGTGCCAATTATATATTAGATGCTTTACAAATATTTTTTGATTCTTTATTGTTTTTTAAACTTATATTCAGTGTCCCCTGTTGCAAATAGGCCTCCTTCTTTTTAGATACTTCATTTAAACCCAAATACCCTTTGAGTATTTGGAGGAACCTTTTTTTCAAGTGAAATCTGGTATGGAGCTAGAAAACAGAAAACAAATTCTGGTAGATCAATTCTGATCCCTATAGAAGTACTTTTTTAAAAAAAAAATCATTGGTTTGCAGGAGTATTTGCTTTCAATATTAAAAATCTTCCACAGATGCCAGAGAAATGTACATAAGTGTCAGAGAGATCTACATGTACCACATTCCCTTTGGGTTTGTCTAAATCTTACTTCTCCAAGAGATAATGATCCTTTGTAGGGCTGATTTTCCTATAACAATTAAACTGTTCAGGTGGAAACATAATTTAACCTCATAACAGGCCCTTAAGGACCTTCTGTTGAATGAACAAACATATCCTTAAATAATTCTATTTCAGAGTTCCATCTTACCTGACGTCCATAGTATACTCGTTTCCATTCCTCCCAGGAGGCCAAAATGTAGGTGCCAAATTTCTAAAAAATAAGAGTAGAATGTAAAACTGAAATAAAACTAGAATCAAATATAACTTGTTCAGAGTAGGTTATATGCCTTGCACTAGGCTTTTTATATTTTGAGTCAACTATTAGAATAACAGGGTAGCAAGTGTTAACCCTTTTTCTTTATAAAACTATATACTTACAGCTCTCCTCTGTCTTCTAATAATGGTTCATCCCTTTCCTGGTTCCTTTTCTCACCTTAAAACACTCATTGTTGACGTGCCACTAGCCTCTCCTTTTCATCCTCTGGACTCAAAACCTCCTTGCACCCTCATTCTGACTGTTATTCCCTACTAGGGGATAAGCCACATGCAACTACAAGTTCAAACACCACCTAAAACTGAACATATCCACATTGCTACCTTCCCTCTAACCCCTCAAGTCTTCTACTTCCTTAACACCATCAGTGCCATGGTTCTTGACTGTGTCCCATTCCAAACAGAGCAGTCTTCAACTCCTGTCTCTTGTACCTCGTCTTCATGATCTCACCCAGATACTGGACTCTAGCCCCTCAAGTCACGCCTACTCTTCTTTCACAGTCTCTCTCACCAACGCTCCTCGTCCCTCCTCTGCCGCAGTAAGGGCCTCATCCCCTCACACGCAGACCTCTCTTCTGTCCATCCACACATCCTCGCCAGGATCATCTTCTTCAACACATCTCTCCACCGTTCAGAATACACCGGTGGCTCATAACGGCTCCTGCTGCCTTCTCACCCTCGTTTCTGACTATACAACCTTGCCTTTCTCTTCTAAAGAGAGCCTTGCCTTTCTCTTTCTAAAGAAACCAATTCACCAGAATTGACAACATTTGATCTTTTTTCTTTTACCCAAGTTGATGACATTATTTTAACCCTACTTACTTGTTTCCAAAATAATGCACTTCTCTTGAAAACATCTCTCCAAGCCCACTTCCTTGTCAGCCTCATCCAAAATAATACCTTTAACTAATTACTCTTGTAATACCCCTGTAGCATTTTATGTCTACAGTGTAGCATGTGCCTATATTCAAAGATTTCTCTACACATTTAAATGATTTGTAGATTTCAAGCTTTCTACTTCTTCTGAAATGCCACTCAAATTAGGGTGTACAATACTCTAAATTATTGACGACATAATAAATAAGGGTAGCCGATTTTAACTCTAAAATAAAACTTCAGTTCAAACTATGTCCAAATGAATAATGACACTCACCTTTTTACCTTCTTGTGACTACTTCTGTGACCATTCTATAACAAAAGAACACAGAAAGTCATTTCAGATGATTAAATCAGTCATCTTATGTTCTCTTGCTCTTCCTCCAGTACTGCTAGAAGGTTCTGTGACCATGTTTCTTATTCTTAGTTCATCACTATTTATACTTTCATCAAGCCCTATACCAAGACTTAGTATTGCAAGACTGCAATTTTGCCAATCTGATGGGTTTGGAATGGTATCTAATTGTTGTTTTGATTTGTATTTCCCTGATTCTTAGTAAAGTTAATCATCTTTTCATGTTTGTTTCCCATTTGAGTATCTCTTCTCTGAAATGACTGTTCAGATACTTTATACATTTTTCTACTGAGTTGCTTGTATTTTTCTTATTGATTTGTAGTTCTTTATAAACAGAATACTTTTGTAACACTGTCACCATAAAAAGTATGTGATTTTTTTCTTTTGAGACAGGGTCTCTCTATGTTGTTCAGGCTAGTCTTGAACTCCTGGGCTCAAGTGATCCTCCCACCTGAGCCTCCCAAGTAGCTGGGACTACAGGCACATGCCACCACACCCAGCTAAAACATTATATGATTTTTAAGTTAATTTTTAATTTTAAGTTTAGTTCTGATCTTTACAAACAGAAACAAAACTATATTAATGAACCTTTAAATATTATCCAGCTGGTGGGACAGAAAAGCAAGATCACAGGCACATACTAAAATACAAAGGTAAGCAGTGAAAGATGGAAGTGAAGTATGGAAGAATTTTGCATTTGAGGAATGGAGGTTAATAAAGAAAAGAGAGAGTCAAAAGACTACTGAACATTATTATTTACTAAGAGTGCATGAGATAAAAATATGAAAATTATGGTAAAATATTGGAGATCATTTTTAAATGAGGAAACACAAGGAAAGTAAGATTAAGTAGAAAGTTTAGAAACTAATACTATACCATAGAATACGAAGAACTGCTTAAGCTGTCATCACTATGATTTCTCATGGATGCATTTTCTGAAAAGTGAATTTCCAATGATGATTTGGAAGCACTAGAAGAAAAGGGTATAACTCTTAGTTTATCAATTCTATTTTTTATCACTAGTTTCTCCAAATCCTCCTTAAACATTAAATGGTTTCATGAAAGTATTCTTTAAAGGCAGCAATTTGAATGTGTTAAGTATCACAATTGTTTGTCCACACGTACCATTTGCTGGTCTCAGAAGGGGTGCTTCTGAAGTTACACTCAGTAGTAAAAGAACAAGAATCAGCTTTCTGAAAGAAAGAGCAGCCCTTTGTGGCTTAAATGCAACTAAATTACTTCTCTACAGTGGCTCCCAGTCTCCTGTGTACTATCACATTTATGTCCCACCATTTACCAAACCTACGACCATAATAATTACAAAATTAATACATTTTTATGGATGTTTGATCTAGATTTAAAAACAACCCTGAGTTGCCAACAGAACTTTTAACCCACTGGGGCCTCATGGCTCCATGACTTATGGCTCATTGGTGTGACACACAACAGAGGAATCATTTTGCTACATGACTATCTGGCTGCTTTGGCATTATATAAACACAGTCTAACCTCCAATCAACGTCAGAGGGAATTTTAAAATATAAAAATTAAATCCAAAAGCAGTACATACCCTAGAATGGTCTTCTGATTGTATCTGCAAATATGCAAGTTTAGCAGCCAATTGTTTTGCCTCCTGTTTAGAAGAACCTTTAGCAATACCAAATTCTCTCTCCCCAATTTTGCATTTACAATGAAACCTAGGAGAAATGAAACAGTACTTATTCAAATATGAAAAATATAGGAAATCTAACTTATGATTTGAAAAAAATCACATATTAACAAAGAAATTCAGATAATGCTAATTTATTAGATAGATTTATATTTCATATCTTGTATAATTTAAACCTTCAGTAAGATGGCGAACTGATTTGTTTGAATAACCAGGATTAGCTAGAGTCTCGGCTTGCATTTTCCAGGCAACTGCTAACTCTTTGTTGCTTTGTTGAAAAATCTGGCGCAAAGGCACTAAGTGGTGATTTTTTTAAAATTCCCCAGAGATCAAAAGATATGGAGGTAGGGAAGAAAGAGATCCAGTGAATTTTTCAGAGATGCTCAAATGGGAAAGAAAAGGCCACTAAAGAAAGTGGGGCTTCTACAGGAGAGGCTGAGTTTACAGTGCTATGGCCTTTGTAGGAGATATGCATAGCAGAGATTTTGCTCTAACTTCAGCATTTTCTGCCACCTGCTATGTGCACAAAAACTTAAGAAAATCCCAACAGTGTATATGCCCCACATTGAAGCCCACACTTTCCTTAAATTAGATGTAAGGACATTTGTGCTTACGCAAGGCTACCTGGACAATTATATAAGAATTATTTTTAAGGAGTAAATCAATAGATGTGGCAATTTATATCATGGAATTACTATATATTATTGCAATATTATTCCAGTATTTGCATTTCTTTTACTTTGTGTTTCAGTTGGAGGCCAGAGAGAGAAACACACCCAACCAGAGTAAGTCTTCCCTGGTAGGCCCTGAATTAAAGAGCTGTGCAGAACAACTGGATCATTGCTACAGCCCCTGTTTTGTTCAGGTACCCCCAAATAGACTTCTTTTCTCTTTTAGGTATTTAATGTTAGAGTGCTTAATTCAAAGGAATCAAAGAAGTGACCTACGGAAAAATAAAATAGTCTCCTAAATATTGAGATGGGCTCACAGAATTCACTTTTGACTATTTCATTCCAATGATTACTATCACATTTTTCTCTTCCTGGTTCTGGCCCAGAAGCCGTCAGAGTAAAAAGTAAATGGCTGAGTAAAAAGTAAAAGACTTCATAGGACTGTATACTAAATGGGACTATTTGCCACTTATCAATAGATATTTTTTCTTCTCTCTCATTTCACTGGTTAGTTGTAATTGAGAACAATCTCCCTCATACTCATTTGCTTTCTAGTTTTTCCAGTTCTGATTTGTTCTTTCACCTCAATTCCACACATCTTAGCTCACCGGTGTTGTTCCCAGTAACTCTCAAGCTCTAAATCATCTGTCTCCTTCATTGGATCCCTCGAATCCTGGTTTCTTCAAAGTCTAGGGCTAGAAGGCATTCCTTCTGATACATGGTATTTGTCCATTTAATCAAACATGAGAATCAAACACCTGGACAAACAGCTCCCTAATCTGACAACAGTGGGGAGTCATTCTGCACTTATGGCACAGAGATTGTCACACAGTTACTGCCATCATGACCTCAGTGATGGGAAGATCTCCGCGTCCTGCAAGCAGAGGTACCCTGTACTCGCTCAGGTGTCCCACAGCTAAACCATCCAGATATACCACAGAAATAAAGGATTATCCTAATTTGATCAATTACAGTAGACGGATCTCATGGCGGCAGCAATTAAGCATTTTGATTGCAAATTATAAGTCCCCATTTGCTTACGAATCATATAAAACTTTCCATACAGAAATGTACAAAAAGCATAAATATTTCTGGAAAATTAGATAAGCATGGATTTATTTACAAAAAAGAAGCCCACTTTATTGCTCAGATGCAAGAAAACAGAAGACGGCCGGGCGCGGTGGCTAACGCCTGTAATCCTAGTACTCTTGGAGGCCGAGGCAGGAGGATCACTGGAAGTCAGGAGTTCGAGACCAACCTGAGCAAGAGTGAGACCCCATCTCTACTAAAAATAGAAAAAAGTATCTGGGCCTGGTGGTGTGCACCTGTAATCCCAGCTACTTGGGAGGCTGAAGCAGGAGGATCACTGAGCTGCTCAGGAGTTTGAGGTTGCTGTGAGATAGGCTGATGCCATGGCACTCTAGCCTGGGCAACAAAGCAAGACTCTGTCTCAAAAAAAAAAAAAAAAAAAAAAAGAATTAAAAACAAACAATAAAACAGAAAGAAAGGCTGAACTACATCTCACCTCATGGGCCCCAGCTCATTCGATTCAAGTTGTTCATAATTTACAGTTTTTTTTGTCTTCTGGGCAATCCTATTAACAAGGCCTATGTAATTCCCAATGGAGAATCCTTCTGAAGTATCTGTTGTTGCCAATGAGGAAGAACTCTCTACCTACAAAGAAAAACAATGTTGTTTAATATAAATGATATAAATGACAACAAAGATTTGCCCTTTTATTTTATTTTTCTAATAAAAGTACTAAAAGCAATTTGAAAGACAATTTAGATGTTATGTTTCCCTACTATGTCACCTTGAGTAAAAGTATAACTATATACCTCACTCTACCAGAAAAAAAAAAAAAAAAACCCACAAGGATAAATTTTAGCAATTAGAAAGAAATCACCCATTTTCCTTTTATACTATCATAAGGAAAACCAGAATTGTCCATTTTTTTGTTTTTCCCTGCAAAGTACGATAATCCTTTCTAGCTTGCTATACTGTTTTTCTTTTTTTCCTTTAAATCATTCTATGACTGGGCTATACCCTTTCTAAGTCTCCAAAAACAGGGCAATAGAGACTAGGGTAAAGCCATATCCTGGATTACAACTTAATGAAAAACACGAATATAACAGGATCATTCCTGCTATTGTTATTTATACCTTCTTTTTTTCTTAATCTGACAAAATCTTGTTCAAAATTTATCTATTTTATTAATCTTGTCAAAGAACTAGCTTTTTGTTTTATTGATTTTTTAATTATTTCTTTGTTTCTTTTAGATTAATTTTTGCCACTATTATTTTCTTTCTTCTGCTTTTTGAGAAGATAGTCTATTGCTGTTTTTTCTAACTTCTTGAGTCAGTTTTCTAGCTCATTAATAGTTACGACTGATTATTTTGCTTAATTTTTTTTCAATGTTGGTTAGAAGGATGATATCCTGCAGTAAGTTTTTTCAGTATCTTGAGAGTTCAGTTTTTCGAAAATTTTTCAGTGTCTGAGAATGGTCCTCTGTATCTCACAGGTAGATGACTTCACATATCATTTTAGAACCAGTACTCCACCATCTCCTGGTTTTTAAGCTTGCTGTGCACATCATGAAACTTTTTTTATCTCCTGAAACAGAGTTTTGCTCTGTCGCCCGGGCTAAAATGCCATGGCATCGGCCTAGCTCACAGCAACCTCAAACTCTTGGGGCTCAAGCGATCCTCTTGCCTCAGTCTCCCAAGAAGCTGAAACTACAGGCACATGCCACTACACCCAGCTAAATTTTCTATTTTTTGTGGAGACAAGGTCTTGCTCTTGTTCAGGCTGGTGTGGAACTCCTGGCCTCAAGTGATCCTCCTGCCTTGGCCTCCCAAAGTACTAGGATTACAAGCGTTAGCCACCACACTCGACCACTTTTTAAAAAATGTTTCCATTTTACATATTTTCCTTCTTCCTAGGTGCTTCTAGCATTCTTTCTTCAATTCATCCCAGAGCTTGGTACTTTCATAATGATCAAGGTTGATCTGAGTGGTTCTGTATTTTCCTATATCTTTGAGTTATTTTAATCTACAGTCAAGTTTTTCTTTATTTCATAAACATTTTCTGCCAAATATCTTCAGACCATTTTATTCTGTACTATTTCCTCTGTTCTCATCTTCAGGGATACCAATTACACATATATTGGTTCTCCATTAACTACCCTCCATATACAGTTGGCTCCCCTTATCCATGGGTTCCACATCCCCTGATTCAACCAAACTTGGATCAAAAATATTTGGGAAAAAAAAGGATATTTGCATCTGTACTAAACATGTACAGATTTTTTTCTTGCCATTATTCCCTAAACAATATAGTATAACAACTATTTAAATAGCGTTTGTATTGTATTAAGTGTTATAAGTAATCTAGAAATGATCGAAGTACAGCCATGTTCCACATGTTTCAGCTGACAACTGACCGCATATATGACAGTGGTCCCATAAGATTATAATGGAGCTGAAAAATTCCTATCACCTGGTGATGTCATTGCCATCGTAATGTCACAGTTCAATGCACTATTCACATATTTGTGGTGGTGTTGGGTGTAAACAAATCTACCGTGCTACAAGTTGTTTAAAGGTATAGCACATACAATTATTAGTACACAGTACTGGATAATGATAATGAACAACTATGTTATTGGTTTATGTATTTACTATACCATACTTTTTATCATTATATTAGAGTGTATTCCTTCTATTAAGTAAAAAAAAGTTAATTGCATATGAATAGGATGTACTATGGGCAGAAAAAATAAAAAAAGAATGATGTCTATTTTTTATTAATTTAAAAATTATATACAATTTTAAATTTTAAAAAAATTTTTAAAAGTTAATTGCAAAAGGCCGGGCGTGGTGGCTCACGCCTGTAATCCTAGCACTCTGGGAGGCTGAGGTAGGCAGATTGCTCGAGGTCAGGAGTTCGAAACCAGCCTGAGCGAGACCCCGTCTCTACCAAAAAAAGAGAGAAATTAATTGACCAACTAAAATATATATAGAGAAAAAATTAGCCGGGCATGGTGGCGCATGCCTGTAGTCCCAGCTACTCGGGAGGCTGAGGCAGGAGGATCGCTTGAGCTCAGGAGTTTGAGGTTGCTGTAAGCTAGGCTGACGCCACGGCACTCACTCTAGCCTGGGCAACAGAGTGAGACTCTGTCTCAAAAAAAAAAAAAAAAAAGTTAATTGCAAAATACCCTCAGGCAGGTCTTTGAGGAGGTGTTACAGAAGGAGGTACTGTTATCATAGGAGATGACAGCCCCATGCGTCATGGAGGCGGAAGATAAGGAAGTAGAAGACAGTGATATTGATGATCCTGACCCTCTGTAGGCTGAGGCTAATGTGTGTACTTGTGTCTTAGTTTTTAACAAAAGAGTTTAAAAAGTAAAAAGAAATAAAAAATTTTACAAACAGAAAAAAGCTTACAGAATAAGGATATAAAGAAACACAATACTTTTGTACAGCTATACAATGTGTTTGTGTGTTAAGCTAAGTGTTATTACAAAAGAGTCAAAATGTTTAAAAAAATTAACTTTCATAAAGTAATAAAGTTACAGTAAGCTAAGGTTAATTTATTATTGAAGAAAAAATATTTTTTTATAAATTTAGTGTACCCCATGCGTATAGTGTTTGTAAAGTCTATAGTGGGGTACAGTAATGTCCCAGGCCTTCACATCCACTCACTGCACACTCACTGACTCACCTAGAGAAACTTCCAGTCCTGCAAGCTCCATTCATGGTAGGTGCCCTGCACAGGTACCATTTCTTATCTTTTATGCTGCATTTTTACTATCCTTTTCTATGTTTAATATACAAGTATTATACTTACTATCGTGTTACAACTGCCCACAGTACTCAGTATATTAACAAGCTGTACAGGTTTGTAGTCTAGGAGCAACAGGTAAGTAGTTGCCTAGGTGAGTAGTAGGCTATACTATCTAGGATTGTGTAAGTACACTCTATGATGTTTGAACGATGACAAAATTGCCTAACAATGCAGTTCTCAGGACATATCCCAGTCCATAAGCGATGCATGACTGTATAGAGGAGGATATGCGTAGGTTATATGCAATATATTGCATATGCAAATATTATGCCACTTTATACAAAGCACTTGAGCTCAGTGGATTTTGGTATCTGTGAGGGGTCCTAGAACCAATTCCCTGCAGATACTGAGGGACAACTGTACATTATTTTCCCTACAATCACTTTTACCTCTTTTTCTTTTTCTTTCTTCCTTTCTTTTTTTTTTATTTCAAAGTATTAAGGGGTTGCAAATGTTTTTGGTTACATGGATCACTTTTATAATGCTTGCGTCATGGCTATAAGTGTGCCCATCACCCAAATAGTGTTCACTGTACCTGTTAGGTAGGTTTTTGCCTCTCCCTCCCACCTCCCTCCCCACTCTTTTTCCTTTTCTACTATACTTCCTCAATTAGATGGAAGGCACTCTTTCAAGAACCTGTCAGCTCATTTTTCACTAAGCATTTCTTACTTTTCCATATTTGTTCAACTTTAGAGTATTAAACTGCTACTGACACTCTAAGTAAATGTTATCCAGCTTTGCCCATTATTTCCTAGGTGTACCTCTCACTCAGGGTTCTATAGACATGGAGATAGGGAAAAAAGGTTGAACCAAACCCTTGAATGTAAAGAAATATAAAACAGATCTGTGAGTTCCTTTTTACTAAGAAAAAAGGCAATCACTCACCTTTTTTTTATTAAGTATCTCAATAGCTACTTTGGCCGCAGCATTTCTTGCTTCCTTCTTTGTTCTACCTTCAGCCTCTGGAAATACTGTGTCATCTATTATAACTTGAAATGTAAACCTGATTACAAAGAGAATATTCATAAAATATTATACAGCTCATGCACCATCTAAGGACAAGTGTTCTAATCACCACTGCCTCCTATGACGGCCTATGAGGGTTTGAACTTATGTTCAATATATAATTTAAGCAGTCACCCCAAAACAGCACATCTTCTTGAAGCATAGAAAGGTTTCTATACCCCCTTTTTCTCTAGAGTTATCTGGGGTGATCACTTTATGCCAAGAGGACTCTCACAGAACTCTTTGGCAACTTTGCTATAGGGCTAAAGTATTAAAACCTCAAAATTGTGCCAGAGTTTCCATTTCCCTAGTAGGGCCATACCCTTTTTTACAGCAACTTACCTTAGGTCATGTGCAGGTCCTCTCTTAGTAAGTTCACAATACTTAAGTACTGCATTGGTTTTCTGCCGGTATCTATTAAGTTCCTCTATGAAGAAACCTGGTGAATGATCAGTGGCCATTTCTTCTTCCAGTAACCTACAGTAGAAGAGATAATTTGAATGAGTGATACTAACAGAACATATTTTATCTGATTTTTCCCAATTCAGTTTAAGAGACAAATGGGGGAGACAAATGACTCATCTCAGCTCTACAGAAATTCAGAGACTTTCTTTCAAAGCCATTCTTCCTCTTTCATAGACTGCACAACAAAGCTAATTTCTCCAAAATTTCCTATTTTCAAAACTCGACTGCCCAGTGAAAGAATAGAGTCCTTCTCTTTAACTCTGCTTTCTGCTTCCACTGAGTGTCAAGTACAAATTTGTCCATCTGTTTAAAAGGGAAAAAGGCTGCAAGAGAGGAATTAGATTTTTTTTTATGTTCAGAAGAAAAAGATTTAGAGTATATATAAGTGAAATTTATGAAATTATGAAGGAATTAGCTATATGGTAATAGATTCTCCAATGAAACGCCAAAAATCCCACCAAAATTTGCAGAAATCAGTTTTAGAATTATTTAACCCATGGGTAAATTAAGACTCCAGTGTATAGATCTCACTAGACCAAGACACATTTGTTTGTTTAAATTACAAACAAATTTTAGAGGATATAAAATCTAAATGTAAGAGCCCAAACTATAAAACCTTTTGAAGAAAACATAAGGTTAAATCTTCATGACCTTGGATTTGGTGATGAAATCTTAGATATGAGAGCAAAAGCACAAGCAACAAAAGGAACCATAGATAAATCAGGCTTCATCAAAATTAAAAACTTTTGTAAATCAAAGGACACTATGGGCTGGGTGCAGTGGGTCATGCCTGTAATCCCCCCTAGCACTTTGGGAGGCTGAGGAGGGAGGATCACTTGAGGCCAGGAGTTGGAGACCAGCCTGGGCAACACTGCAAGACCTCATCTCTACAAAAAAAAAAAAAAAAAAAAAAAAAAATTAATCGAGCATAGTAACATGCACCTGTAGTCCCAGCTACTAAGGAGGCTGAGGCAGGAGAATTACTTGAGCCCAGAAGTTAGAGGTTGCAGTGATCTATGATCACACCACTGCATTCTAGTCTGGGCAACATAGACAGACTCTGTCTCTAAAAATATAAAAATAAAAATAATGATAATAAAAAAGGACACTATGAAGAAAATGAAAAGACAATCTACAGAATGGAATATCTGTAAATCATATATCTGATAAAGATATAGTAGTATAGTATCCAGAATATATAAAGAACTCCAACAACTCAACAACAAAAAGACAACCCAATTAAAAAATAGGTAAGGTATACTTGAATAGATATTTCTTCAAAGAAGATATACAAATGGCCAAAAAGCACATGAAAATATGCTCAACACCATTAGTCATTTGCAGAAATGCAAATCAAAACCACAACTACCATTCGACATTGGCAACAATAATAATAATTAGAAAATAAAAGTATGTGTGAAGATGTGGAGAAACTGGAATCCTCATACCTTGCCGATGGAAATGTAAAACACTGCAGCTGCTGGGTAAAACAGTGTGGTACTTCCTCCAAAAGTTAAACTTAGAATTCCCATAAAACCCAGCAATTCCATTTTTAGGTATTTCAAAGAATTGAAAAACAGATTTTCAAACAAATACTTATACAGGAATGTTCATAGTAACACTGTTCACAATAGCCAAAAAGTAGAAACAAACCAAGCGTCCATCAACTGATAAATGGTAAACAAAATGTGGTGTATCCACACAATGGAATATTATTCAGGCATAATAAGAAATGAAGTACTGATACATGCTACAACATGGATGAACCTCAAAAACATGATGCTACATGAAAAAAGCCAGACATAAAAGACCATAAAATATTGTATGATTCCATTTATATGAAACATCCAGAATATGCAAACCCATAGAGACAGAAAGCAGACCCTGTTAAACTTCTTCTTGTTGGAAAGCTCTTTTGATTTTCTTTCTTCCAGGGCCACTCTTTCTACCATTGCTTAATCTTTGTAGCCTGTTAATGTTGGTGTGATTCAAAGATCCTATTATCTTCACTCCATACTTTCTCCTTTAGGTGACGTCTTTCATGTCCACGATTTCAATGACCATCTAACATGTCATTAACTCTAAAATTTACATATCCTTTATGAACCTCTCTCTGAGTTTTAGAGTTATCTCCACTTGAAGATCTTGAATGAACTTTAAACTTAAAATATCCAAAACTACATTTATGATGTTCCTCAAACTGTTTTAGAGTTTCCCTTCTCAGAAAATGACTCCACTATCCATACAAGTCTGAAAGCCATGAATCTGAGAGGCATTCTTGCCATTTCTTCTCCCTACCTTCTAATCTATAACTAGGTCCCATTACCAAAATTCTTCTACTTCTCAACAATGTCTACAGTCACCACCCGGGTTCAAGCCACCAACACCTCACTCCTGGACTGCTGCAAGAATCTCAGAACCAGTTCCTGTAGCTACTTCAATTCCTCCTCTATGCTGTACCCTGCACCCTGCAGCCATCGTGATCTTTTTCTCTTTTTATATTGTAAAATTGTGACAAAATATACATACAATAAAATTTATCCTTTCAACTGCTTTTCAGTGTACAATTCACTGGCATTAAGTCCGGTCACAATGTTGTACAGCCATTACCAACATCCACATCCAGAACTCTTTATGTCTTTGAGGTTCATCCATGTTATAGATTGTGTCAGAATTTCCTCCTTTTTTAATGCTGAATAATATTCCCTTGTATGTTTATACCATGTTTTCTTTATCCATTCATTTGTTGATGGACATTTGGGTTATTTCAACCTTTTGGCTATTATGAATAATACTGCTATGAACACTGGTGTGTAAATATTTATTTAAGTCTCTGCTTTCAAATATTTAGGGTATATACCTAGAAGTGGAGTGAATCAGATGGTAATTCTATGTTTAACTTTTGGAGGAACCACCAAATTGTTTTCCACAATAATTACACCATTTTACATTTCCACTAGCAATGCACAAGGGGAGTTCCAATTTCTCTACATCCTCATCAATACTTACTGTTTCTGTTTTGTTTTGTTGTGGTTTTTTTATTATAATAACCACACTGCAATTTTTTAAAAACATTGATCCAATCATGCAGCCTCTACAAGCCACTGAAATAGTTCTTATCAAGGTTACCAATAGCTTCCCCATCACTAAATCTGGTAGTTTTCATTCCTTGTCTTCCAACATTTGATATGGTTGTTCATTTTCTTCTCCCTCCTCCCCCCTTCTTAGCTTGAACTTCTAAGACACCCACTCTCCTGGGTTTCTTCCTTTCTCACAAGCTACTCCTTTTCTGACTCCTTTCCTAGTCCTTCATCTTCCTTTCTTCAAGATATTGTAGTGTCCTGGTGCCCAGTCCTTAGACCTGCTCTTCTCCACTTACACTCACTCCCCTGGTGACTACCCAGGTTTGTGGCTTTATGTTTCACCTTCACAATGATGGTTCTCAAAAATACATCTCCACCATGGACTCTTTCCTGAACCCCTAACTGCTTCTGTCCAACCCATTTCCCTCCTATAATGCTCTTGGCTCTAACCCCTTCTGCTGCCCATGCCTGGTCAACTCCTACTTCCTACAGTTATCAATTCAAAATCCTGGACACTCTTCCACTGGCTCTTTCACAGTCCTTGTCCTCTTTATTCCAATTGCTTACTTAATGACTGTTTTCCAAACTAGAACATGAATTACAAGAGAGTAGGGACCAGGCTCATAATAGGGGCTCAATAGTGAATGATACCAAAGTATCTCCAGATCCTGCCTCCAAGACTTGTCACCTGCTTTCCTCTAAACTTGCAATGCAGTATCTGCATCCTCTGTCTACCAGGCAATCTCCACTCGTCTATTGGGATCAACACAGCCTTTTTTGATGCTGTAGCATCAGCTAGTACCCCTCCATGGGCTGCCACTCTACCCTACCTGATCTTCCTCACAGCCCTCACTCCTTTTTAAACTAATCACTGAGTCATTCGGGGAGCACGTTCTATGTCTTACCATTCACTGAAAAGAAATCGCCATTGTCATCACTAACAAGTGGTATTTGTCCATTTTACTCATGCCCAGAAATTACTCTGGCTATAGCTCCATTCCCTTACCGCAGACTACGGGGCCCCCTCACCTCCAACGGGCTGAGCCTCCTGCAGGTTCCACCCGATAATTCAACATAACATGCATTCAACCAGTATCTGATTCTTAAATGAATAAGCTACAGGTAGAGAGTTTTGGATATTCAGGTTCAAATAAGCAAACTGAAGAACAAGAGCATAATCTTCCCAAGAGTCCACCCTCCTAAGTGACAGCAGAGAACATGCCTTTTAGCTTCAATCAGCAAGGCATTTTTAGTACTAAAGAAAACGTGAAAACTTCCAATAGGAAGTCTCATTATTCCAGAATTCAAAGAGAATGTATGAATTACCACTCATTTAACAAATATTTAATGAGCACCTATTATGTACTAGGTGCTGCTGAACAAAATCCTACTCTTGTGAACTTAGTAGTGAAGGAACACAAACCCATAAAGAAAATGTCACGGGGTGAGAAGAACTATGTTGAAAACTGAAATCAAGGGTAAGGAGAGCAGCCAGGGCAAAGTGGGGTTTCCTTTATATGCAGGTTGTTGGGGAAGGCAGCGCTGATAAGCTGGCATTGGAAGTGTAGGATGAAGTGAGGGATTTGCCCAAACAGGTGTCTGGGGGAAGAGCTTTCCAGGAAGAAGAAAACGGGCCGTGCAAAGGCCTAGAGACACGAGCATGCTCCACTGGGCCCCAGGAACAGCAAGGAAGCCATGGCAGCCAGGGGCCTTGCCCGGCCCTGACAAATGGTTATACTGCAGCGAACCCCAACTTTTTTGGCACCAGGGCCCGGTTTCATGGGAGACAATTTTCCCCCGGGAGGGGGATGGGGGAGGAAGCGGGAGCGGAGCTCAGGCGGTGATGCCCGGCCCAGTTCCTAACAGGCCACGGACCATACCAAAGGGGTTGGGGACCTCAGGGTTCTGGAATTCTGATAAGACAGGAAGCTATGGGGGAGGTCTGAGCGAGGGAGTGTTTGGATCTGACTTAAAGGAACCCTTAGCTGCTGAGGAGTGGGAAAGAGGTAATGGGGTGGAGGTGGGGGCAGGGAGAAAAGTGGAGGCAGGAGCTGAGACTGGGCCATTGGGAAACTACTGCAATCCTCCAGGCAAGAGATTTTTAGCCAGAGATTGTTTAGCCAATCTATGGGTATTCAGGCCCCCATATCTCCATCTGCCTGTTGAGTCACTGAGCGATCCGTTTTCACCTAGACTCCCCCGCCCCCAATCTCTGCCTGGGAGGTAGTTTTTACCTGCACTGAACAAAATTTTTCGCGGGAGGAAAATGGCTTGCAGTTCCCACCGCGCTGCGTGACCCTTTGGAGGGATGCGGGGAGGGCCCCTACCTGGGCTGCGGGCCCGGGACCGCGCTCCGGTGCGGCCGGACTGGGCTGCCGATCTGCATGCACGCCGGCCCGCTCTCCCTGCGTCGCCGCGGCGGGCGGAGGGCGGCCGGTCTGGCGGCTCGCTCTCGGTTTCGTTTTCCCCGCGGACTCCTCCTTCCCCTCCCGCCACCGGCCCTCCCGCACAGGCGCGCCGCCGCCCCGCCGGGTGCGCGGGCCGCCCCGGGTGCGGTGACGGCGGCGGCGCGGGAGGGCCGGCCGGGGGAGGGGGCCCTGCGGCCTCGCGGGCTCCCCGTTCACTCTTCAACGCGAGCATTCGGGATGGGGTTGGGGAGGCGGGTACTAGCGGCTCCATTCGACAATAGAAGAAACCGAGGGGTAAAGGAGCTCACCCAGGGTCCTGCCGTTGGTAGGTGGCAACCCCAGGATCCAGATCAAGTCGGGCCTGTGCCCCCCGCTCCATTCCTCACTGCTGCTCCCTCCGGTCTGCAAGGGTGGCGAGGAGAGGCCTGGGGCCTAATCGCCCTTCTTCAACCCACTCCCACCCATCCTTCAAGCCGTTCCCACCCATCCATCCGTTCCTGGGCAGGTACTTGCCTGCCCGCTCACCGGGCGCCTGCAGTTAAGGAGAGCCACCTGCTTCCTACCGGACCTCGTGGAGTTTCCTACCAAAGTGCAATCCAAGTAGCCCTCTATTTATAATAAATCCTACTCACCCGATGGTCTGTGACACACTCCCAGAGTCACACTGGCTCCTTGTCACAGAAACTTAAGGGTATTGAGGGGGGTAAAAAACCACCAAACCAAAAAATAAAAAGCCACCAAAACAAAAAACCACCAAAACAAAAAAACCACCACCAAACCAAAAAAAAGAAAAAGAAAAAAACTGGCTCATTGTCACAGTAACTTAAGGATAGGGAGGGGGAAAAAAAGAGAGAAAAAAAAAAGAAAGAGAAAGGAAAAAAAGACTATTGAGGATTTGCCTTGTCTCACACATTGGCCAATGCATATATCCTCACTATACCGGGGGACAGGCACCACTACTAATCCCATTCAACGGATGAGAAAACTGAGGTCCGGGGCATAGAGAAGTTAGGTAACACAGCCTGCAAGCAGTGGAGCTAAAATTAGAACCAGGAGTCTGTACTCTCAACATCTTAGCTGGAGTGAGGGAGGGAGGTCATCCCAAGATGGACCTCAAATATAAATTAAATATTGTGCCTCCATTCCTGCCTCTCGTCTACCTCCCCCCTGTATTGCAACCTCCCCCACTGAAACATATACTTCCCTTGTAGCTCAGGTCCTGGGCATGGTTTAAGTTCCCCATATGTGAAGCACTGGTGGGAGGTTTAGAAGGTAGACAGGAGGCAGAGCCATCTTTCTGTGGCATTTCCAGGTGACAAGAAAGCTGTGACAGTGTGGGTGTTTGCAGGTGTCCATTTGTCAGCTCCATGGATGTGGGGTGGCCGTGGCAGCTGCAATGGCAATAGCAGGGACAGGTTTTTCTGAAATTTTGGGCCCCTGGACTGCATAAGAGAGCATAAAAAAAGAAAAATGACAAACTTAAGCATGATCAGAGGACACACGCTTTTATGACTGCCCAAGAAGAACCTCTTATTTCATGTAGCCTCAGGGCTGATGTTGTAAAAATCAGATGTGAACCCAATGCTGCAAGTATAGCAGAATGACAAGATAAATTTGATTTGTAGCCTCATCGGGTTTCTACTGTGAGCACTGAGGGCATTGATTGGGAAAGAAGGAAGCCCTGGGAATTTGGGTGAATCTGTATGAATCCAAGGACCACTGCCCTCGCAAATTCTGCTGCACCCCCGCAGGCTTTCCACCATTGCCTGGTGAGGCCGGCCCAGCCTCGCTTGCAGAGCTGGAAGCAGTCACCTTGCAAGCAGTTGCTGATTGTCCAGATGCGCCATCCCCACCTCGTGTCTTCACTCCTGGAACTAGAATCAGAGGCTAATGTGCCCCAAGAGGACAAGGACAAGATCTGATCGAGACCCTGGACAAGTGGTGGCCCCGGAACTGGTGAGGGCTTCCACTGTGCTGCCCCCTCATTATTCACACCCACCAATAAATCCTACTTCCTGTCCGCTTAAAAAAATGATCCGGTCAAGAGGAGATGGTTTACATGGCAGAAGAGGACGCAAGATTTCACTAATTTTTATCAACCAAAACCCAGGTAATATGCATGGAAAAGTGATTCTAAAGATGACATGAGGATGGAGACAGTCAATGTGCTAACTCCAGCAGCTGGAGCAGCTAAGCAGTTCGCTCTGTTGCTCTACTACAACCTGAGCTCAGTGGTAGCCCACGTTAAATGAAATTGCAGCACCAAGTAATGCAGATAAAGAAATCAAAAATAGGCCGGGCGCGGTGGCTCACGCCTGTAATCCTAGCTCTCTGGGAGGCCGAGGCGGGCGGATAGCTCAAGGTCAGGAGTTCGAAACCAGCCTGAGCAAGAGCAAGACCCCGTCTCTACTATAAATAGAAAGAAACTAATTGGCCAACTGATATATATAAAAAAAAAAAAAAAAAAAAATTAGCCGGGCATGGTGGCGCATGCCTGTAATCCCAGCTACTCGGGAGGCTGAGACAGAAGGATCGCTCGAGCCCAGGAGTTTGAGGTTGCTGTGAGCTAGGCTGACGCCACGGCACTCACTCTAGCCTGGGCAACAAAGTGAGACTCTGTCTCAAAAAAAAAAAAAAAAAGAAAGAAAAAATACTTAGGGAGTCAGGAAAATTGGAGTAGATTAACCACACATAACCTATTCATTCACTTTCTAACCATGTCCCCCAAGAAGAACCGAAGGCCCCTTCTCCAGTGGCTCACACAGAGTCGGTGGATTTAACTGGATGTTCAGAGACTTGGAAGGAATGAGATAGGAGGGTTGGTGATGAAGAGGTCTAGGGAAAACGATGTTGATGAACCACTTGGAATGGACAGAATGTAAGCAAATTGGGTGCCCTTGTGAAGATTCACCTAAGGCATCCACTTCTGAGAAAGCTTTTGAAAAGCAGGTGAGAAAGAAGACTTATGTCAGCCAGCCTTTTCCCCAGCTATCCCAGTGCTCGTTCAAACGCCTAAAGAGGCTAAGGTTGATCTGGCTGCTGAACACCCACGGTGCCAACAGCAGAGACGCACAGTAAGCCCCCAGTGTGGAGTATCATACTCCAAGGGACACCAGCCAGCCACTTGGTGGTAGACAGTTACCTGCAGAGGGCAGGGATTTTTTTCCCCCCTATTTGGAGTAAACACTTACTCCACTTATTCTTTGGAGTAGACACTTACTCAATTTGCTTTTCCTTCCTGCAGTGTTTCTGCCAACACATTGTTGGACATTCCAAATGCCTTATTCACCTTCATGGTATTCCTCACTAAGGAACTCATTTTACAGAAAAAGAAGTGAGGCAGTACACCGACCACCAGGGGATTCAATGGCTTTATCATGAACCTCATCACCCAGAAAGAAGTGGCTGGCCTTGTATGACAATGGGGTGGAATATTGAAGCCTCAGTTATGGCCCCAAGGAGGAGACAGCACTTAGCAAGTTGGACGTATTGTCTTTCAGGAGCAGTATACACTCTAAACCAGGTTGCTGTGTCTTCCTGGCCAGAATACATGAGCCCTGGAAACAGAGTAGAAGTGGAAGGGTTATCTCTCTCACAATTAGACCTAATTACATACTTGCAAAATTAGTGCTTTCTTCTTCCATGCCCCTGGGCTCTGTTTCTACCAGGAGACAAATAGTTCTTGAAAGGGAACTTGTATCTTGACATTGCAAGTTCTTCTTGCCATCAAGTCATCAAGAAAATAAGGGTGTTATCAAACTGTCTGGAGTGATTTAATACTATTTACCAAGGAGAAATAATGTTGCAGCTATACAATGGAGTCAGGGAAGAGTATGTCTTTAACCTGTGGGTTCCTCTGGGGTTCCTCGTGGTAATCCCATGTCCAGTGCTATATGTTAATGGAAGTCTACCCCTGCCCAACACGGGCAGGACTGCTAAGGGCTCAGGCCCTTCAGAATTAGAGGTTTGCATCACTCCACTAGCTGGAAAGTTTTCTGGGGCAAAAGGAAGAAGGAAAGAGGAAGTTATAAACACCAGCTATGTTCTTTTGACCAGTTGCAGAATAAAGAACCATAGAATCTATGCATGTTTTCTTCCTTCCTTTCTTTTTGTATGAATTAATGAATTTCTTTGAATTACTTCTCTCTTTCCTTTTATATAACATTTGGTAGTGGTAGTTAATTTTATAAGCTAGTCTTTAGATTTGAGTATCTTAAGGTAGAATTTTGACTAAATAGAAGAGGAAAACCATAGTAATGAGTATGAAGACTTCAGGGATAGGATGAGTATGTTTTCATTTAAAAGAGGAAATGGTTAAATTCAGTGGTATATAGTTTTGTTGTCTGCTTAAAAGATTATAGGTAAAAGGAGTGGACTGTTCTAGATATTAATTATTTTTTAGCTTCCATTCTCTTCCCCTTCTATGTCCCCTCATCTCCTGAATTACAATGTATGGAAGGTTAAAGCCATATTTCCAATATTTCTGTAGAATTAAAGTTATGTATATAATTTGAGTCTGCCAATGACTGACGAGCAGTAGTGCAAGATTTGCAAGACAGAAGGGAGGATGAGGCCATCCTTGTGTGGCAGGACGAGCTGACCAGCAAGCGCCCGTGCTCAGGGGCATTCGCACGAACTAGACACCAAGCTCCCCTCTCAGTTCTTCAAGGGTGTTGGGCATCTGCAGTGGCAGCAGTGGCTATGGCAGGGTCCTGCATTTTGGATGGCAGCTGGTTACCAACTTATCTGAGTCCAGTGAGACAGAATACCCACACATAACAAGTTCTATGAAGCGAGTTTATAACTTACAGATAGACAGCAAGGGACAATGGAAGCCTAGGATTCTTTGACAGCTGGTCCCTTAAGGCTTAAGAAAGCTGCCTGAAGCAGATAGAGTCTCATCTGTCTGTGCCCTCTTGCTCTGCAGCTGAGGGGCCCTAGAATGCATCCACCCTGGGCTTTATGCCCCGAGGCCACATGACACACGAGGCTTAAGTGTTAAAGAACATTCTATTTCTAGGGGAGAACTGGAACAGAGCCAGGCTGTTTGGCCAGCTCCTCATTATCTCAAGATGTTGCATTCCCAGCACATTTCACAGTTATTCTTGAGAACTACAAGCAAAAAAGGGAAGAAACTGGGTCAGTCCAAGGCCACCTGAAGAACTGCCCTGCATCAGTGGTCCAAGCCACTGTCGTCTCTTGCTGGTCTCCTGGCTTTCATCCTTGCCTCTTCTCCTTCCTAGAGTCTATCCTAAAAAACCAGCCATAGTGATCCTGTGAATTCGATTATGTCACTTCTGTGCTTAAAACTCATTACTCTGAAAGTCAAACCCAAAGTCTTCAAGGGCTTGTAAGATTCTTCATGTCTAGGCCCCTGGTAGCCCATCTGACCTCATCTCCTGTTACTCTTTCCCTCCCTCATTCCCTTCTAGCTACGCTGGCCTCTCTACTGTCCTCAATAATGCCAGGTACACTGCTGCCTCAGTGCCTTTGCACTTGCTGTTCCTTTTGCCTGAAATCCTCTTCCTCCAGATACCTGCGGGGCTCACAGATCTTGTTCAAATGTCACTTTCTCAGTGAGGCCCTTCCCTCCTATACTATTTAAGTTGCATCACCATCCTCACCCTGTTGTCACTCCCAATCCCTCTCATTCTATTCTATTTCCCCTCTATTTCCCACAAATCCTTCAGTGGCAGCTTAATGTCATCTGATTCTTGTTTTAGTTTCCTATTCCTTCTTAGGTTTTGGTTTCGTTTTTTTTGTTTTGGGGTTTGTTTGGGGTTTTTTTGCTCCGTCACCCTGGGTAGAGTGTGGCGGTGGTGCGGTGGTGTCATCTTAGCTTACTGCAACCTCAAACTCCTGGGCTCAAGCAATCCTCTTGCCTCAGCCTCCCGAGTAGCTGGGACTAGAGGTGCATGCCACCACTCCTGGCTAATTTTTCTATTTTTGGTAGAGGTGAGGTCTCACTCTTGCTCAGGCTAGTCAGGTTTTGGTTTCTGATGAGTTTGTTTACTTTATTGAGAGCTGAGCTGTGCATCTAAAAGAATTTTTAAGAATTTTTATTCAGCATTTCTTGGCATTTCAAGGAGGGGGTTTTAGTTTATCTAATCCACCATCCTGCCAGAAATAGTAGCCCTATAACCTTTCTCAGAGAAATTTTATTTAACATTTCTATGTATCATCCCATTCTTAATTGCACATAACCTAGTTTTAAAGTGAAACTAGCTACAGTGTAAATAGTAAGGATTATTAAGAAGTTGAGAGGTGTCAGGTAGGTAGAAGGAGGTTGTTTCTAGAACATTATCTTCTCTTGTTAGTTCCACATGACTACGTGAAGCTTTGTTGTAGAAAGGGCTTTATGGTAGAATATTTATTCTGTTTAGCATTGAATTAAAGATTGTATTAAGTAGAAATATAGTCCCTTGAGAGCAGAGCCTCCATAAGGCTCCTGCACGGGCATACACAAAACAGATGAACAATGTATTTTTCTTAAATTAGAATAGAATTTATTCATCTTATTTTAGTGCAGAATTGGGATTAAATTCCCCCCCAACAGTAAGTTTGACATAGCCACCACAAGTGCTTTGATACACAAGTGAGAAAAAAGTTATTATAAGGAAAGTGCAGAGAAAAAGAGTGTATCATTTGGAGGCCTGTCTCATCTACACTCAAACACAGATCGAGGTATGTTTCTGATAGTATTAATAACTCCTTATGCTCTTATGTGAGCCCAGAGCATGAAAGAAGTTAAAATCACAGTATGATACATTAACAATAGTGTCCCTTTTGGGGCAGCTAAAATGCCCTTTCCTCAAAAAGTGAACAGACATATTTGTGTTCAAAAATTTCAGATGTTATCATTATTAATAAATTTGTATTCTTTAGATTTAAATATTATTTAACTATCATCATTTGATTGAATTATCATTTGATTATTTAAATTCTATTGTTGTTAAAGAAAATAAAAAAATCTAGGCCTCCTGAATTGACCAGAATCAACCCTGGCAGTATGATTCATACTTCAGCTTTGCTCCTAGGGATGTGACCGCTAAGCTCTTTTTGAATTTTTCATCCATTTCCTGGTTCTGAGCTCCACTGAACAAATTTTTCCAGTCACCAACTTCACCTACAACACACAACACACAGATATCTGTTAGATTATTTCTTCTTGATTTTTCCGTTTTCAGTGCAATGTTTCACTTTGCAATGTGAAAATGGACACATGAAAAAAATTATACACTCTCAAAACTAATAGAATTTCTCTTGTAAAATTAACAATATCCGTCTGGGGCCCCCCATCTGTGGTGTGGCAGGTGACATGCTTTCTTTGTATCATTGGGTGGGTGGGGGAGGGGCGCCTAACTCACAACCCTCTCCCAACACCTGGAACTTAAAATTCCACTTGTTTTTATGAGATGGGGAAAAGTCTACTTTTTGAGAATGTTTTTTCTCTCTCTCTCTTTCAAGTCTTTTAAATACTTTAAATACCTTTTGAAAAGTTAACATTTTATAGCAGGTTTGGGGTAAGACCTCAGATACTGAAAATTTTGCCTGAGATTAGGATATATTTTTCTTATTTGCTTTTAAAAGTAAAGGAAGTAGGCTGGTCTGATGGTAGTGGGTTATCAGAACTTTTAAAAGTCACTAAAGTTGGTATACAAACCTCCACTGCTACATTTGACTGAAAAAAAAAAAACTAAAATATTAGCTGGGCATGGTGATGTGCGCCTATGTAGTCCCAGCTACTCAGGAGACCAAGGTGGGAAAATCACTTGAGGTCGAGAGTTTGAGACCAGTCTGAGAAAGAGTGAGGCCACATCTTTACAAAAAATAAAATAATTAGCCAGGCAGTGGTCGTGTGCACCTGTAGTTCCTACTACTCAGGAGGCTGAGGAAGGAGGATCACTTAAGCCCAGAAGTTCTAGGCTGAAATGAACTATAATGGCACCACTTCACTCCAGTGTGGGTGACAGAGTGAGACTCTGTTAAAAAAAAAAAAAAACTTTTAAAAAGTAAAGGATTTCTTTCTGAAGAATCGTTTGATCGTTTGGGTTGAAGTTGTAAGTTCCATATTGCATAGCCATTGAAATGAATGTTAATAAAGAGAGTTTAATGACATAAAGAAATGCTTATTAGGCCGGGCGCTGTGGCTCACGCCTGTAATCCTAGCTCTTGGGAGGCCGAGGCGGGCGGATTGCTCAAGGTCAGGAGTTCAAAACCAGCCTGAGCAAGAGCGAGACCCCGTCTCTACTATAAATAGAAAGAAATTAATTGGCCAACTGATATATATATAAAAAATTAGCCGGGCATGGTGGCGCATGCCTGTAGTCCCAGCTACTCGGGAGGCTGAGGCAGGAGGATCGCTTGAGCCCAGGAGTTTGAGGTTGCTGTGAGCTAGGCTGACGCCACGGCACTCACTCTAGCCTGGACAACAAAGTGAGACTCTGTCTCAAAAAAAAAAAAAAAAAAAAAAAGAAATGCTTATTATATTTATTTTTTTCTTCACTCAAACAGATGCTGACAGATTTATTAATTTTTAAATTTTTAATGCTTATAATATAGTAAGGGAATAAAATAAAACACAAAACTATTTATAAATGTCATCAACTATATAAAACATCATAGAATATGGATGGAAGGAAATATGCGAAAAAGTTATATCTGCCTTTGTTGGGAGAAATTTGGACAATTTTAATGCTTTTTCATATTTTTCTGTGATTTATAAATTTTCTATAAGGAACATCACACATTTTTAAAACTATTACTTTATTTACTTTAGAATTTTTGTATTCTGAATAGTACTTGATTAATAATGTATAGAAAAGTTCTATTTCCCTCTCCTTAAAGCTAATAGAACAAGGCATAAAAATCAAGGTTAGTTAGGAATCCAACCAAAGTCGGACTTACATTCAATGTTCCATTCACAATGGACCTTCACTTGAAAAATTAGAATCACATAGACCTAAGCTCAAATGCTGGTTCCATTGTTTATTAGCTATGTGACAACAGAAAATTGACATCCCTGAGCTTTGATTCCTGCATTTGTAAAATTAAATACTTCGTATTCTTTTCGTTATAAAATTTAAATCTAACAAAGTGTTTATACATGATAGATGCCTAATATTAGCTATTGTTGTACTTGCTGTTATATGTGCTACCTCTACCTCTCATTATACTTTCAATATATATGTAATAAAAAAACTAGCAACCGTAAAGGTATATTATCAGAAAGTTCCATAAGAATTTAGAATATCTTGACTGGGCGTGGTGGCTCATGCCTGTAATCTTAGCACTCTGGGAGGCCAAGGCAGGTGGATTGCTCAAGGTCAGGAGTTCAAAACCAGCCAGAGCAAGAGTGAGACCCCCCTCTGTACTAAAAAAATAGAAAGAAATTAATTGGCCAACTAAAAATATATATAGAAAAAATTAGCCAGGTATGGTGGCGCATGCCTGTAGTCCCAGCTACTCAGGAGGCTGAGGCAGCAGTTTAGAATATCTTAATGGAATTTGGTAAAAATCCAATACTCATTTTCTTCTTCTTCCTAATTAACAAAAACCTGATTTGAATTGGGTAGTATGTGCCTAGCTTTAAAAAAAAAAAAACAAAAGTCACGTTTCACAGCCACCGCTGCAGGGAAGGCAGCCGATGAAAGGCATGCAGTCACCGAGTGGGGCTTCCGGGAAAGCTCTTCAAAGGGGCCTCAACCAGCCTATACGATATGCCCCTTGCCTACTCCCTTTCTCCTACCTGGAACTTGGAACTTGAGCATAACGGTTGAGCTGCAGGTGCCATCTTGTCATCACAAGGTGACAAGCAGAAAAGTTGAAGGAGCTTAGTACTCTTAAAACTGCGCCCCGGGCTGCTGCTACTGGTCCGCGGCCCGTTAGGGACCGGGCCGCCCACAGACAGACAACCCGCCATCCGTGCAAAAGCTGCCTTCCATGACACCGGTCCCTGGTGCCACACATGTTGGGGACCGCGACTGTAAAAGATGGTGTGGAGCTGCCAGTTACAGCTCTGGACTGCCTGAATTCAGACTTACTGAGAGAGGGAAAAATAAAAGCCTGTCTTATTTAAGGTCCCGTTATTTGGGCTGCCTGTGGTGTGCACAGTCGCTCCTAACCTGCTGCGGGGACGCGCGACCCCAGAAGCCAGCGCAGACCTACCTTTGCGGAACAGGAACGGGCCGAGCGCGCCGTGGGTTTCCTGCGATGCCGCCCGCATTGCTGGGAAGGTGCTCTTGGCCGAGATAGTGTGAATCTGTTCCTCAGTTACAGAGAATGCCAAGAACTCAGCAATTTGTTTTATTTCATCAGCGAGATTCTGAAAACAAAATTTTGCAGGATAAATTTCTTTCTGTGGGAATTGTGCCCTGAGCAAAAACAGGCTTTTTAGTCAAAGTGGAATTAATTATTAAGCCTAACTCCCTAGTTCATCTGCTTATCTCTGTCTTTAAACTTAGGGTACTTTGATATTTCTATGTAAATATTTGAGATAATAGCTATGTATAAGATACATAGCTATGTATAAGATACATAGGGGGGCAGGTATATACATGCATAATGAGTGAGACGTGCACCATCTGGGGGATGGTCATGATGGAGACTCAGACTTGTGGGGGGAGGGGGGGAAATGGGCATTTATTGAAACCTTAAAATCTGTACCCCCATAATATGCCGAAATAAAAAAAAGATATTTTGTATCTATTATACTTTGTAGTTTCAATGTATGACTCTTGTTGAACTGCCAGACAATACTTTTTAGGATATAAACAATAAAGTAGCATTAACTAGTAGGTTAGAATTGTATCTAGGATGATATTCATTGTATTAAAAAGTATCAGACTTGCCGGGCCTGGTGGCTGACCCCTGTAATCCCAGCATTTTGGTAGGCTGAGGTGGGAGGGTCACTTGAGCCCAGGAGTTTGAGGTTGCGGTGAGCTATCAATGTGCCAGCCTGGGCAACCCAGAGAGAGAGAGAGAAAGAAAAGAAAGAAAGAAAAGAAGAAAAGAAAGAAAGAAAGAAAGAAAGAAAGAAAGAAAGAAAGAAAGAAAGAAAGAAAGAAAGAAAGAAAGGAGGGACGGGGGGAGGGAAGAAGAGAAGGAGAGGGAGGGAAGGAAGGAAGGAAGGAAGGAAGGAAGGAAGGAAGGAAGGAAAGAAAGAAGGAAAGAAAGAAATTTTGTTTTTATTAAAATTTAAAAGTAAAAGGTATCAGTCTAGACCGGCTGGGGAAATTAATGTATTTGTACGTGCTCATTCAAATTTTCTTTTCTTCTGAATTCTATTTGTAGCTAATGTTTAATTCCACCAAAAAAGTCTAACTTTTAGAATCATAAAAACTTGAAGGAATCTTGAAATTTAGCTTATCTAACTACCCTTGTAAATCATGAACCACTCAACACTATGCCTTACCAATAAAAATTCATAAATCATCTAGAACAGTTTGTTAAACTATTCTACAAAACACTAGTTAGTATCCCCAAGATGGTTATAGACATTTCATGGGAAAAAAAGAGGGGAAGGGTTGAGGTCAAATAAGCTTAGAATCCTTTGGGTTAAACAAAAGTGAGAATTTTTTTTATTATATGACCTCTCAAAGTCTTTTTTTTTTTTTTTTTTTGAGACAGAGTCTCGCTTTGTTGCCCAGGTTAGAGTGAGTGCTGTGGCGTCAGCCTAGCTCACAGCAACCTCAAACTCTTGGGCTCAGGCAATCCTCCTGCCTCAGCCTCCCGAGTAGCTGGGACTATAGGCATGCGCCACCATGCCCGGCTAATTTTTTCTATATATATTAGTTGGCTAATTAATTTCTTTCTATTTTTATGTAGTAGAGAAGGGGTATCGCTCTTGCTCAGGCTGGTTTTGAACTCCCAACCTTGAGCAATCCGCCTGCCTCGGCCTCCCAGAGTGCTAGGATAACAGGCATGAGCCACTGTGTCAGCCCAAAGTCTTTAACAAACCAATGCACAATGTGAATTGCCAAACAGCAGGCTGTATAATACAGCAGTTCATAAATCTATTTGAATAAGCAACCTCCTCTCCAACCCCCAGAAAGAATTATTAACATCTAGGGTGACACTGGTATTCCATGGAGCACAAGTTTCAGAAACATTATTCTAAACTGGAGGGAGAAAAGACCAAATTAGCATGTATCCTATAAACAAAAAGGGTAGATTAAATTCTACTTTCTTTTCATAAGAATATCATGGCAGATTGGTATTAAAGACTTGATTAAGGCCAGGCGCGGTGGCTCACGCCTATCATCCTAACACTCTGGGAGGCCGAGGCAGGCAGATTGCTCAAGGTCAGGAGTTCGAAACCAGCCTGAGCAAGACCCCGTCTCTACTAAAATAGAAAGAAATTAATTGACCAATTAAAAATATATATACAGGCCGGGCGCGGTGGCTCACGCCTGTAATCCTAGCACTCTGGGAGGCCGAGGCGGGCGGATTGCTCGAGGTCAGGAGTTCGAAACCAGCCTGAGCAAGAGTGAGACCCCGTCTCTACTATAAATAGAAAGAAATTAATTGGCCAACTAATATATATAAAAAATTAGCCGGGCATGGTGGCGCATGCCTGTAGTCCCAGCTACTCGGGAGTCTGAGGCAGTAGGATCACTTAAGTCCAGGAGATTGAGGTTGCTGTGAGCTAGGCTGATGCCATGGGACTCACTCTAGCCTAGGCAACAAAGTGAGACTCCATCTCAAAGAAAAAAAAAAGACTTGATTAAGTTAAAGAGCATTTGACACACTGTCTTCTCTTTAACTTACTTTCTTCACTGTGGTTCCAGGACTCTGGTTTCCCCCCCTACCTCACTAACCACTCTTCTCAGTCTCCTTGGCTGACTCCTCCTCTTTTTCCCAAAGTCTTTACAAAGGAGAGCTCCAGGGCTCAGGTCTTGGTCTCCTTCTCTTCTCTTATGAACCTAGATTACATATACACGGATTGCATACCATGGCTTTAAAGGCCATCTATATGTCAATGATTCCCAAATTTTATCTACAGACCAGAACTCTCTCTGCATTCAAGACTTTTATACCCAGCTGCCTACTTGGCCTCTCCATTAGGATGAATCATAAACATCTCAAACTTAGTGTCCAAAACCATACCCCTGATCTCCCCGATAATCCTGCTACACCAGTTGCCATCTCCTATTCAATTAATGGCAATTCAGTCCCCTCACTTGGTCAGGCCAATGATATTGGAGTCTTATTTGACTTCTCTCTTTCTCTCACCACCCTCCTCTCCATCCAGTCCAGCAGCAAACCCTGTTGGCTCTTCCTTCGCCACAGATCCAGAATTCAACCACTTCTCATCACCTATCCTGTCTCTTTTTGGTCTGAGCCACTATCTCCCCTTGCCTGGACCACGGCAGTGGTCTCCTCACAGGTCTCCCTGCATTCTGCTTGCCGCAGCTCATTCTCACACACCAGCCAGAATAATCCTGTTAGAAACACATCAGCTCTGATCAGCCCTCTGCTCAAATCCTTCAGTGAAAGCCACAGTGAAAGCCCACAGTGAAAGCCAGAGTCATTGCAGTGGCCTGTCACACCATTCCTCTTACCCTACCCTGCCCACTCCCACCTGTCCTCACTGGCTGTTCCCTCCTGGCTCATCCCTGCAGGCCCAAGCACATCAGCCTCCCTGCGGTCCCCCAATCACACCAGGACCAACCTGCCCTGGGAGCTTTGCTCCAGTTGATTCTGTCTGCCTGGGATGCTTTTCCCCCAGTACCTACTTGGCTCACTTCCTCACCTCCTTCAGATAGCTGCTCAATCACATCCGTTCAAGGAGGTCTCCCTAAACCACCCTATTTTACTAATCCCGCACCCCCTGGCATTTCCAATTTTCCTTAACCAGCTATGCTCTTTCTTTTTCTCATATACTACATACATTTTAAAATGTATTGTATTTATTATTTATCATTCTGTCTCCCCTGCAACCTTCTCCAGGGCAGGGAACATTATCTGGTCTGTTCATTGATGTCTCACCAGGCCCCCAAACAATGCTGACTGATCACTCCCTAGATGTTTGTTAAGTGACTAAACATTTTTTAAAAATAATATTATTAAAAATAGATTCAAAACCAAATGTGTGTTCCATTAAATCAATGAGAACTACCTATTGTTTTTTCTTTTTCTTTTCTTTTCTTTTTTTTTTTTTTTTTGAGAGAGGGTCTTGCTCTGTTGCCCTGGGCTAAACTGCAGCAGCCAGTGTCATCACAGTTCACTGCAACTTTGATGTTCCTTTGACTACTAGTCCTTTGGACTAGTCATCATAAAGGGAAAATAAGGCATTACTGTTATCAATAGTAATGAGTTCCTAAGCATTATTTTTATTTGTGTTAAACAAACTACCTAAGGATTTATGTATGTTTTTTTTTCTAGTACTATCCCACATATCTGGATTTTTTTCTTTGAGACTGGGTTTTGTTCTATTGCCCAGGCTAAAGTGCAGTGGTGTCATCATATCTCACTGTAACCTAAACTCCTGGGCTCAAGCTATGTTCCTGTCTCAGCCTCTGCAGTAGCTGGGATTACAGGTGCCCGCCACAACCCTTGACTGATTTTTAAAATATTTTTGGTAGAGAGGGGTCTTGATATTGACCAGGCTGGTCTTGAACTTCTGGCCTAAAGCAATCCTTCTGCTGCCTTGGCCTCTCAAAGTGCTAAGATTATAGGCCTAAGTCACTATGCCCTGCCTTGGAATATTTTTCTTTACTGAATATCATATATGTTCATACAATCAGACATTATAAGTAAGTGCTCTATGTTGTAGTTTATAATAACTCTTTTCTAGAATATCAACAATCATCGTCTCACCTCTTTCAGGTCTTCATATAATATGAACTTAACATTTTCATCATCAAGATGTTTGTTCCAATTAATTGCAAAATCAAAATAGCTTCCCCAAGAAACTAAAAACACAGGGGGGAAAAACTTCTTAAGGAATTTTCAATAACTGAAGTTAAAATAATAGATGATTAATTTTCTCTAAAATATAAACCATACATATATGTATATGCTCAACAAGACATTCATATAATTTATTACAAATTTCTGACCCCAAAGAGCTAGTATAAACCAGTCCAATGTCTTATTTCTATCCATTTTGTTATCTTCTTGAACATTTTTCATAAGTAAACAAGTTGTAAAAATGATTTGCTAAAAACTATAAGACAGTCATAAATGTTAAGGTAAATAAAATAATTCAGAAATAGTAAATGGTACGTGAAAACTGACTGAGATAATGCCAGAAAAACCAACATTGCCCAATATAAATGTAATGCAAGCCATATATGGAATTTAAAAAAGTGAAAAGAAACAGGTGAAATTAACTTTAATGTTTTACTTTATTTAACCCAAAACATCCAAAAATATCATTTCAACATCAACAAAAAATTATCAATGAAACATTATACATTATATTTTATATTCTAAGTCTTCAAAAGCCAGTAGGTATTTTAAATATACAGAGAATTTCAGTTGGCTGCTAAATGCTTATTGAAAATACTTGATGTGTATTTAGGTTTCATAAAACTTACAGTTGAAAAAAGTATATCCACACACCCAACTTATTATAAGCTTACTTAAAAGTTTTCCAATAACTGAAATGAGTATCCATCTTTAAATTTAAATTAACTAAAATTTAAAAAAACTAAAAATTCAGTTGCACTAGTCACATTTCAAGACTCAGTTGCCACATGTGGCTAGTGGCTACCACATTGGACACTGCAGATCTAGACATTGATTAGCTTTGCTGTTTACTAGCTGTGTGACTTTGAGCAACTCCCTAAAACCCTCTGTACCTTAGTTTTCCTCATCTATAAAATGGTTTTAAATGAATTAACACATGTCAAAGGCTTAAAACACTGCCTGATTTTAGGTGCTCTTACCATAAAAAAGAAGTAACTGTGTGACATGATGGACATCTTAATTTGCTCAATTATATTAATCATTTCACTATGTATATGGCAAGGCATCATGTTGTACACCTTTAAATATATACAATAAAAAATAAATAAATTGTTTAACAAAGTAGTCCTCTGAGAGTGAACTGACTACAGCTTCTCCTGTAGGGTGATCTGGCATAATTCTTCCCTTCACTGTACCATAAAGACTCAAAGAGCCACTAATAAAAGGAAGTATTTATTGGTCTCTAGCCACAATACCCATGGAAGTAGAGTCACTGCCACTTACAAGCAATGGGATCATTGACAAGTGATTTAACTCTTTTGATTAGTTTCCTCATCTGTACAATGGGGCTAATACTGGCTGACTCATAGTTTGTTATGAGTCTTAAGTGAAATCAGGCATATACAACACCTGCTTTAGTCCCTGGGACATTAGGACACATTTATAAAATTGTAGTTATCAATAACCAGAGATAAAATATCAACATGATCTAAAAAAAACTTATTTCCTTTCTGGCAAGCAAATGTCTTAGGTGTAGTTGTTCAGTGTCATGGTTTTTTATCTTTCTTGGTGTTTATCATTATGTTATACCATGACTTACAGGAAATCAACTACACATGCTTTTCTACATGACTCTTTGTTAAAGGTGCCTTTGTCCCATGTCTATTCTATGGCCACTCAATACTCATAGTCAGCATATGAATTGTCCAAATTATTCTTAAAAACAGTAATGCGGGCTGGGCACGGTGGCTCACGCCTGTAATCCTAGCACTCTGGGAGGCTGAGGTGGGCGGATTGCCCAAGGTTGGGAGTTCGAAAGCAGCCTGAGCAAGAGCAAGACCCCGTCTCTACCATAAATAGAAAGAAATTAACTGGCCAACTAAAAACATGTAGAAAACATTAGCCGGGCCATGGTGGCACATGCCTGTAGTCCCAGCTACTTGGGAGGCTGAGGCAGCAGGATTGCTTGAGCCCAGGAGTTTGAGGTTGCTGTGAGCTAGGCTGACGCCATGGCACTCACTCTAGCCTGGGCAACAAAGCGAGACTCTGTCTCAAAAAAACAAACAAACAAACAAACAGTAATGTGTTTTAATTGTTTGCTGCACAGAACTAGTGATGCTACAAAACTTCACTTAAATGCAACTTTTTGGCCCATAGGTCTGCTTAAATCTTACTTCTTTCTTTACCTTAAAACAATTTGAATTTTCATATTTATGTGGTCAAGTGTTGAAGTAACAAGGATTGTTTTACCAACAGCCATACCTTGTCCTTTCATGAACTGTCTGAAGAATTCATCCCAAGAGCTGTAGCTTGGAATATCAGGGACATTGTTGTGGAAATGGAAAAAAGACACTGCCGTATCTTTAGGGTTTCGAAATATCACCAATATCTAGGGAGCAAAAAATAAGTTAATTTATTTAGGTCTATATTTTGAACTTTGGGAAAGGTTCAAAAGTGAACAATATCATTGTGTCTACTTGTGTATTACAAAATCGTGTTACTACATAAAGAATACAGTAAGAAAATGAGGAGCAGGAGGTGGCTGATGGGGAAGTATGGGGAGAGGGGAGAAAAAGGGGAGAAAGAAGGAAGAAAGAGAAGATTGATGTCGTAGCAGAGGACTTTTGCTAATGAGTTTAGACAATTAAAAGGCATGAATAGAAGATGTAAAAAAGAAAAAAGAGCAAGCTCACTAGAATAGTCACAAGAGTCTGGTCCAAAACTTAAACACCTAAATAAAATAAAAATTGTAAAATAATGCCAAGAACAACAAAAATAATGTTTCAAATTGGTGGGAGATCAAAGAACCTGAGATATGATGCATATGGAACCTCAGAGTTCCTGTTTTGTGTTTTCTCTGATGTGGAAAGTGCTCCTTTGGATGAAAAGTGTGAATTCAACATTGTAAAGAGCAAACTGAAACCTAAAAGAGCCAAGAGACTCCAGGACAGTGCATGGCTGTTCCAAGTGACTTCCTGCATTCTGGCCGGACGCTTTCCATTTCAAGAACTGAGGAACTGGGGGACACATTATTGAGCATGTTCGGGAACCCTGAGGAAGCTGAGATAACACACAAGAGGTCAGACGACCATAGATAGCCGGAAGTCATTTCATTTTCAGAGAAGGAAAAGATGTGGACTTTGCAAAGTACAGATTCTGACCTCCATTTGGGAGAGATTTCTGGAACTGGCAAAAAACAAGATTTAGGGGCACACAAAACAGGAACCGAGGAAGTGATGACCAGCAGGGGGCAACATGAGTCCTCTAAGAGCAAGTGGCTGCTAACACCTGGATTCTCTGGACAGGGTATTTAGATTAGTAGATGGAGTAGCTTATGATTTCTTCTGCAAAATAATGGAAGAATGGAAGCCAGAAGTAGGAGCAATTAGGCATATAAAACTGGATACTCATATGCAAAGGAGACTAAATAATCAATTAAAAACCTGCCTGGAGGTGTTTTTTTTTTTTTTTTTGAGACAGAGTCTCGCTTTGTTGCCTAGGCTAGAATGAGTGCCCTGGCGTCAGCCTAGCTCACAGCAACCTCAAACTCCTGGGCTCAAGCAATCCTCCTGCCTCAGCCTCCCAAGTGGCTGGGACTACAGGCATGGGCCACCATGCCCGGCTAATTTTTTTTCTATATATATTATTTGGCCAATTAATTTCTTTCTATTTATAGTAGAGACGGGGTCTCGCTCTTGCTCAGGCTGGTTTCGAATTCCTGACCTCAAGCAATCCACCCACCTCGGCCTCCCAGAGAGCTAGGATTACAGGCGTGAGCCAGCACATGCCCGGCTAACCTGGAGGTTTTTAATAAGCCTTTCCACTGTCCTGGGCCACAGTTAACACATGAATGATTGATTTAGGGGGAGGTATTTAACAGGCCAGATGCAGTGAATCTTTGGCTATTATAACAATTTATAATTTCACAAAGACTTTTTTTTCTTTTTCTTTTTTTTTTTTGAGACAGAGTCTCGCTTTGTTGCCCAGGCTAGAGTGAGTGCCATGGCGTCAGCCTAGCTCACAGCAACCTCAAACTCCTGGGCTCAAGTGATCCTCCTGCCTCAGCCTCCCAAGTAGCTGGGACTATAGGCATGTAGTCCCTGACCTCGAGCAATCCTCCCGCCTCGGCCTCCCAGAGTGCTAGGATTACAGGCGTGAGCCACCGCATCTGGCCTGGACAAAGACATAAATTTAAATCGTAGGGGCCAGTTGGCTGGAGCGTGAGCAAATCTCCAGCATCAACTCTTACTCCTCTGTTGCTCTTTTCTTGCCTTTATTCTTGTGAAAGTGAAACTCTGTTCAAAAGCCTGCATGCCCCCAAATCCAAATGTTTTATAAATTACTTCGGCTCTGTTTATTACAGAAACATTAAGGAGGGAAAAAAAGGAGTCACCTGGATTTGTGATTATGTTAACTGCATTAAACAGGGGAAATTATGTGTTAAAGTGGTATTTCCAATTTTGTAGATTCTCAGAATAAGGAAAAACTGTTTAACAGAGCTGTTCAAACCTGGCTCAGGGGATAGAGGAGTTTCTGTCTATCACGGTCCAGACAGCCACTTAGTGGAATTCCAATACCCAGTGGGAATTAGCACAGACAACCTTTAAGGCATTTTCCAATTCTAAGCTCCTCAGATTCTGGTACCTGGCCACAAAGACTGCTCATTGTAAGTCTCCACTTAATGTTGTCCTTCCCACTCTTCCTCCTCCTTCCTTTCCTCTCCTACCTCTGGCCAGTATAGTTATCTTAACTGTTTTCCTCCTTTGCCTTTCTTTGCCATTACTTCACTGTTCTCTCATTCCTCTTTGTGGCATTCAAGAGTTTAAATCTTGATTTTAATTAATTCTAATCCTTTCCTTCTGAGACCAAAAAAAAAAGCACCAAGAAATAAATGGAGGGGAGACCAGGGGACAGGAAACAAAAGGGGTTGGGTAAAAACTAGTGATTACAAAAAATATATCAATACCGGTTAATGAAACAAGGTTTTTAAACAAATGGGGAAAGTAGCCAGAGTGCCAGAGTGCCTATAGTTGTGTATGCATGACATGAAGTTTATATGTGAAATCCAGGAATAAAGTGGTTTTAGACCTCAGGTAAATAGTGTTCACCAGAAAGAACCAAAGGAACAATTTTTGCTCATTTTACTAGGTTGGATTCTTTTGTTAAACGCTCTAAATATTCTAGTGGGATTCTGAAATTTATGCACTATAAAACAGATTATATGTTTTATATATTTATATAGTATATGTTTTATTCTATGCCTATGTTTTACATCCTAAAATGCATTTGACTTGAATGCCACTGTAGCACATGTATCTGAAGAAACATAAAAAGAGAAATACTAAATCTCATGCTTCATTTATTAAAATCCTAGGATGAGGAGCAAACTCATTATGTACCTCAAAGGGCCAATATCTATACAAATTTCAAATTGAAATACGAGTAGGAAGGGACACTCACCTTGGCTTTATTCTTGAAGATGGACTCAGGTAACTTGTCATAATGGAGATGAGTTGCCAAAATCCTTGGCGATGGAAACTGTTTCATTCTCTTAAAAATATACACAAAAAGGTTAAAGTGTGTGTGTGTGTGTGTGTGTGTGTGTGTGTGTGTAGTGAATCAATCCTAAGTCTGGTATCTGAATATAGTTTCAAGCGTTATCACTATGTTTTCTCCAATTTTTCTTTATTTTCTTATTTTGCAAAGGATGAGGAATGAGGAAACATAAATAAACAAATAATTAAAATCTTCTTGAATTTCCTTCTTGCATCCTGCTTACCATTTCCCAATCTTTTTGTTGTTAAAAAAAAAAAAATTACCAGCCGGGCATGGTGGCTCACGCTTGTAATCCTAGCACTCTGGGAGGCCGAGATGGGCGGATTGCTCAAGGTCAGGAATTCGAAACCAGCCTGAGCAAGAGCAAGACCCCGTCTCTACTATAAATAGAAAGAAATTAATTGGCCAACTAATATATATAGAAAAAATTAGCCGGGCATGGTGGCACATGCCTGTAGTCCCAGCCACTCGGGAGGCTGAGGCAGGAGGATTGCTTGAGCCCAGGAGTTTGAGGTTGCTGTGAGCCAGGCTGATGCCAAGGCACTAGCCCAGGCAACAAAGTGAGACTCTGTCCAAAAAAAAAAATTTACCTTTACCTACAATCATATCAAGACAATTTTGTTCAAGACAGCTCATAATCTGCAATCTCCTCTTAATTTGGGTTTCTTCTATATTCAGGGTCTTCAACAGAAATATTCAAGTCCCAATTCCTACAAATCCAATTTTTAAATCTAGATTTTTTTTGTTTAACCAACTAAAACTCCATGCAATCAAATATCCAAACAGAACCTGAAAGTCCACAGAGTCTCTTAAATATCTGAGAAATATTTCATGAGAGAAATTCTTGCTAGTATGAGGACTATAAGGTGACTGCTTCTTTTTCTGTAATCTATTTCTTTTTTCTTTTCTTTTTTTTTTTTTTGACAGAGTCTCACTCTGTTGCCCTGGCTAGAGTGCCATGGTGTCAGCCTAGCTCACAGCAACCTCAAACTCCTGGACTCACGCAATCCTTCTGCCTCAGTCTTCCAAATAGCTGAGACTACAGGCATGTGCCACCATGCCTGCCTAATTTTTTCTATATATATTTTTAGTTGTCCAGCTAATTTCTTTCTACTTTTAGTAGAGATGGGGTCTTGTTCTTGCTCAGGTTGGTCTCAAACTCCTGAGCTCAAGTGATCCTCCTACCTTGGCCTCCCAGAGTACTAGGATTACAACGGTGAGCCACCATGCCTGGCCAATTCTGTAATCTATTTCTACAAATAATTTTGAAAATGAAGTTATCATTTCAATTTGCCAAGGTTAAGGGTTTTCTTTTTATTTATTTATTTATTTATTTATTTATTTTTTTAGAGACGGGGTCTCGCTATGTTGCCCAGGCTGGAGTGCAGTGGCTATTCACAGGCGCGATCCCACTACTGATCAGCACGGGAGTTTTGACCTGCTCCGTTTCCGACCTGGGCCGGTTCACCCCTCCTTAGGCAACCTGGTGGTCCCCCGCTCCCGGGAGGTCACCATATTGATGCCGAACTTAGTGCGGACACCCGATCGGCATAGCGCACTACAGCCCAGAACTCCTGGGCTCAAGCGATCCTCCCATCTCAGCCTCCCGAGTAGCTGGGACTACAGGCGCGCGCCACCGCGTCCGGCCAAGGTTAAGGGTTTTAACTTAAAAATCAGACCTTAATGACTTCAGGTCTTCAGTTCCACAATTTTAGAGGTCACTCACTGCTTGGTCACAGCTACAATATACCTACTTATTGCAAGTGATATAATGATATTCAGACATTTAGAGCCAATTGCTCTGTGAAAACTTGGTGGGGATCCCAACTCATGGAAAAGGGCAAAAAAACCCGAAATTTTAAAGATAAAAAAATTAAAACAAGGATATGGGCCCAAGTGGTGACTAGTAGTGATAATATCTAATATACATCAAATTGTACTGTTAGCATTTAAAGTACTTTACATTCATTCACAGCAATCCTCTCAGGTAGATATTGTAACCCCCATTTTAAAGATTAAGAACAGGCTTTGCAGTATTAAGTGCTTAGTGCAAAATTGCACAGGTGGTAATTTTCAGATTAAGTAATAAAGTGCTGTTTCTATTAAACTGGATGGCTAAAAACCACATACAGACACATGAGAAAGGATAAAGTTACTAAAAGGATTAGAAAAATATCCAAGGGGAAAATGGAAGCTAACTGTAACAAAATAAGATAAATATACAATGTTCATGAAAACATAGCCAAACTGTAAGCAATGTAAAGACTAGATATAGATACATCTTGCTTAAAGAAAGATATGTATCCTAGAAAAGATTTTTGTATGGTGAATAACTTTTAAGTAGAGCTCATCTCATTGATTTCCATTTAAAAATAAAAAGCACATTGCATAAGCAAGTTATCTTTGACTGAGTGCGGTGGCTCATGCCTATAGTCCCAGCTACTTGGGAGGCTGAGGCAAGAGGATCATTTGAGCCTGTAAGTTTGAGGTTGCAGTGAGCTGTGATGAGGCACTGCACTCTAGAGCCAGCAATACAGCGAGGCCCTGTCTCAAAAAAAAAAAAAAAATCCTATAAATAATGTAAAACCTTACAAGTTAATATACCAAACCCTATTCCAATCATAAGGACACATGTTTATATCAGGTGACCAGGAACAACACAGGCAAATTCAATAAGAAAGATTATATTGGTAAGGTGAGCTGTATACAAGTTTATTATATTGGTACCCATGACCCACAATGTAACAAGTTCTTAAGAGAGAAGTTGGAAAGCTGGACAAATTTCTAAAGCCTTAGAAGAGCTGGCGTCATTTCTGTAGGTAATGTTGAGCACTCTTGTTAGGAAAACGTTATGCAAAGGCCTGGATAGGAGAGGTCAATGGGGCTTTTCATTAGTTCCTCCATTTTAACCTAGTTCTTAAAGCCCCTGTCCACCTATGCTGCCTGCGTTCCTGGGCCTGTCCTGACCGAGCCACCATCAGGTGTGCTTTCCTACAGGTAACCCTCGCAGGTCTGAGACCGGAGGCCCTGATGTGGCTGCTAGCCTGTCTGATCCCTCCTGGGGTTCCTTTGCTGCCACCCAGATCCAGGATTCAGCACCTACCTCCCCATCCCTCACCCCCCAAGTCCCCGAGCACTTACTTCATTTACAATGTATTTTTCTGCTACTGTGGCCGAATCCTTAGAAAGGCGCTTCCTTCCACCTGGTTTCCAAGTTTGTATTTGTCATCATGCTGAGTGTCTCAGGCACTTTCCAGAAGCTGTTCTCTAAGTCTCAATCCAGTAGCTTTATTCTTAGTAACTGGGTTTTGTCTGCCCATCAGGAGTCTTAGTGGCAAACACTTCTGAGAGTTTTACTGAGACTGTGGTTCCCCCTGAATACAGCCTTCCCTTCCCAACTGCATTCTGGGGTATTTAGGGGTGGGGAGGGGGTCCTCCTTGCCCCTGTTCTGTCCACGCACTGAAGTCCCGAGGCAGATCCTTCGCCCACTCCTTTCTTGCCTTCCCTGGGCAGGGGGCAGAGCATCCCGTCTCACACTCAAGCTGCAGTTAGTTACTTCGGGAAGGTGAGTAATGACAGGTAGGGTGACCTGTTATTACCTGCACACACGTCAGTGACTTACTCTCTTAGCTGCTGCTTGATCCTTTCCCATCCCTCACACACACCCCAGAGTCATAATTGAGACAGGGAAATCAAAAGTAATGTCTTACTAGAAAAAGACTGGGGATTCCTACTAGCATCCTGCCCATATCCGTGTCTTCAGAGACTTCAGGCTTTCTGGTTTCAGTCTATTTCCTGAGGCTTCTCGACTTACCTTTCCCTCTACTTAAAAAAAAAAAAGTCTGGCTATACAGTGTAGTCATTAAGAGTTCAAATAATAAAGCTTGGGTTTAAATCTTAGCTTTATCACTTACTCACCCCTTGACCCTGGGCAAGTCTCCACAGTTTTATTTTTTGTAAAATGGTGATAAAGTCATCTTGCCATAAAAGAATATCTGCAAAGTGCTAAGGACATGGTAAACACATAATACATTGCTGTAAGGTTAAAGGCTGTTAGTACTAACCTGATATTTTCCTGAGTCCCCACATTCAAGAACTGGGAATTCCGGATATTCATACTTTTTTTTAGAAACAGCAAATATTAATTCACAGACGATGTGGAGAATCCAATTTGAACCTATAAGAAAAATCAAAGAATAAAAGCTCATTAAGGAGTCTTGATATAACAGAGATGTTACTTTAGCATATACATGATCAAAATTAAAATCCACAACCATTTTCTGATGTGTACATTTCATTTTCTGTGTTTGAAATAACCTGGGCTATGGAAAGAAAATTTGGTGGAAAATAGCATTTACTTATATGAGTATAAAATTCAACTTATCTTATTTGTCAGATGTCTTCTTTAACAAGACACCATGCTTCTTTTTGAATCTAGAATATGTTCCTTCTAGAACAATGTAATACTATAGAAATGGTTGTTTATTATAGCATATATTATATTACATCAAATTAATAAGTATTTTCTAGAGGAGTGTATAATTTTGATTTTATGAAAACTCAGCAACAGTTAAAAAGAAAAAATATTAAATGCGGTTGGCTTTAATAAACAATAGTGAAAAGAATCAAAAGAGGGTGACATGAAGTAAGATGAGTTAGATTCTTCATGTCTGGTTCTCCCTTGATGAAAGACAACTGTAAAAATGACTTGAGAAACTGGAGGATTGATGTTTGAGCCAAAAAAAAATCTATTACATGGAAATCATCGTATAAATTATAAGAGAGGCCATGATTTGACGTCAGTCAAAATTAAGATAAAAATCTCTGCTACAGTCAGTGCTCGATGCCAACGGGACAGTCCCGCGTTCATGCTCCTCCCTTCCAGCCCCACCATCTGTCCCCTTCCACTATCCATCCTCCATCCTGGCCTTTCACAAAGATGACTTCCCTCAGACACTGGGGTTTTAAAATCCAGCAGTTCTGGATTTTACAACCTAGGTGCTTGACCATCCATGGTGGCCACCCTCCTGACTGCTGTCCAGACAGCTTCGGGCAGAGACGAACTGCCTTCAACCCACCCTTGTCTCACACCCCTCCCCAGCCTACCCACTATGAGAAAGGCACTTGTGGGAAATGATTTGTTATTTACCACACTTTGGATAAGATGCGAGCACAATGTCATCGTGTCTGGCTTCAAAGGCGTCCAGGGCTTGGAAGGTTTCGGAGGTGCACATGGTGACTGGGTAAGGAATCCCCTCATAGGTGAAAAATAAGTGAGAGAGTGCAGTTTCTTTGGATTTTTCTAAAGCTTCATCAATGAACTCAATAAATTTGGACTCATCAGCCATGGCGGCTCCCTGCTACTGAACCGGCTCCCCGGGTGTCCAGAGGCAGCGATGGCTTTTAAAGGAGTTTTTCAGGGGGCGGAATAAAGGGCTGCTTCCATTCACATGAAAAAGAAATCATTTAATTCCCATCCACCCCTCCCCCCTCCTTTTGCATATCCTCCTCTGACAAAAGGTAAACCACAGGTGCAAAACAGGCTGAGGATCTGGGAATCTTACCCCAAGGGTTGATCACATTACCATTTAGGCAACCCACCCAATGAGAGGAGAATGGAATCTCCTAGCAGAAGAAAACAGATATTAAATATCTAACAAAGGGGTAGTTAGTTGAATCAGGCATACAATTTTCTTTTTTTTTTTTGAGACAGAGTCTCACTTTGTTGCCCAGGCTAGAGTGAGTGCCGTGGCGTCAGCCTAGCTCACAGCAACCTCAAACTCCTGGGCTCAAGCAATTCTACTGCCTCAGCCTCCCAAGTAGCTGGGACTACAGGCATGCACCACCACGCCCGGCTAATTTTTTCTATTAGTTGGCCAATGAATTTCTTTCTATTTATAGTAGAGACAGGGTCTCGCTCTTGCTCAGGCTAGTTTCGAATTCCTGACCTGGAGCAATCCGCCCGCCTCACTCAGCCTCCCAGAGTGCTAGGATTCAGGGGTGAGCCACCGCGCCGGGCTGGCATACAATTTTTTTTATCAGCAATTCATAGAATGAAACCTCACTTCTCTCCTGGGCTGACAGTTTTCCACACTCACCCTATGTGGTGAGACAAGGAAGCAATGGGGTTGTGAAGCAGTTGGGTGGGGTGGGAAAGACCCCAAATTTGGGGACAATCCTGGGCACCAGGCTCAGATCTGTCATTTACTGGCTCAATAGATTTAAAAGTCAAAAGACCTGAGTTTGAATCTTGGTTTACTAGTTGTGTTAGTCTGAGCTGATAATGATGTACCTCCCAAGGTTTACGTAAAATGGAGACAGTGATAGCTGCTCTTCTTCACCTACTAAACAATACAATTGTGTCGTTCACGGAAGGGGATGACTTTGCAAAGAGGAACATACAATGTCATGGTTTCTCCAGTCGTCTGAGCTCAGTTCCCTCCTGGTCAAACTCTCTAGAATGAGATGCCCACTCCCTGGGGTAGAGTCTTTCCCAAGTAGCCACTCTGCCTTTTTCCTTTGCGTGAGTTGGCCTATAATTCCCGCCTCCCTTGCAGCTTGGTCTTGGCCCTGTGGTTGGTGGGAAGTGAGCAGAAGTGACATGTGCAACCACTCCGTCACATCCTTAACACAGGGAGTTGACGGCTCTCTAATCTTCCATATTTCCTTTCCTACACCTGGACAGCAGACATGGTGCTGGCAAGCCAGACTTGCTATTTCAGAGGAAAACAGAACTCCAGGAGATGGTAGAGCAAGAAGACAGAGGAAACCTGGCTCAGTGGACAACCTCAGGAAACAGAGTCACCTACCCATGGCCCACACTGTATACCAACTCTCCTTTTGAACAGTATGTGAAAGAGCGCAGTTGTTTATGTAGTTTGAACCACTAAATTGTTAAGAGTCTGTTTGTTACAGCGGTTCAGCCTATGTCTTATCTAGAACATTTTCTGGGCTAAAAGTTACCCTTTGCCCTCTTGTTAAGTCAAATTTCCATAAAATATACTGTACATTTCTTCTCATTTTGTCTCCCATTCTCTTCTCTCCATCATTCTTGTGCTGCTTCCATTTTTCTCTCTAACCCTAAGAACAATTTTTTTTTACTTTATTTACCTTTCTCTAAACCAATGCTTACCAGTTAAGAAGTTAACCCCTAGTCATGCATAGTTACCTAGCTGTATAGTCATTTATGTATCAGTTAAAATAATAGCTAACATTATTGAACACTAGCACATACCATATCCCCTGCCAAACCGCTAAGATTACAGAGAAGATTGGATAAATTTCTTAAAAGCCCTATGAAATGAGTATTACTTTATGATCATTTCACAGTTATGGTAATTGGGGCTTACAGGGTTCTTGAGGTTGCAGAGTCGGCCGTGAAGGAGCTGGGATTGGGAGGCAGGCAGTACAACTCAGTCCAGGCCAAAACCCAGAGTGAGATTTCAGAGGTCACAGATTTGTTTATTTATTTGAGACACAGTCTCACTCTGCTGCCCAGGCTAGAGTGCCATGGCGTCAGCCTAGCTCACAGCAACCTCAATCTCCTGGGCTCAAGCGATCCTCCTGCCTCAGCCTCCCGAGTAGCTGGGACTACAGGCATGCACCACCATGCCCGGCTAATTTTTTCTATATATATTTTAGTTGGCCAATTAATTTCTTTCTACTCTTAGTAGAGATGGGGTCTCACTCTTGCTCAGGCTGGTCTTGAATGCCTGACCTTGAGCGCTCCTCCTGCCTCGGCCTCCCAGAGTGCTAGGATTACAGGAGTGAGCCACCACACCGGCCAGAGGTCACAGGTTTTGTGTTCTTTGGTGCTTCTTTATTTGCTATAAGAAACAAGGCCATGAGACTTTTCACTGGGGAAAAGAAATATTTCCTTCTAAGGAGAGATTTTTTTTTTATGACTATGAGGGAAATAAATTTCCTGGTTTCTAGACATTTTATTTAATAACAGCACTTTGGGACAAACACTATATTCAATGTATACATTGATTATAAGATGCATTCCAGTTTCGGAAATGTAAACTATGAGGAAATTTTATGTCAACAGAAAGTATCTTACTGAGGCAGGTGGTGGATGTGAAAGACTAGCTTTTTTTTTTTTTTTTACATAGTCTTACTCTGCCACCCAGGCTAGAGTGCAGTGGTGTCATCATAGCTCACCGAACTGTGAACTCCTGGGCTTGAGCAATCCTCCTGCCTCAGCCTCCCAATTAGCTGGACTATGGCCATGTGCCATACCCAGCTAATTTTAAATTTTTGTAGAGATGGGGTCTTGCTATGGTGCCCGGGCTGGTCTCAAACTCCTGGCCTCAAGTGATCCTCCCTGCCTCGGCTTCCCAATGAGCTGGTATTACAGGTGTGAGCCACCACATCTGACCAAGATGGCTTTTACTTCCATTTTACAGAGGGGACAAAACTGACCAGAGAGAGTTCTGAGCTAGGAAGAAGTATCGGGATTGGTTATATTTTGAATATTTATTTTAAAAACGTTTGTGAAAGATAAAGTCAGAATATCAAATATCTTAATATTTTATATTTCCATACACACTCCCATTTGAAGCCTTATTAGCTTACATAATGAGAATGACATCCACTGTATTTGGGAAGGTGTATTTAAGAATCTCCTCCCAAAAAGAGAAGAGTAGACTGGACTCCCTGCCAATCGGCTTAGTGGCATTATCCCCACATTATAAAGAGTCTCTGTTTCCCTTGGTAAGGTAGAATTTACAACATTAATCCAAACATGGTGGTTGTTTACCAGCTTCTTGGAAATAAAACATTAAAAAGACATTGGGCTGGTCCTGTTCTGACACTAAATGCCATAATTCCAGGATTTAGAGGCTCTTTGGGATTGGTAATGTGAGCTCTGATTCTTCTCAGTCTCCCAAGCTTGGTCAACCTGCAACCTTACAGTCTGACATACTCAACTCTTAATTGTCTGGCATGCATGGTGGAGGAAACAGCATGAATAATTGCAAAATAACGCTATGGTATGGTACATTTGCACATCCCACCATGAGTGAAGGTGGTCACGCGTATGTGAAGCCCCAGATTCCTGTTCAGCTCCTGCGCCTTACCCTTACCCGTGTTGGGGAGAAATGGCTGCAGCCCTTTAGACTTGCCAGCTGTGGCCTGGCTCATGCCCTGGAGGCAGCTGCAAGGGAGGCTTATTCAAAGTTCCTTCCCTTGGCGTTAAAGAAATCATCATTCTTACCTATTCTTTTAATTTTCTAGACTAGGAACTTATACCTTAAAAGAAAAGAAGGAAAGAAGAAGAAAACAAAGAAAAAAGAAAGAAAGAGAGAGAGAAAACATGAAGGAAGAAAATGTCTAGGGTGATTGAATCAGCTGGATCAGTAAAGCAGGGTCAAATAGCACAGGGCTGCTGTGAGCCTACTGGCCCCAGGATGGTTTGAGAGCAGGTAAGTCAGCTCCTTGTGTGCTATTTTCCTTCCTAAGTAGCAGGGCCCCTCTGAGTGAAGCTGTGCCTTTTTTGTTTTCCTTAGCAAGAGATGTGCAACTTCCCAGTGGAGTTTAGGATTAGAATTTACCTTGAATCTGGTGGAGGGGAAATTAGCAAGGCCTTTTGTTCAGATTCTCTCTGTGACCCTGTGTTCTCAGAGATAAGAATAGTCCTGTCCTCCAGGTACAGGGAAGGCATCTCTCTTTTTTTTTTTTTTTTTTTTTGAGACAGAGTCTCACTCTGTTGCCCAGGCTAGAGTGAGTGCCATGGCGTCTCCCTAGCTCACAGCAACCTCAAACTCCTGAGCTAAGCAATCTGCTGCCTCAGCCTCCCGAGTAGCTGGGACTACAGGCATGTGCCACCATGCCTGGCTAATTTTTTCTATATATATTAGTTGGCCAATTAATTTCTTTCTATTTATAGTAGAGACGGGTCTCGCTCTTGCTCAGCTGTTTTGAACTTCCTGACCTCGAGCAACCGCCGCTCTGCTTCCCCAGAGTGCTAGGATTACAGGCGGAGCTACGGCACCTGGCCAGAAGGCATCTCTTGAATGAGGGTCTTATGTCCTGGTATAGAAGAAGGTCAGAAAAATCCTTCCCATGTTTTCAACCTACGTCAGGGGAGACAGGCAGGGTAGGGGGAGAGGGTAAGAGTGACCTTCCTCCTCTTGCTGTTTTCTCAAATGCCAAGGTGCTATGTTTTGGGGTGGTGTGTCCTGAACCCCATCGCCTCCTAAACTGAGGGTCACGGAGGACCACTTCGTTACAATGCCGGTTACAGTGCCTGACAGCGTGGACATCAGGGGTCCCACACTGTCCTGCTTCAGAAACAGAGCCCATGACTCTACACTGCCCTGTGTCCTGTGGTTTTCTGCAGGGAAGGCTCAGCCATCCCTAAGATCTTGCCCCTGTTGTGCAGTAAGATGCCTTCAGCATCTAGCAGCAATGGCTCATCAGAGACTAATCTCCACTGCCTCATGTCAGGCAGTAAAGAGCCTTACCTTAGCTTTACCTTGAAGTTCCCTGAGAGTGTGACTAGCTGCCTTTCTTTGGGTGAACATGGAAGAATGGACAGCAACTTTTACTTATTTGTAATGTGGAGAGCCTTTCTACCCATGACCACTACAGAAGACTGGGACCAGGAATGCGCTGCCCGAAGGACCCTTGGTAAAGTTCTACTGAGTCCACACCTTTCCTTCCCCAAACCTTGTGGCTAAAGCAGCTTGCATTTGTGAGATGCAAATGTGTTTGTGAAATCTACAGTGGGGTCCAAGATGTGTAAGAAATATTATATTATATGAAGATGTCAAGTTTTGCACAATACTGGGAAATTCGCTTTCCAATTAACCACCTACTCTTAGTTTATGTATACTTTCCAGCAGAAATGATCACATTTCTAGACAATTATTTCAGTCTTTGTTATGAATGTTTTTAAAGTTGTTTTTCTTTTCTTTTTTAATCTGAACCATTCCAATAACTTTTTGTCTTGTTTTGTCATCCTAGTAATTTTAACACTGATGTTCTGTATTCAAAACTAATGTAAGTAGAGACTTGGTATGTCTGAATGCTTGTGTCCTCCCAAAATTCATGTATTGAATCCTAAGGTGGATGTATTAGGAGGTGGGGCCTTTGGGAGGTGATTAGGTCATGAGTGAGAGTCTTATGGGATCAGTGCTCCTATAAAACAGCCCTCAGAGAGACCCTGCCCTTCCAGTATATGAGGACACAGTGAGAGGCACCATCTCAGAACCTGAGACCAGACACCAAATCTGCCTGTGTCCTGATTTTGGAATTCCTCTCTTTCGAACCGTGAGAAATAAATTTCTGTTGATTATAAGCTACCAGTTTATGTATTTTGTTATAGCAGCCCAAGAGACTAAGACAGGCCTGAAGCTTGAGCATAGAATAGTGTCTTTTTTTTTTTAGACAGAGTCTTCACTTTGTTGCCCGGGCAAGAATGCTGTGGCGTCAGATTAGCTCACAGCAACCTCAACTCCTGGGCTCAAGCAATCCTATTGCCTCAGCCTCCAAGGTAACTGGACTACAGGCATGTGCCACCATGCCCGGCTAATTTTATATATAATATATTTTTTTTTAATTTTTTAATTTTTTTATTTTATTATTTTTTGAGACAGAGTCTCACTTTGTTGCCCAGGCTAGAGTGAGTGCCGTGGTGTCAGCCTAGCCACACAGCACCTCAAACTCCTGGGCTTAAGCGATCCTTCTGCCTTAGCCTCCCAAGTAGCTGGACTACAGGCATGAGCCACCATGCCGGGCTAATTTTTTTATATATTTAGTTGGCCAATTAATTTCTTTCTATTTATAGTAGAGACGGGGTCTCCACTCTTGCTCACGTTGGTTTTGAATCCTGAACTCAACGATCCGCCTGCCTCGGCTCCCAGAGAACTAGGATTACAGGTGTGAACTACTGCGCCCGGCCAATTTTTCTATATATTTTAGTTGGTCAATTAATTCTTTCTATTTTAGTAGGGATGGTGTCTTGCTCTTGCTCAGGCTGGTTTTGAACTCTTGACCTTGAGCAATCACCTGGCCTTGGCCTCCAGAGTGTTAGAATTACTGTGCCTGGCCTAGAATAAAGTTCTTAACTGATATTTAACAAAATGTTTAATTCAAGTCATGGAGTTGCTTTTAATATGAAAAGTATTTTTTACGGGTGAACTTTGAATGGGAATCAATTTTAAAGATTTTGGATGTTCTGGATCTCTTTT